GGGTTACCTGAAGTTTAGGGAAAAAATTAAAAAACAACCAGAACTGAACCGTGAAATACATAATTTGATTCTTGTCTGTCATGAACCAAATCAGTTGTCGAACAATGATTTGAGTCGATTAGTATCAACATCTAAAGTACTCCCTGATATGTAGTTTTATTGAAAATACCTCTGGTTTGCGAAATAATATTGTCGGAATTTCTTGTTGCAAGTTGTTCAAGCGCGGGTATTCAAAACATGGCACACACACACACACCAATCAACCTTATTGTTATATATACTATATGTTTCAATAAAATATCCATTATACTATTTTCATTTTGAACGGTATCATCCTGTATAATAATAACAGTACATCGTATACAGGTTATGAGACATTCTGACCGACCGACCGACCGACCAGAGGAGCCCACCACGCTATTTAGGTCACGCCTTGCTATATACGATTTAACGATATACCGTCGGTCCATCGATCCGCTATTTTTCGATGCACCCCTGTATACACGTTGCCCCCCGTAATCCACGCCAACACCAGACAGGTGCGACATCGGCGCCATCTATGCGCGAGATGCCCAACCCATCAATGGCAGCTGTCCAATGACGCATAGATTCCGTTAGGTTTGTACACCGCCAAACAAATCTACGCCATTTATGCGCGAGATGCCCAACCCATCAATGACAGGTGTCCAATGACGTATGACAGATGACGTTTTAACGCCATCTATGCGTGAGATGCCCAATGACGCATGACAGGTGTCCAATGACACACAGATTCCGTTTGGTTTGACAGCGCCATCTAGCGGCGGAATCCCCAACTCATGAATTTCGATTACAGATTCCGTCCAACAACCTGTCAATGGCGCGCGACGCCAGCGCCTCTGGTGGCGGATTTTGGAAGTTTTGAGACCGAATCCCCATAAGACATCTACTTATGTTCAGCATAAACTAGACTCCTGACAGAAAAGTCAGTCAAACAGGTCCATACAATCAGTCCAGACATTTTTCCCTGCCTTACCGGTGGTCCATCTGGCAACTTTACTTCTACCCGATACGTAAGCCGGTTAGACGTAGTAGCGAAGCCAGAGCATAGGAAACAGTATGCTGTGGCGCGGATGTAATACGTGTAATATCCAGAGCTTGCACGCCGCCTGGAGCAGAAGCAGACGCGGCCGTTAGGTACACGGTCTGCTAAGACTATTTTTGTACAGGGTGGCGCATCGAAAACGAAACAGACGCATTTGCTAGCAGCTCAGTTTTTTTTTTTTGAAAAACGCTCAGACGCGACGATTTTGTTTTCGAGGGGGACACAAGATTGGCAAAAAATCACGTTAACACGTGCAGCCTCCTGGGTGGGGGTGACACCAACCCTAAAATCTTAAATGGAAAGGGGGATCGAGTGATACCTTATTTTAAAGGTCTTTCAATTCCTTTTATAATGATGTAAAATATATGACCTTCAGTTCAGTAGTTTTGAAGATTGATTGATTTAAAGCTTAAAGTAGACTTTAGTAGGTACATCAGATTAGTTTGTACTATATACTTTCAGAATAAATTTGACCAAAAGAATTTAGTTAATAAGTAAATGCTTTTCTTCACTACGCCCATGGTTTGTTTATCATTTTGTTGTTGAAAATAGCTATTGGAGCGTTTTTTGTGGAAAAAAAGTTATTTCGTGAAGAAAGATAAGGAAATATCTCGTACTTATTTTAAATAGGAATTTAGTACATAGTTTGCGATTGATTTGACCAAACTTTGTTGCTAAAATAACTTGTAACGATTTATTACTTAAATTAACCATGGTATATTCCACAGCAGAAAGAGTTGAAATTATCGAAATATTTTTCGGAAATAATCAGTGTGCTAATAGAACAGCAGAAATATTTAATGAACGACATGAGAACAGCCGTGCATCGAAAATATGTTCTAGAACTTGTAGCTAAATTTCGGGAAACTGTGTCAGTCGCCAATAAAAAACGAACATTGAAAATCCCATAAGGAACGAAGCAATAGAAGTGGGGGTTTTAGGGCAAGTTTATGTAGACGTTAAGTCCCCGAAAATTGGAGACTGTGTGTGGTGTTAGTCGGCGTACTGTCCAACGGATTCTAAAGGCCCATAGTTTTCATCCGTATAAAATTCACCTGGTACAAGAACTTAATGAAGACGATTTTGATCGGCGATTAAAATTTTGTGAAGATATGAGTGAACGAATGATAAACGATGAAAATTTTCGATTCAACACTTGCTTTTCCGACGAATGTTCCTTTTTCTTAAATGGCATAGTAAATCGTCATAACTGCCGATATTGGTCCAATTCTAATCCCAGAATTTATCATGAGGTTCATACACAGCAGCCACAAAAATTAAATGTTTGGGCGATCATTTAGTTGGTCCTTTTTTCTTACCTTGAAATTTGACCGGTAAAATGTATTTGGAATCAGTGGAAGACGCCATAGATCCTGAATTAACTGCAATAATTGAAATTAGAATGATCGGCGGCACATTGCGAATAGGTTGATGTTCCAACAGGATGGCGCCCCACTACATTACGCATTACGTGTTCGACAATATATAGATCAGGCGTTTCCAGATCGATGGATTGGTAGAAGAGGTGCCATTGAATGGCCCCCAAGATCGCCAGATTTATCACTTTTGGATTTCTTTATGTGGGGTCATTTGAAAAGCAAAATATTGCAAAATGTGCGGCAACGTTTTGAGCAAAATCTTAATTATTGCATGGAGAGTCATGGTGGCCGTTTTCAACATTTACTTGCCTAACGGGTCAGTTCATGCTTCATTTTTAAATTACTTTGCTGCCAAATGTAGTGATCTCCACTAATGATGATGTATTAGTTTTATTTAAGCTTTAAATCAATAAATCTTCAAAACTACTGAACTGAAGTACATTAATTTTATATCATTATAAAGGGAATTAAAAGACCTTTAAAATAAGGTAACACTCGACCCCCCCTTTCCATTTAAGATTTTGAGGGTAGTGTCACCCCCGCTTAGGGGGCTGCACGTGCTAACGTGATTTTTTGCCAAACTTGTGTCCCCCTTGAAAACAAAATCGACGGGTCTGAGCGTTTTCGATGCGCCACCCTGTATATATATATATATATATATACTTTCGACCCTCACCATTTTGATCTCAGAAACAGTAAGAGATACGAAGTTGCTCAACTCGGGGCAAAGTTGCGTATTTAGGTAGCTAACAAAATGTCGCTTAGGAAGTTTCGAAAATACTTCCGAAAAGAGACGGCAAAAACAGAATTTTCCCAAAATCGTTTTAATTTTTTCTTGACTTTATTTGAAGTGGGATTTTGATTTATATTTCACATTAACATTGCCACTTATTCTTCTCTACAATATGGCATAATGAGAATTTCAGTATAACGTTTCGTCTCTGGTCCTCTAGCATCAACTTTATTTTTTTTTATATAGACGCCATACTGGATGCTTACCACAGGTAAACTGAGTTTTTACTTCTGATCCAAAAATGTATGACATATCCTACACTGACATTGAAAAACCTTAATTATTTCGAAAAATATTATTTCCTAGGTAGGCCTCGATATATGTATATACAAGATTTATCGCAAAATCATTTTTTCTCCTCCTAGATGGCGTAGTCAAATTTTCAATTCGAGGCTTTTTCTTTAGACTTCCATCAGCAACTTTGTTTTTTCATATGGGCGCTATAATGGAATTTTGTACATTTAAATGGAATTTTCAGACCTAAATTCAGTAATATATTTCCTTAGTTGGCCATGATTTGTTATTGGAACGGAATTTTTTTTTGTCCGTTATTTTCTTACCAAGGCCTGACTCTTCTCTGTACATTGTTCAGTGTTTATTTCCCTTCTTCTCAGTCTTCCAAACTCTGTCACGGTGTTCAATTTGTGGGCTACTCTGGTTTTCGAAACAAATGATTATCTGATAATTTCCAGGCCTACCTAGGAAATTCGGTTCTCCTAAAGTAAGTAAGGCTTGGCAATGTCCGTGTATGACATATACATTTTTGGAATCAGAATTATAAACTTTATTCATCTGTGTGAAAATTCAGTATGGCGCCTATAAGAAAAAATAAAGTTGATGTTGGAGAGCAAGAGACGATGCGATTATTGTATATGAGGAAAAGTGACAATGTTAATATGCAATTTATTTTGAAATCCCGCTACAAATAAAGTTAGGAAAACATTAAAACGGTTTTGGTTTTTTCAACTGAACTGATTTTCAAAAACTAAAATAGCTTTTTCGCCCTTGGAAAATTGTATAAAAATGTCCAATATAATTGTTAATAAAATGTGGTGGCTATTCGATATTACAATCTTTTAAAACTCAATTACAACCGTGTCCCTTTACAAACAATCGCATATACTATATGAATGATTATAACTGGTCATGATGAGGTAAAAAGTAATGTAGCGGAGCACGATGTTTTCATTTTGGTTAATGATGCTAAGTAATAAGAACACTTTTTTACTGCAGGTGAAATCAAAATATGAGGATTTGCAGCGTGACGCTCGTTTCGCTGGACGAGAAAATGAAAAATTAATTTAAAAAATTAAATCACGACATCAAAACCTTATAAAAAAAGTGAAAAGCCCACTTGAGTTCCGAGTAAATTGATAGAGAATTTTTGTGAATTCTTTGCTAAGACTGTTCAATTTTAGGACAGATTTGTTATCCTGTTATTCAAAAGCTCTAAAAGATATATATTTAAGAAACTTTTTGGTTCAAAGCAAGGATTTTAATGAAAATGCATCCTGATGAACGAACTTATAAAATGTCTGCAATAAAGAGCATGGTGCACACTGAAATTCATCAAATAGCTATAGCTAATGTTGTTAAGTGTGCAGTTTCTAATGATACATTCAAATGCTGGTGTCGTGATTAGTGCAAAAAAAATTTTTGAAAACCAACATTGAAAGGTTTTGACAGCCACTCTCAGACAGAAAATGTCGTTAGAATTGCCCTGTCGGCCTTCCCTGCCTCAAGTGTGTCATTCTACAGAAATACGGTTTAATCTCTAAAACCCCTCAGTCGTTCGCTACTCGCTACACCTCCCACCACGGTAATGCTAGCAGCATTCCTTCATGGTAGGCAGCGTTGCGCCAATTTTTCATACCAAGGTAGGTATTTAGTTATGTTATTTTTACCGTCGTGCATATTGTACAGCCTGGCACGTAGAAACCTATTGGTGGTTCCTTGGTGTATGTTTATCCTGCATCTTGCTCAGCATCATTCGCCTCACTATTGGTTGAATCTCAACCCATTTTCCCTCACTTATGTGACTGGAAAAACTGTCAGCAGTGATCTTCTCGCCGAGCATCAATTCCAGTTGTCTCTGGTAGTCAACCTATCTACCACATTCAGGTACACTCTTCAGGTAGCTGTCCTTGACAATCCAAGTCTTAATGTCTGGGATCTGCCTTCTAGTCCATGCACCACGGCCATGTGCATCCCATCTCTCCTCCCTTTTTATAGAGCGCGCTTCTCTGCTCAGCCAGCAAATCAATTGGCGGGATACCAGCCACTACCAGCGGTACGTCGGTAGACACCGCTCTGTAAGGACAGACCACGCGCAGCACTGCTTTTCGCTTACTTCTGAGCATCATTTACCGATATTTTTTCCTCAAGGTCTTGTTGTAGATCGGCAGGGCTATTACACTCTATTTCACGAGTATCCATCACGCTTTGACGTCTACTGAGGTGAACAGCTGTCGAGCAAGTGACATTTTTGTGTTAGTCTGCGACGTTGGCAATAATGAATCGGGTGTAAATCTAGTACACTTGTTTGTCGCGTTTTCTAAATAAAAGAGCTGTTAGCAAGGACAAAATGAATCTGTAGCGTAGTAGCGTACAAAAAAACAAAACACAATACGGCTCTGACAAACTGACGTTGTCGGATCCGTTAAAATTATGTGTCCTGTGCCGATATGGAGAATTTTGAGATATTACTAGATAATCAGTTGTTATTCTACCGTGATGGATACTCGTGAAATAGGATATAGGTACGTTTTTTATATCATTATGTAGGTTTTCCTACAAGATGTCCACTACGAACTACCTGTCGTTCACTTTATGCTCACTTGTAGCTGGCGCAAAATGAACTATTTGCACGCTACCAGCTGTCTAGTTAACAAGTTGACGTCTTATAGGTTTTTTGACATTATATAGGTTATTTACGTAATAACCCCGCGGAGCTTCGTACAGCAAAATCCAGTTTGCCACTCCTGCCAACCACATCCAGGTGCTCGACATTCTCAACCTTAACAGCTAGTGAAATATTGTTTCATCAGGAAAATGCCTCCAGCCTTTACCTCCTGCATTGCTATGGCTGTCCTCTACTAAACCGACTTTGAATTCATGAATTTCACACCGTATTCGCTGGATCTGCCCCCCAGTAATTTTATATTTCCAAAATTAAAACAACTGTAACTTTTCTGCGGTAAACGTGTTTTTAGTATTCGTACATGTTTACCGGTGACTAAAAATTGCCGGAGCACCAGTTAAACTATCGCATTTGTCAGAAGAGAGTGCAAGGAGTCATTCGTCGTACGATGAACAACGACCAAGGTGTTTTTGAAATTTTGAAATGCACTAAAGATTTAACCATTGTTTATCATCATCTGTCGTTGTCGAGCTAGAATGGTTCGTAGGACCTTTGCTCTTAGTTAAAGTTAGTAGGTTTGTCAGATCTGGTGACGTAGATATAAGACAAATCAGAAAGAAAAAAGTTGCGTCAAGTAGATTGACTCTACGCCTTCGTTGGAGGTTTTAAAGAAAAGATAAGAGTCAAACCGTTTCAAACGGCGAAATCGAATCGTGGTTAGGGAGGTTCACTTAGGTACAATCAATCGTCGACCTCTGAATATCAAACTATATAAAACAAGTCTGTCATATTTCTGTTTCCATAGCAGATGTCTAGAAAATATGTTTGGCTTATGGATAACAGGTGCAAAGTATTACTGAGATCAGCAGCTAATAATAATAGAAGGTCTTCCACTGACACCAAATATGCAAGAATTTTCAACCACACCACTTACCGCATACAACGTACAATGTTCACCATTTCCAAAAATTTCTGGAAATGAGCAGGAATCTCGGAAACGTTGTAACACTATGTTCCAGCGATTTTATTTCCGCCGCCTCTGAACCAATTTTCAAAATCTGCGACTACCTAACCGATAGAAGTATTAGGCTCACGCTAATATTGGAACTTTGGTTGACAAGTTTTCTGTTGCTTAAAGATTTCTGCATCACACAAGTCCGAGTTTCTTATCTGTCGGTTTGTCAGTCCGCGTTTGTTGTATATTAATGCGTCATAAGTACTGAGTCAATCTACTTGCCGAAATATTCAGAGAACCATCATAGGCGAAGTAACACAAATTAAAGGTGGTACATTTAAGGATCATAAAATTCAGAAACATATATGTATGTGTAGATATAAAAACAGTTAAGTCATCATTTACAAAACCATCGTAGTACGCTAAAGTGGTACGTACTTCTAATATCCAAATATTGCGAGAATATATCAATGTTTCTCCTGTAGCGGGATGTCAGTGACGACACCACCGTAGACCAGTTGAAGTTTGTTACAATAAGCTCATTCGGCATTGGGCCACACGATGATGCAGCATCGCGCCGTGCACGCAACGCCAACGATTGCAAAGCTATTTCGAATTATACTCGGATTTTTATGATTTAATTTTCTTGTTGTTAGCGGAATCAGAAGCTTTTTAATGATAGAACGTCTTTGACTAATTCTAAAGACGTTACATATACAACCCCCTACCCTCTCCAAGTTTCAACCCCTAAAAAAAATTCCGAAAATGGCCACTGAAACGTAAAAAAACGAAAATTAAACGATTTTTGTTCTTTTAGTATCTTTTTTCAGAAACTACTTGGCATAGTAGTAACCTTGTGTGAAAATTTCATCAAAATCCAAGCGGTACTTCTCAAGTTATAGGCGGTTATAAAGTTAGTGGACAGACCGACAGACAGACAGACAGACTGGAATGAGTGACACAGTTTTTCGTCATATAACATTCACAACATAATATACATCTTAATACCGAAATTTTGCACTACTACAATACTTCCTCGCCAGTTTTGGCATAGAAAGTAAAAAAAAAGAAAAAAGAAGACGAGGAGGACCAAAGAAGGGGAAATGTGTCAGCGGATGCCTTGGTATTACGAGATAAACCACGATTCGGGAATCATAAATTGAATTTATGAAGGATTTTTTATTGACGAAGTTGTACGTTATCTTGACTGGATTTATGTTGTTTGCAGTCATGTCAAACATGGTGGCAACACGTCTCAACCGTCCTATGCACCGCCTGCATGGCAGCAGGAATGGGCAACATCTACAGATTGCCACAAACTACGCTGATCAGAGGCGGGTTGCCGTTTGTCGTAGCTCACACAGTGCTTACACTGCTAGTCGGATTGCCCTTACTGTTCTTGGAACTGGGGGTGGGACAGATGGCACAGGAAGGGGTGGTCAAAGCATGGAGAGCGGTACCTTTCTTCAAAGGTGAGTAGATGATTTTAAGCATTTTTTCTTGTTTATATGGTATCTCAAAAGTTAAGTATCAAGCGAAAGGGGATGATAAGAGGGTAATTTCCAATCAGAAAAACCATATAAAGCACTGGCCAAAGTTGTTTTTCCTTTCGGATTTTAATGTTGTCCCTTTTAGATTTCAATGTGTAACCTATGCAACACGTACAGTGGCGGATCCAGGGGGGGTCCGAACACTCCCCGAAATATCAGAGTTTGAAAAATTGCATGGTTTTCAATTTGCGACTACATTCCCTCCCTACTCCCGCTCTTCAGCTTTCAATCTGCGCCCCCCTCCCGAGACGGACATGCTGCTGAACATGAATCCTCAGCTTTTCCTAGTGGGGGATGGCGCCGAGCTCGGCTATAACCCCAACATGGTGACGACGCTTATATGGCGCACTTTTTCTGACACGATTCCCTCTCTCTCTTTCCGTCTCCCTCTCTCGTACACAAGTAAATCTATAATAGAAAATGACTTTGGCCAGCACTGTATGTCCTAACCCGATTGTGCAGAGTTTTTGAGTTATCGCCATCTAGGAGAATTTGGAAATGCTATTTTTCTCAAATTATGTTTTGTTACATCACATCAGCTTTACTGGATATGTAGCGCTGGAAAAAGTTATTCAATTAATGTAGGCATAGCAATAGGCTTGAAAGTAATTTTGTCTGGTGTCAAAATTATTACAGCATATTCAACAAGGTCTGTAGAAACAACATTGGGCAGATAAATTGTTCAGAGATAAACAAAATGCTGAAGATATCTTCAATCATGAAAATTCTTACTTTGTGAACATAGTCATAACTGCTATTATCAAAATTTTACATTTCTAATGGAATGTGAAAGTTAGGGACAATAAATCTTCAAGCTTGAATTATAGGACTAAAAAGGGTTGCAAAAATAGTGCAGTACATCCTATAATCGCAGTTACCGATTTTATGCGTAAGAATCCCAATAGAGAGAAATGAACTATAGATACTTTAACGTAAATAGATCCTATGAATCTGGTGTATGAGTTTTGGTATAAACGGTAATTTCCTGCATACCAATAAGTTTTCTTTTTTGATATAAAAAACCTAAATATGCTATATGCTATACCACATAACACATAACATATGTATAATCCCGAACACCTAGTTTAAATGGTTTTATTTTAATAAAAGTTGGTGAATGTATTTATCTTACTGTAAATAACAAGTGAAAAAATGTTCGGCCTTATCAGTTGGACATTCCGGTTTTTATACTGCTTTTTTTTAATTCACTAACGCTCTAAAAATGAATATTTCAGCCGCAGTAAAGAATCAACGTTGGCGGATTTTGGTTCTTGACATCCTTTACGATCGGTTACGATGCCTAGAGTACGGAGACCTGTATGTTTTCGTCAACTTAGTGAGTTTGATAGGGGCCGTATAGTGGGACTTCGGGAAGCTGGACTTTCTTTTCGGGCAATTGCAGTTAGAGTGCAAAGAAGTGTAGACACTGTGGTTAGGTGTTGTCAGGCATGGCTTCGAGAAGGCCGTACGCAAAGAGCAAGGGGCACTGGACGCCGCCGTAGAACAACACACCGTGAAGATCGCCGCCTAAGATTGTTGGCCTTAAGGGACCGTTTCTCCACTACCAGGTCCATTGCAAATGAATGGTTTGCAGAACACGGAAGACCTATTGGCTTGCGAAGTGTTTACCGACGAATGAGAAGTTTTGGCTTGTTTTCATACCGGCCACACTGGGTCCTCCCTTTAACTCGAGAACACCGACGTAATCGCCTTGAGTGGTGCAGACAACGGTCCCTCTGGGATCAGGAATGGAACAGTATTGTCTTTAGTGACGAGTCTCGATTTTATTTAGGCATGCACGATGGTCGTGCCAGGGTTAGAAGGTGACGTGGTGAAAGGAGGAATCCACAGTTTTTTGTTGAAAGACATGTTCATCACACTGTTGGAGTTATGGTTTGGGGTGCTATAGCTTATGGTTCCAGGTCACCTTTAATCTTCATCAGAGGTAACATGAACGCGCAGCGTTATATCCACGAAGTTCTAGAACCCCATCTGTTACCCTATCTTGACACCCTGGCAGATCCAACTTTCCAACAAGATAATGCCCGACCACATGTTGCAAGAGTCACAATAGACTTCTTTCAACATAATGATGTCACATTGTTCTCAGGCTCTAGAAGCACTTCGAGAGGAGTTGGTGGTTGCCTGGAATGAGATACCACAGGAGGACATTGACCACCTGATCAGAAGCATGCCTAGGCGCGTTGGAGAATGCGTAGCACATCAGAGTGCATCCACACATTATTAAAGGTCAAAGGGCTTTAAAGCAGTGCAATCATTTTGAAATTTTTATCATTTACTTATTATGCTTCATTAAGTACTTATACAAAATTTTATCAAAATAAAACCATTTAAACTGGGTGTTCGGATTTATATGTCACTTAGTATATTTTTCATCTGGCGCCTGTAGAAGCGAATGAAAATTGGTGATTTAGGTAATTTGGAGTGCTAAATACGAATATGATAAATAGTTCGCTTCTAGCCACTGTAAAGCGAGTTTTCAACCAGATCACAGCTACAGACAAGCCGGCGTCGAGTCCAGAAACAAATATAACGAAGAGGTTCGCAATGCCAAAAATCAGCACGATATAAAAGTAAGGCACAGGGTAATGTCGCAACGCAATGGTAGTCGGTCTTTCTGGAACTTCTTACACAGTAGCCTTCCACCACTTACATGTCAGGATGGAACTATTGTATTCGACTCAAAGGCCAAGGCAGAAGTGCTAGCCAAGATCTTTGTTGCCAACACCACCATGGACGTCCCCCCAACGTAAGATGAGTGCTCTTGTCGCTCGACATCAACAAAGCTTCTGTCCGGACTTGATTCCTGCCATTGTACTGAAGAGGTGTGCAGAGAAGCTTGCTCCAGTTCTTTCGCGTCTCTTTCAGATATCTTATGAATCCGGCACCTTCCCAGAAAACTGGAAATTTGCTGATGTCCAACCCATCCAAAAAAAAGGATCTAAGACCGACCCTTACAACTACAGGCCTATAGCTCTGCTTTCTGTTATAAGTAAGATGATGGAGAGGTGCATAAATCGCGAGACTCTGGACTACCTCGAAAGTCACAGCTTGATTAGCGACAGGCAGTATGGTTTCCGGCACCAACGATCCACAGGGGACCTCCTAGCCTACGTCACGCAATTGTGGAGTAAACTCACCCAATCTTATGGTGAGTCTCATATCGTTGCTCTTGACATCACGAAAGCGTTCGATCAGCTGAGGCATGCATGCATGCATCTTAAGCAAACTTCCATGGCCTTCCAGAAAAGCTTTGCAGATGGGTGGCTGACTTTGTCTCTGGCCCCAAGATATCCGTCGTAATTGACGGGTTCTCCTCTTCAATAGCAGCAGCTGCTGGGAAAAAGCTAGGCTATTTGTTTCGGGCTAAGAAATACTTTTCTCCGCATGACCTTCTCACTCTATACAAGACCCAGATAAGGCCTAGCTCGAGTATTGCTTACACGTTTGGAGTGCTGCCGCCCCGACTACATTGTCCATGCTCGATGCTGTCCAGAGCAGGGCGGTTCGACTGATCGATGACTCTTCTCTAACAGACAGTCTCGGGACCCTTTCGCACCGGCGGGCCGTCGGCGATCTAGCTCTTTTCTACCGCTACACCAACGGGCTTTGCTCCTTAGAGCTCTCTTCCATGATGCCGGCGCGCGATGTGCCTGCCAGGCAGACCCGCCTGACTTTGGCGTCCCATCCTAACCGTGTCGAACTTCGTACATCCAGAACTGGCCGATACGACCGCCCCTTTGTCCTGAGGGTGTCGAGATTGAGGAACAATCTACAAGAGGAAAGTTTTCCCAGTTCTAATAACCTTAGGCAGCTCAAAAATCGTATTAACAAAATTTCTTTGGGATCATCATAGCAGCCGCGGTGTTCCGGCATTTAGGCTTCTGCCTGCGCGGCTGCTTCGATATATAAAAAAAAACATAAGAGTTTTGGAACATTTCCACTTAATAAGAAACCAGAAAATTTTAAACGAATTTAGGGCGGTGGGATCGCTTAAGCAATAAATCGGTCGATTTCGATCAAACCTGGCAAAAAATGTATCCTCACAACACTTTGATATGTAAAAATTACCTATCTACCTTAACATATTTTTTGATCACTTTACAGGAATAGGATACGTGAAGTTACTAGCCGGATGTCTCTTGAGTATTTATTATCCCTTATACATGGGCCTTTCAACATTTTACGTTATATGGCTTCTGAAAGGACCGGCCCCTTTCCAAGAATGTTCAGCTAGGGTTAAAATGACTGAGGTAATAAGATCTGTTCATTAATATTGATCCAATGCACAGAAAATATAATGAAAATTACCTATTTTCCAGAACGGATACTCCTCGGTAGGGAAAAAAGGACAAGACTGTCTAAAGTGAGTATTCAACAATCAATTAAAGTACTGGTGGTACTTGTGCCTGTAACTTCGCTTGGAAATAGAAAAAAGAAACATTTATTAAACTAATCAAGTATCTTCAAACAGTACTGAATAGAATACACTAGAATTGTTCAATATATTTATTTGCAGTTTAAGGATAAAATATGTTTTACATGTTTTACGTATTATTTTCAGAGAAACCTTCATCAAGCCTCCGTTGGAAGACCCGTATTGGTTTGGAATTTTTACAGGTTTCCTTTTTGTGATATGGATTATTATAACCATACTGTAAGTTCAATTTTATTGTAAACAGGCAAACAGAATGTCACACCCATTTCAAAAAAATTATATCCCAACTGTCCCAGACGGCAATGTATGAACTTTTATGCATATAATGAAATATTGTTCATTGGTGGTAATCTTTTTATTTTCAGGTCGATTAGAAAGACAAAAAGTTACATCAGATCACTTATAATTCTATTTTTTCCGATGATTTTTGTAAATTTCAACTTGTTTGTGAAATCTATCATTCTGGAGCAGGATACAGATAGCTTGGGAACATTTTTCACGAGTGCTGAGTGGTCTAAATTCACCAGTTCAGAGGTTTGTACCTTATTTGAATTTTTTGATGTGATGTTATAATATGTATGTTACAGGTATGGTACTATGCTTGCATCCAAGTATTTTTCTCTACAAATGTTGGATTCGGACAATTTGTTACCAATGCAGGCATTATTTACAATAAAGTCAACCCATGCTGGTGAGTAATGGACACCGATAATATGTCATAGTAATAGAGAAATGCATGTGATTCAAATATCGCATAATTATTTTTATTTGCGGTAAATATTGCTACAAAATGACGCACTTCAACCTTACTTTATATTTGAACGCTATAAAATTACAAGTATTAATAAAGAATGGAAAAAATACGCAGTAAGCTTAAAATGTCGAAACTCAACGCTACTGGCGTGATGTCACTATTTGAGACTAGTGACCAACCAACCTTTTGTTGATTAGTCAGTCCATTTTAAAATAACACGATGTTTGTTCTCACTGTCATTAATTATCAACCTGTCAGTTTGATGTTTTATATTTTCCAAGTTTTCAATGTAATATGTAGTAGCAAATATGACCTATAAATGCTTTGTAATCTTACAAACAAATATCGGGTTTTCCAATGGGGACTTTTGACAACTTTGAACTTTCACTGTGAACGCACCTTCAAATCAATTACCGAACTGTTAATGTCAAAACTTTCCGTAAAGAAAACATTTTCATCGTAGTGAAATATACAAACGAACAAGGCTTACAAATAATTAAAATTTGCTACCGAAATTCCGAGTCAGTGACTGCAACTTTAAGACCGTTAACGCCAATTTGTTGTTGTAATAGGAAGGTTCGACATTTTTCGTATTTCTCATATTTTAATTAAAATCGAGGGATTTTGTTATTAAAAAACGGTCGAAGAAATTTGAGTGCAAAATGTTAATATTTACGTCGACGGAAAGCATTTTAAAATCAAAGATCGACGCGAGGCTAGAAAACGTACCTGTACGCGAGGCTAGACCGCGTGACGTCAGTAGCCAGACACGTGAGGTCGCTCTCATAGAGTACTTGTATCTTGTGTCTTGTATACGGAGTGAAGAGTATACGAATAGGAATTTATATAAACTGGGACCGACGTTTGTGTACTTTATTTGTTTGTGCTAGCACAATGCTCCAAGGTTATCAGAAAGCTGATTCGTGAAATTTACCCCATGTGAATGTGGAAATAGTGTACGAGTTTTTGGCAAATAATGCAAATTTAAATGAACCTCAGAGCAGCGGTGTTAAAGTAGTTCGGTAAGTACCTATATGAACCTTTTTTTTGTTTAGCTCCAATGTTTAGTATTTTTTTGTATTTCTCCGCAAAAATGAATCCTGCTTTAGTCTATTGAAAGCTAATAATATTAAGACATAATAATGCCTGCTCGTGACAATAATTTTGAAGGCTATTTATCTCTGCTTTTTTCTTTCTACGTAAAATATTATGGAATTTAAATTATCATACATACCTTTTTACCTTGTTAAGAGCTCCGAAATTGGTTCTTTTTGCATGCATAATGAGGCTTTATTACACTATTCTGAAGTAAAGTATGGTACCTAATATGTTTTCAATGAGAGAAATTCCAGGGATGTAGAGAGAATCTTATTTTTTTAGGGTCTATTGGGGAATACTTAAATTAGGGTGGGGGTAGTCACATTATAGAATTGTATAGCTACTAAAATAACAAAATTTATGGCTGAATTCAGGGGAAGGGCAATGAAGCCAGGTTCTGAACGTTGACTAATATTGCGCTTAGAATGACTACGATCTCGGCAGTAAGCTGGCCAGGTTCGCTGCCACTACCTTCAGTACTGCCTCCACTGGCTTCATACGAATCACTTTCCACTTGCTAACGTTTTTTTGGCCGCTCTGAAATCTGTTTAACAAGCGCAGGTATTCTTATTGGCGTTACAGCAACATCCGTTACGCCCGGCGTGCCGCCGCTGGCTGCAAATGTTTGGCGGAGTCTTTCTGCCTTGCCCTTTTTTCGCTGGACACTCGTTTCGTAGAGCTTAATTGTCTAACCAGTTGACATGCAAATTTACGAGGTGCAATATCAGGATTCATCCGCGCTCGAAAGGAACTCGTACTTGTACATTTTGGCACAAAACACCACTTTCTGTTCGACATTTAACACCATCAAAGTTCACAGAATTTAACAATAATCTATCGTACCACCTCTAACTACTCCAAACCGATTATTGGGGCGTTGTTGTGAAAATGGTAAATCCAGCGGGCGAGCTAGCGTGGTGTGTCTGGCTACTGACGTCACGCGGTCTAGTCTCGCGCACAGGTACGTTTTCCAGCCTCGCGCCGATCCTTGATTTTGAAATGCGTTTAGTCGACGTAAATATCAATATTTTTTGCTCAATTTTTTTTATCGCTTTTTAATAACAAAATCTCTCGATTTGAGTAAAAATCAAAAAATGGCGAACCTTCCTATTCTCGTCCCAGTAGACAAGCATTTCTTAGTCTAGCCAAAAAATTTGAGTGCACATATTCGCTGCTGGTTGTTCCCGTGCCAGTGAGACAACGGGTTGGTCGAAGTGCCGAGAATATTGCTGCCGTTTACAACGAACAGAACACGTCGATTCCACGGCGTTCTCAAGAATTGGGCATCGCTATGGCGAATTTTGCGAAGAGATCTTGGCCTGCACCCTTATAAGATCAAGTTAACTCAAGAACTAAAGCCGTTCGATCATATGAACCGACGTACGTTCTCGAATTGGGCTCTAGAAATGTTGCAATGACCAATTTCATGGCAAAATCATCTCCAGGTGCATTTTTGGCTTCAACAAACAGAATATGCATTATTGGTCAGGTGAAAACCCTCATGTGCTTCAAGAAATGCCACACCAAAAATAATTGTATGGTGAAGTTTTCATGCCGGTGGTGTGATTGGGCATTTTTTTCGTTGAGCGCCACGTTACAGTCAACGGAGATCGCTACACAGACATTTTGCAACGTTATTTTTTGGATGGGCTAAACATTAATGATATGTGGTTTCAACAAGACGGTGCCACAAGCCATACAGCCACACAGCAGGTGAAACAATCGACATATTGAAATCAAAATTCGGTGAACGAGTTATATCGAGAAATGGTCCTGTCGAATAGCTGCCTATATCCTGTGATTTATCACCTCTATACTTTTTTTTGTGGGGCTCATTGGTCTATGTCAACAAGCCGGCGTCGTTAGAGGAGCTCAGAGCCAATATTGAACGAGATATAGCGGCCGTTTCTGTCAAAATGTGTGGCCGAGTGATTGAAAATTGGGATCAACGAATCGATCGCTGCGAACGTGCCCATGGCGGACATATGAACGAGGTCGAATTCCATACATAAATGTTTTGAATATACTTCAATCCAATAATAAAATTTTCGAGATATCTCAAATGGTTTGCGTTTTATTTAAAAAGAAAGTTGTCAAGTCCCTAATGGAAAACCGTTTATGTCGAAAACTCGACAGCAACCTTACTAAAGAAGCAATCCAGTGACATGTCGGGAACGGTGACGTCACTATGTACCGTGCCAAAAATTAGCAATAATATTTGAAACTATTATAGTTTGTTTTTGGCTTCTGGAGTCATAATTTAAAAACTTTCATGAATATGAAAGTTTAGCCTTTAGTCAACACGATTCCATTTTATTTCTGGTATTTTTTTTGATTTCAGGACGGCAGTAGGATACATAACGATAAACCTCCTCTTCGGACTGGGTTCCGTGTTGATCTCTCAATCCTTGACGGGTACTTTAACAAACCAAACAAGTCTAAACATCACTAGTCGAAATGGAGACATTGCAGAACTGTACCTAACTTCACTAATCTACGACATAACAAGCAGCAGTAGAAATAGCGAGATCAAAGCATGGGCGATCATGTTCTTTTTATTGATCTTGCTATCTGGTTTTATCAGCATGGTAAGTACAGAAAAACATTAAACTTTTCAAAATGGCCTTAGCGAGACCAATATGCGTCACTACTGATATGCAGATGTACATAGTTACTATAAATATAGAAAAATGAGCAAATAAAAATATCACTCGAATTTTTTTTTTTGCTTGGCAACCAGTCACTTCCCTTGGCGGAAGCAAGGCACTGGTTTTTTTATACCACAGTGGCCGCGTCGGCAGAAGCCTAAATACCAGGGCACCACGGCTGCTTTAAGAAGCTTAAAGAAACCTTGACGAGGTCTCAGGTAGATTGTTCCACAATCTCGATACCCTAGGGACAAAGAAGCGGTCGTATCGACCAGTTCTGGATCTACGAAGTTTTTCATCCATCAGTCGGACAGCCCTTATCTGAACAGCATTGAGCTTGGATAATGTAGTCGGGGCAGCAGCACCCCAAACATGTGAGCAGTACAGTTTTATCTGGGTACCGAGTGACGAGGTCGTGTACAGGAATAGTATTTCTTAGCCCTAAACAAATAGCTCGGCCTTTTACCAGCAGCTGCCACTATTGACGAAATGTGTTCGTGTCAAATAAATTCCTGGGTGATCTGGACTCCGATCAGTCGAAATGAAAAGCTCTTTGGTAGAACTCGATCATGAATCGAAACCAGATGAGCGCTAGGGCACGACAGTTTTGGGTTTTGCTAGCGTCTCATAGATGGTGCGAGTATCTTTCAGATCCCTTTTTAGCTGCGGGAATACAGTATCGCAAATGGTTTTGAAAATGATCGCTTGAATATACCTGATGTTTCCCGAAATGAACGTTGTTAAAAATTTGAGAAAATATCTCGATAAAATTGAGAATGACTGCGGAGATACGTGAAACATGTGCATACAGAATACTGTTCGTTAGTTGTGAACGCAATAAATAATAGCAATAAGCTATTCTCAAGTTACTTTTTTTTACTTGTAGGCAACCATAACATACGCATTATTGAAGACACTGACTATAGAAAGTCGAAGAAGATTAAAATGGTGGCATATGAGCATTATTCTTAGCTTTGCTGGGTGCGTTTTAGGATCATGCGTATTGTTCCAACCACATTTTGATGTAGTTCATCTGTTGGATCACTACATCGTCGGAAATTTGATACTCATCTGTACAGTCATCGAGGTTTTGGCCCTTATTACATTCTACGGTAAGTTTATGATAAAAAATGTCAATTCAGTCAATGCAAGGAACACTGAAAATGAAAAATAAGAATAAGCAAGGGTTAGAGAACAGACGATTTGTGAAGCATCTTATACCCTATGATCATACGAGGTACAAAACCATTGACTCCAGTTTTATGTTTGTACTTGTTTTAGTGGTAGTAGCAGAAAGATTTAGGCAAGCTATAGTTGTAGATTTAACAATGTTGCCTTGAATTTTATCAAAGTATTTTGGTCTCTTACCTCTGTATTTGTGAAGCATCTTATACCCTATGATCATACGAGGTACAAAACCATTGACTCCAGTTTTATGTTTATACTTGTTTTAGTGGTAGTAGCAGAAAGATTTAGGCAAGCTATAATTGTAGATTTAACAATGTTGCCTTGAATTTTATCAAAGTATTTTGGTCTCTTACCTCTGTATTTAATTTATTATATTGTATCAACCCTAGTGGAAATATATTATTTTTTACTTTATAAATGAATATTATTACAAGATATTGATAAAATGTTTCACATTGAACCATTTTATTTTGCTAAGTATTTGTTTAATTTCGGTATTATTCTCGTGCACTTGTAAAATTTTCAGTCATTCAAAAATTAAATTATTAGCTAAATATAGAATAGTCGAACAGTACAAGAAATTTGGAAGAATGATAGTATTACAGATTTGTTTCTATAAGATGGACTTAGACTCAGACATCCAGAAACTCTTGATACATATCTCACTTTACTACTAATCTTGTTTATAATTTTCTCATAATGAATATAAAAATTTAATTGAGAGTCAACAAGAACCCCAAGGTATTTAAATTTTTCTATATATTTAATATCTACACCATCAATATTTAGTTGAACATATATGCTCTTTTTGTCAATTAACATAGCTTTCGTTTTACTCGTATTTAATTTGAGTTTGTTAGTTGCTAACCATTTTCAAGTCTTCAGTCTGTATAAGAGTTACCAGTCTGAATATTTGTATGAGTACTCATATAAATTAAAGTGTCATCGGCAACAGATCGTTTGTAATGTATAAAATAAAAAGAAGTGGCCCCAGGATACTGTCCTGTGGAACACATAACGTATTTTCAATTTTTTATGAAATGTAACTAGACAAACAATTTTTAAACCAGTCTAAAACACTTCCTGATATACCAATTATATACCTTCCATTTACCTAACAAAATATCCCTATCAATTGTTTCAAATACCCTCTCAAAGGCCAAAAATACTGCTATGACCATTTCCTCCGAGACCATGGCTCTTGTCCAATTCTTAGTAACCAGCTAGAAATCCTTTTCCGTGGAACATTTTTTGTGAAAACCTGCTTGTATTTCCACTAAAATGTTGTGTTCTTCTAAAAACTGCATTAATTGGTCATGACATGACATACATACATATAGTACATTGTACTATAATCCAATCTTTTAATGTCTGGTAACACATTTACGGCTCTCATATCGCTGTAGTTTTTAGAATTTTGTATAGTGGAAACTGGCATTATTGTAGAGCATCTCAAATTCTCAGGCAAAGAACTCCTTCTCAGTGGACACTTGATCCAATTTAATACAGGTTAACCCAAAACATTTTTCAGATTGCGTTTAGTACTGTTGTCGGATTTTAAACTGTTTATTTTTTTCTGTTAATCATTTTTTTTTTTTTCGTTTTAGGTATAGATCGAATCCGCAGCGACTTTGAGTTCATGCTAGGTCACATCCTGTCCAAACTATGGTTAATTCTATGGTGGCTTCTGCCCATTCTTCTAACGTTCATTTTCGCCTGGGGAATGATCACACTGCCAATGGAGAGAATTTTCAAAGATGACCAGGCTTGGATGTACGGAATAGGGTGGGGGGTTGTACTTAGCGCCACCATTTTCATTTTTGCCGTCGGAGGATGGATCATGATGCGTCAAGAAGGATATACCGTCAGAGATGTAAGTTAAAATAACATTACACGTAACGCCGGTCGCACAACATTCCTAGCACCGAGTAAATTGGACTGTACGTGAACGATATTCAGCTTCCATACCAAACGCGAGAATACAACAGAAACTAGCCAATTAACAGTTTTTTTTGCTAAATATTTCAAAATTTAACACAGTAGTAATATATATTTCGATCGTGTTCAACCACAGACAGCTGTTTCGGGGTATTTGGCAACTCCTCAGCATGGTCTAGGCCTGGTCTCAGGAGGGGAACGAACGAAAGCTGAGCTACTGTCCTCCACAGGGTTTTATTTTCAAAATTTTAAGTAGCGTTTTAAATCTACTCAAATTTCTTACAGTAGATTTTCTACAATTGTTTTCATTTCCATAATGAGATAATATGATCAGTATGATAGAAACTATAGGTTCATTAACTTTTGACCCGAATGTGCCAAAAAAGAGACGGCATTTTATCCATACTTTGAGATAACGTTTCAAATCCCTTGAAGTTTTCAAATGATCTGTTTTTCAAAGAATTGCTTAAATATCTGGGTAAAAATGAAATAATACGGGAATTCGTCAAGTTTCTCATTATCTTAACAAAACGGTGGATACTATCCTCCATCCCCTGTGTGAAACATACATTCCCTATCAAAAAATATAAAGCAATGATAAAAAATGGCGTCAAGTAGATTGACTCTGCGTTTCCCACGCAACGCCGTTATCAGTTCATAAATTCATAATTATGTTCGGCACAAAGTGAGAAAAAACTCAGTCAAACAAGTCCATACAGGGTGTCCGCAAAGTTGGGGTTTTCCTTTTCAGAAACAACTACCCTTGAAATAACAAAGGTAATGTGTAGTGAAACGAGGGCGACCAAGTAAAAAAAAATAAAGGAAAAAGTACTCGCTCGCCAGTTGACGAGAAGGGCTAAGTACGTCTCTGCCCGAAATCATACCGCTCCAACAGAAAATGAAATCAGCTGATGCGCAACCGAGCAGACGCAGGCGGTGGTGCAGACCACGAACAGAGGTAACAAATATGACGGCGTTGCCGCGTTTTCAGTTTTAAGGTAAACGTACTTTATAGGTATTGTTCGAAGTTATCGCCGTTTGATTCAAAAACACAGGTGCGTGCACGACGTAGCCAAGCATCGGTGCAGGCTTTGAGAATGGAGTCCCTCCCCCGAATGAAAGCACCAGCTTGTTCAATTCTGAGACGAAGTTCGTCAACCGTATGCACTTCAGTTTTGTACACTAAGCGTTTCATTTCTCCCCAAAGAAAAAAATCACATGGTGTTAAGTCTGGAGATCGCGGAGGCCACGCTACGGGTCCATTACGTCCGATCCACCTATTCGGAAATAATTAATTCAAAAACTCACGCACTTCGCGTCTAAAATGGGGCGGTGCACCATCGTGCAGAAACCTCATTGATTGTCTTACACTTAATGGCACATCTTCTAACAAGGAAGGCAAAATGTTGCGTAAAAAGTCTAGGTATTGCATCCCGTCCAATCGATTTGGGAGAATAAATGGTCCAATGAGCATACAGTTCACCATGCCAGCCCAAACATTCACCGAAAACGTTTGTTGAAAATGTGCCCGACGGACAGCGTGCGGATTTTCTACTGACCAAACATGAGTGTTGCGAAAGTTATTCACCCCATTACGCGTGAACGTAGATTCGTCTGTCACCAATATGCACTTCAAAAATTCCGGATTATTGTCATGTTGATGCAACAACCACTCACAAAACCGCACTCTTGCTGGAAAATCGTCAGGTTGAAGGGCTTGTACACGTTGGACGTGAAACGGATACAGCCCCTCTTCACGCAGCGTTTGCCACACTTTAGTTTTTGATACTTGTACTTCTCTAGCCACGTCTCTAGTGCTTGTTGAGGGATTCTCGTCTACGCGATTCAGTAGTTCTTCCTCAACTTGCACCATTCGTGGTTGTCTAGGCCTCCCACTGTGCCCACCTCGAAATTCCTCCAAATGGCTCGTATCCCTGACTCTCTGGACCAGGTACACAAATCTGCGGGGCCTTGGATGATGTCGTCTAGGGAAACGATCTGCATACACCCGCGAAGCCTCTGTAGCATTTTGAAGACATTCGCGATAAATTAACAACATATCAACGAGTTCATTATTGGTGTATGAGTGTGCCATTATTATTTTTTTTTGAAACGCAATCGATTATACGGGTTCGTTTACCTCTACACGCGTGACCGTAACCGTCGGTTGAAGGTTGCATACTGACCTGACACACTGACCCCGACCCAGTTCTGTCGTCGGGTTGAGCTAGTGTCCTAGTACCAGTCGGGGATATCGCGAGTCGCGGCTACAGGACGGTATTCAGATATTTTTGATGTTGCAGAGCCCTTTATCTCGGTTCCCTTAAGACATTGGTGTATATGGTACTAAGAAAAATTGCTTATGTTTTCAAGATCTACACGTCTTGTAAAGGAAAACCCCAACTTTGCGGGCACCCTGTATAATTAGTCAATAGACATTCTTTCCCTGCCCTACCGGTGGTGCATCTGAAAGCGTCGCCTCTCGTCAATACTTAACTCGGTTAGACGCGGCAGCGAGGTCCGAGCATAGGACACACTATGCTGTGGCGCGGCAAAAATACGTGTAATACCAGCAAAGCCGACGGCGTGCCGCCAAGAGCAGTAGCCGCGGTCCGTCGGCTGAGAATATTTTTAGGACCAATGGTCGGAGAAATCTATGATATTTTTATTTATTTATTTATTTATTGAAATCCACCACCAACAGTGTTAACCAATTACTGGTGGCAAAACAACAATAGAAATAGTAAAAAAAACATATAAAAATACAACGAAAACTAAAAACTAAATCATTTCACTGCAAACTCTCTTAATATTCGAAATACTTGTGTTGAACAAATCAAATGTACTCTGCAGACTATTATAACATGAACACATCGAGTACAAAGGTGAGTGCAACAGTAAGTTAGTTCGTGGGGTAGGTAGGTAAAAAGTGAGTGTATTGCGAGTAACAAATTTTGGAGCATTAAATTTAATCTGTGCTAGAAATGATGGATAATCATAACTGCTATGCACTACTTTATGCAGGAATATTAGCGAGTGAATCTTTCTTCTGTTATCAAGACTGATAAACTTGTGCTTAGGTAACAGGTCTTCCTGTGGGACCCCAATGGGTGGGTACGTACCGTCAATTTTGAATGAAAGAAATTTCAGAAATTTCCGCTGAATCTTCTCCAGAGAGCCACAAGTTGTAACATAGCATGGATTCTATATTAGCCGTCCATATTCTAATTTAGACAGTATGAATGAATTATAAAGCATAATCATGGCATCTTTGTTACTTAATTCCTTTGAGTTACGTATTACAAATCCTAATAATCTGTTGACAGCATTAATAAGGTACTCAATATGAGGATTGAAGCTAAGTGACATGTCAAAAATCACACCCAGGTCCTTGCATTCTTGTACTCTCAGCAGAGAATGATTGCCAATTCTGTAGTCAAATGCAATAATATCTAACTTTCTGGTGTAAGACATAACACTACATTTACTGTAGTTAATTGGAAGTCGATTTACAGCACACCATTTAACTATTTTGGCTAGGTATTTTTGTAAGTGAGCACAGTCAGTGCTGCAGTCGACATTGGAAAAAAATTTCAGATCATCAGCATAGATTAAGTGGCTGCTGTCGATGTCGCTAACAATATCGTTTATGAACAGTATGAAAAGCAAAGGACCTAAGCAGGAGCCTGGAGGTACCCCTGAGGTTGGGAAGAATTCAATGGATTTGACACCCTCATATTCAACATATTGCTTTCTTCCTGATAGATATGACTTAAGAAAGGATAACAGCTTGGGGGAGAATCCAAAATAGCTCAGCTTCGTTAACAGATTACTGTGATCAAGTTTGTCAAATGCTTTACTAAAATCTGTATAAATTACATCCACCTAGCTATTAGCATCTAATGCAGAGGAGACTGACTGAGTAAAACAGGCTAGGTTAGTTATGGTTGATCTACCCTTCATAAAGCCATGCTGAGAAGTACTTATTTGGGAATGTGTATTGTGGTATAGGAAATTATGAAGCAAAGTTTCTAAGGCCTTGGAAAAGATACATACTAGGGTTATCGGTCTATAATTTTCAACCTGTAGTCTATCACTCTTCTTGAAAATGGGACGCACCTTTGATTCGCCCCAAATTTCAGAAAACGTGTCAGTCTTTAAACATAGGTTGAAGATCTTTGTCAAAGGATGAGCTAAGACGTAGGCACAGTCACGCACTAAAAATGATGGAATTCCATCGGGTCCGGAGGTAAATTTATTTTTCATTTGCTTTAACACTGTAAAAACTTCTTCTTCGGAAAAGCTCTGAAGTATTATGTTAGTATGCAAGTCCGAAATATTGATATCAGTTGCGTTCGAGGGCATAGTATATACAGATTGAAAAAATAGCGCAAAAGCATTAGCAATTTCATTGGGTTTGTCATACTGCTTACCATTATAGTTTACTTGGCTGATTGTGGAATTTTGTCCCCTTTTATTACAGATAAATGACCAGAAATTGTTCGGATCCTGAGATAGGCTACTTTGGATATCTACTAGATATTTTTGATATGCGTTACGCTCATCGCGCTTAATTTTGGTCCTTAAGTCTTTGAACTCAGTGTATGTGATCAAACTTTTATCCTTTTTAAACTTTTAATGTCTCTAATCATTTCACCGTTAAACCAAACTGGAAATTTGAGAGATCTGAGACTTGTCCTAGGGACACACATATTAAAAATTTTACGAAGAATGTTATAAAATGTTTCCAAAGCTACGTTTACATCTGTTAAATTGCCAAGAAACGTCCAATTAACCAAGCTTATTTGTTCATATAGTGCTACAAAATTGGCTTTTCTGAAATTATATGATTCTCTGGCGCATTTGATATTCTTTTTAGAATGGAAGCTCATGTTGATTATCATGACAAGCGGAGGATGATGAACATCCTCAGGTAGTAGGTCATCATAAGCCTTAACGACGCTACATTGTTTATTTGATAACACTAAATCTAATAGCCTATTATTTTCATTCCGAACATCATTGAATTAAGAAAGATCGAAGAAACCCATAAAAGACTGAATTGTTTTCTGCTTGTGAGAAGATTGGAGGTGATTTTCATTAACAAATTCGGGAACATTAAAGTCACCTAGTATATAAATACTTTTGCCAAAGAGGTAATCAAGCGATTCTAGATGTTCAAAGAATCTTTCATAGCAGGAAGTACTCTTGTCAGGCGGTATGTATATCACAAAGAAATAAGTCACTTCATTTTTATATCTAAGTTTCATTCCAATTATGTCAATACTGGGAATATCGTCTCTGATAAAAGTCATATTTACCTCTGATGCAGCAAGTTGATTACGAATACCAATTAAGACACCACCTCCTCTAGAACACCCCATCGCAGAGAAATTTCTGTCCGCTCTAAATACAACATATTTGTCAGTAAATAATTCAGAACTAAGTACTGCAGACTGCAGCCAAGTTTCAGTACAACAGATGATATCATAGTCAGACAGCGACATTTTCAAAGAATTCTTTAGACTTAGAGTTCATACCGCGTACGTTCTGGTAGTAAACAGAGATGCGACGATCAGAAAAGGTAGAAGTAGAAACTCTTACAAAATTTTGAGTATTTAACTGTTCATAAGGGATTTCACCGGGAAAATCCGAACTAAGAAAAAAATAACCTAGCTTTAAACTCCGCAACTTTTTGTAAGTAAAATGGGCACCTAGAATCCAAAGCCGCATGTGACATGTCATAGTTGGTGTTTCTGTCTAGATTATTTCTAACACAGTTAATACATTTTAAGTTCGTGGCCTTGCAGTTTTTCAGTAAGTGGCTATCGCCACACCGAGTACAGTGAGTTTGGCTCTTACATTGACCAGAAATATGGGAGAAACCACTGCAATTGAAACATCGCTTGATAGAAATTTCATCATACACGCCACAAACATCATACCCCACGAATAACTTATCCTTGTTGACAGACATAATTTTATTATAAGTACCGTAGTCTAATTGAAGGATGGCTTGGAAAATGTCAACTCTTTTCTTGATTGGCTTAATGTCTATAACTTTACATTCAAATTTCTCACTTAGCACATCTTTATTTTGAGACTTAATGGAATTAATAAAGTTTTCCGCAGATTGTTTTTCAGTCATACCCGCAACCCGTACTCTAGGACTGAATCCAGCAATCTCCTTCATTAGGTTTGATGATGATTGCCGATTTTCCTTTCGTAATAGCCGAATACGATTTCTTATCATTGATTTCAGGTAACTCAGCAGTACTAATTTTGTTCACGGCAATCTCCAGAATTTCTGAACGAACACTAGAAAATAGCTGATGAATTTCGTTTACCAAGCTGGATAGAATCTAGAATCTAGAATCTCGTGCACGTCGCTGGTATACGATTGGCACGGATTACATTTCCAAGACAAACCGTTTCTCTTTTCAATGGTTTTTACTACATCAGCTGATAAGCCCTGGCAAGCGGCTTGAAAAAATTTCCCACAAAAACCTTCACATTTAACACTTTTTGTCTAGCACTGATAGAAGAGTCACAATAACTGCAAACTGGATCACTCATAATTGCAGATCGTGGTGTTGCATCGGTTGCGAATTGAAGAACAGGGTGTGTGATGTTATAACGAGTGATTTAGTTTTTACTTGAAATTTTTACTTCTAGTCTTACTCGAGCTATTTGACCACATACGAAGAGCAAACATAAACGCGTGCGGTTGTTTTGCTAGCAGAATACTATGTGAAATATATACAGGGTGACTTTGAAGTTGAGTCATTAATTTTCAGATAATGATTGTAGAAGGAAGATAAACCAAAATATGTGTGTAAAAATAAAAAAAAATTAAAATTTTTTTTTTACCTTGTTTTTTAAAGTATCCTCCCGACAAGTATTTCAGTGCGGACCTGTATTTGATCGTGAGGTCTTGGAGCACCGGCATGCAGTCCCCTGTGTGGTCTTAAGTCACCTGATTCACGAGCCCGTTGTACTACATTAACAAAGGCACGAGGGGTTGGTTGCACTCGATTGGGAAACCGAACCGCATAAACATGTGCCATTTTTTATTTCGTTTGAGTCACGCAACAGACACCACTATTCAAACGCGTTACCGACTGACACTGACTGTATACAACTGACTAAAATAATTGTAAAAACATCGTTCCAAATTCTTTCGCTTTTTTGTTTCCGATTCGATGAACCAAACACGAGCACATAATATTATTATTGAGACAGGGCGGTACTCAAACTTCCAAAGGGCTATAACTTTGTTACATTTCTTTTGATCTACTCACTGTTAAAATAAATGACTCAACTTCGAAGTCACCCTGTATAATAGGTGCGTAGAATTACCAAGATTGGGAGCGTATACATGTACTAACAACAAAAAAATGATATAGGTCTTTACCACCCCCCTCCCTACAAGCCCCTCGCCAAGTTTATTTGCCTCCAAATTCTTTTCAAAAATGAATAGAATCCTCTGAAACATCAAAAAATCTTATCCGTTTTCACTGCCGCCTCTGGACCGATTTTACGTCGTTGGCATAGTAGTAACATTGTGTAAAAATTTCATCGAAATCCGAGCGGTACTTCTCAAGTTATCGGTGGTTATAAGATTAGCGGACATACCGACAGACAGACAGACTGACTTACGGAAATCAGTGACGTCGTCATTTTTGAAAAATTTTGCAATTACAATACGTCCCCGCAACTAGGCGCGAGAAGTGCGAACGTAAAAACTGCATTGTTCTTTCTTTTCCCGAAATTCTCCGTATCAGTAAAACCATCCCAATACTGGGGACCAACAAACCCCATGTCCCGTCACAATAGGGTTTTGGCCTTTTTCTCTGCCGTCGCTGGACCGATTTTGCGTCCTTCGCATAATAGTAACAATGAGTAAAAATTTCATCGAAATCCGAGAGGTACTTGTCAAGTTATCGGTGGTTCTAAGATTAGCGGACATACCGACAGGCAAACAGACAGACAGACTTGCTGACGGAAATCAGTGATATCGTTTTCCAAAAAACATGTCATTTTCGAAAAAATTTGCAATTACAATACGTCCCCGCCACTAGGCGCGAGAAGTGCGAACGTAAAAACTGCATTATTCTTTCTTTTCCCGAAATTCTCCGTATCAGTAAAACCATCCCAATACTGGGGACCAACAAACCCCATGTCCCGTCACAATAGGGTTTTGGCCTTTTTCTCTGCCGTCACTGGACCGATTTTGCGTCCTTCGCATAATAGTAACATTGAGTAAAAATTTCATCGAAATCCGAGCGGTACTTCTCAAGTTATCGGTGGTTATAAGATTAGCGGACAGACCGACAGGCAGACAGACCGACGGAAATGAGTGACATGGTTTATCGTGATGTATACGTACATGTCGTATAACATCAAAAAAACATAATATCTCATTTACGAAAATCTTCGCAATTGCAACACTTCCCCGCGACTAGGTGTGAGACGTATAACCTGCATGATTCCTTCTTTTCCAGAAATTCTCCGAATCAGTAAAACCATCCCAAAACTGGGGACCAACTGACCCCATGTCCCGTCACAACTGGGTTCAATGGAATACGAAAGCAAAACAGGGAGAGCGAGACTTTACTTTGAAACGAAAAGGTACTAAAGACTATACGCGATCCATCAAGAAATCCAAGAAGATGGCCGCACTCAGTGATCTGTCAAACACGGCCGTTGACGGAATGTATAAAGACAATCATAAACAGAGCATCAGAACTAATGGTAGGTAGATAGCGCATCCAAACTGGCCAGTACGACCGCTCTTTTCTCCCTATTGTATGCATAATGTCGATTACCGTACCAAGGAGGCAATCAATGCTTGAGCACTGACAGTTGTTGACGTTTAAACGGTATATTTTTTTACTTCGCAGGTAGCAATGTGTACAACGAAGTACTAGATCACCTCAATGGATCACTAAGGGTCACTTCAATCATTGACTCTTTTGATCTGAATCACTACAACACCACTGAGGAAAATAGGGTCAAGAACCTGAATCCGCTGAGTAGGACAAACAGCTATATGAACGCATCTACGTTTGAAGAGTATGGGACCTTCAGAAAAGGTCCTTATATCATAGACGACAACGTAGATCACGTGTGTTACAGAAGGTATAGTGATGCCGAGGATGCGACCCAACTTTAAATGTAAATTATGTAGTAGAGAGAATACTGTTCTATCGAGAACTACGAAAAATAAACTTAAAGCGCTTTAAATGCGATATGCATTATTATAATGTTTATCTGCCAAACAGTTTCAGGTAGCATAAAAAGAATTCACATGTTCTGATCAAATTTACGTGATAGTAGAAATGAAAGTACATATTTCTATATGATCGAATGGACGACGAACTTGATACAGCGGAATATTAAAAATATCAATTTTGCGTTGGAAAATAATTTCCGTCTCCATCCAACTATAAGGTTTTCCTTAGTAGTGATAGCTAAAAAATAGTGAGAAAAATATATAAAACACTTTTATGACATTTAATTTTTATTTTTTAATCCTATCTGCCATTTCTATATGATTGTTTATTACGAGATAAGAAATACCCTGTATATTGTATTTGAGCATATTTATGTCCAGAATTCCAAGTTATGAATATTACAAACCCTTCATGCTATCTAGAGTATATTAAGAGTTATGTATATGTGTAATTATATTTTTGTATAAATTGTATATATTTATTAATAGAATAAAGAATTTTGTAAATTACCTTAAACAGTGTCTTCCTTATATTCAAATCTTCCGTATTTTCCACCCAACCCTCAAGCACAGTCAAATTACATTCAGCATCATAGAATAAAACAACTGAATAATAAAAAAACTATATTTGTTACGCTCCTATACTATAACAATCGTTCCAAGCTTTGGCATTGACTTGTTTCAACATTGCTTTGAGGCTTGAACCAGGGCCTACTTCGAATGTCCTGGGAAAATGTTCATCTTGATCCCTTGAGTAGACATAATGTAGAAACTGTTCCCATTTCACCGATTTTACCACCTGCGAGAAAAAAGCGTTAGTAAAAATGGAACTTACCACGACAAGCAAAAAGGAGAAAATCAACTGTAAACGTGCTGTTCCGCGCCGCGGCAATGACAGCAGAGAGAAGCCGAGACAGTGACGCGCGACCGCGACTTTCCTGTTGTAACTAACGCCCTCGTAAGTGGGACATTGAGTAACGATAAGACGCCCTCGCAACATCGACGTTTAGACAACTTGAGTTACGCCGTCATGCATCAAGAGTGGTATAGCTTACAACCTGAATACGTCAGTGTTCTCGACGGCGCAGCATCGGGAGCATTCGATACCCATCGGAAGCATCTACCGACATCTAGACAACTTTGATGAAGCGCTGAAAGGCTCTGAATTAGCTAATTTGAACATAAAAAATGCTGCGCCGTCGAGTAGTTGCAGCGCAGATTGCAACAGTCCAGTCGACATGGTCATACATTTGTCATAAATTGGTTACAAGCGTTATAAATCAGAGTAAAAGTAATAAAGTACACTTTAAACTGTAAATACGGTATTTTCGTTACACTATCAACTAATTATGAGAATAAGGTCCACAATACCGTGTTGGACAATAGGCATAAATGAAATAAAGATGGCCTAGGCCAGGGGCATATCGGAAGAAAGACCTGGGGATGAGAAAACTCTGCGCAGGGTAGGTGCCGATCAAAAGCGGACGCTCAAAGGGTAGCAGTGAATTCAATATTGATCCGAGTGATTTTATGCAGCAATTAGTTACCATGGATTAAAGATCCATCAGGAACAAAACAGCAGTTGGTGGAAGTCGGTCGTTCAGCAGGAAAGAAGTTAGTCATAGCCAGTGTGTTTTGGGACGCGAAAAAGCGTAATTAATTGCCTTGTAATCGGTAGAACTATTCTGGGTGAATACTATTTCAAATTTCAATCTCCCTGATCAACTTGATGCCAAAGTACCTTAGAAGTTGCTTGAAGAAGGAAAATGTAATTTTTCATCAGGACAAACACCTACTCACAAACTACAGGATTTCTTTCTGTGAGGTGCTTTGGGTTTGATGAAGAAGCCAAGAGGGGCATAGATGAATATTTTGACAGCCTTCCAGACTCCCACTTCCGAGATATTGGAAAAACGTTAGAATAAGTATGCTACATTGGAATTCGACTATGGAAAAAAATAAAATCATTTGGTCCCGTTCATCACAACGTAGCACTACTATATAGCGATACTTTATTTTCTGCTGAACGCATATGATCACTTTGCGCGCTGCCGGAGCAATCGTAATTTTTTCCATCATAACCAAAATATACTCTACCCTTGATCAAGTGATATATCAAATACTGTTTCATGGTGTGCAATAGTTTGTGTTTGCTTTGTCCAGTTTGACGATTGTAGATATCTTGTTAAAATAAAGGATAGGATTATAGGAAATTTCAAAATTGATGAACAAACAGGAGAAAATGGGGGGAAAGAACGAAAGTATGTATTACGGGTATAAAACAACCACTATTCAGTCACTGAATTAGTAGAGGTTCATGTCATGCTACAAAATAGTAAATTTTACATCGTTTTTTTTTTTAATTTTAGATCTCACAGCTGACAACTGACAAGCCCAGTGAAAGAAGTCAAAACACTGTTCAGCAGTTAGAGCACTTTTGAAAAGCACTCAAAGTATCTGCTGCAGTAAGGCTACATTGTGATGAAACTGAAAATCTCTTTAGTCTTTCATTGTCAGATCAACAACTTTTCAGTCCAAACTTGTAGTGTCACGACAATTCAAGTTGCTAATTGATAAGCTGTCATTGTGCAGTGCGGTACCTTTGTGTCTCCTGAACCTCATACCTGTTGAGGCAACTGCTTCCTAATATGTTCAGCATCCCTATACTTTTTACCATCAACATTTGAATAGACAGAAACAGCAGGATCATTAATTTGAGTTTTATTCAAAGCTTTTCTAAAGGTCTCCATAGCAGGTCTCATGATTTCGGAATGAAAAGCTCCACTTACAGGCAACCTGATCACTCGTCTAATGTTGAATTCTTTGTAATTCCTCTCCAAAAAGTCCAAGGCCTGTAAGTCGAATCAAAGCATTGTAAAGTTAAAAGACTGGCATTGTGTCAATCTTATATAGTGTGATACCGGCAGCCTATTGAGCTTTCAGCCAATTTGACTGCATCCTTTCTTCTACTAACTAAAAATTACAGGTAAAGAAAATAAATACTACACTTACTGATTCACTACCAGCAACAACTTTACAATTGGGTGACAAATAATTGGCAATTTTACATTCTGGAAAGGAATCACCCTTATCCAGAGCCCATTCTTTGGCCTTGAGACAGGCATACCTTAACTTGCTCTCAGGACCATAGATTACTGTCACCATTCCACCTTTGTGAGTCTCACTAGCTAACTGCATTGCCTCTGCCCTAATTTGTACGAGCCTCAGACCTATAGATATCAAGTACCATAGAAAACTAATTTGAAAAAAAATGAAAGAATACCACTAAAGTAAAAATAGTGAGACTCCTTGAAGGATACAGTATATGCTTATCTGCTTTGCATGATCATTAGATATGTATTATTGTATTATATGAGATATTCTGGATTTTCTTTCTAGAATTGTATAGAAAATAAAAATTGTCCATCTTGAAACAAATCTTATAATTCTGGGTTTCATCTTACACTTTCAAATAAGTGTAATTGTCAACTTTAAGTTACAATCAGCTTTAATTATCACTTCTAACTGACAATTATAACTGCAGCTTGTAATGTAATTGACAATTATAGCTATTTGCTCCATATAACTGACAATTAAAGCTAATTGTAACTAATAACTGATAATAATAATAATAATTAACATCTTTTATTTCTAATATTCTTACAGGAGACGAGATTTAGATTATATATCTATTCTACCATCTAACCCCCTTAGCAATACGAGATATAAAAAAAACAAAATTTGTTGAAAATTAATATCTGTATACAATAACGACAGAATAAAGTATAATCTAAGTAAAGGCATAAGGAAAATATTAGGCCACTTAGGGGTTACAACAGATTTGGCTGCTGATCAAGTAGAACTTCTTTCACTTTTTTCTTGAATTTGGGTAATGGATTCGTTTCTTTTAAACTGCAGTCTAAAGAATTATATGATTTGATTGCATTGTAAATACATGTATTCTGAAATAGAGATGTGCTGTGGTGAAAAATTCTCTCTATATCTAATATTAATGCCATGTATATTCCCTCTACTTATGAATTTGTTTACTAAATATGACGGTGTTTTTGAATAAAGAACCTTATCAGATTTAGTTGCTGGTACTTATACATTTTATCAATTTTCATCCATGTAAGTTAATTAATGGCATTCGATGTATGATCATACTTTCTGAGACCATTTACAAGTCTGCAACATGTATTCATAATACTTTGAATACGATTTCTTGTTATACAATAGTAAACCACTAAGCAATACGATATCTTTGAAAACAAGAAAGATTCACACAATTGCTTTCTCCCAGATTTATGTAATATAGCCTTATTTGCAAATAAAACGCTGAGAATAGCATAGCACTGAGAAATTAGATAGTTTATATGTACAACAAATTTTAAGTCATCATCGATTATAATCCCCAAGTTCTTCAAATGATCCACAGGAAATAATTTATTACCTTTTAAACGTATGTATGTCTATGTCCTTTTTTAAAGTATTCTTTTTTGTTCTATTTGCGTATACCAACATATTTGTCTTCAAAGGGTTCAAACAAAGATTATGACTACTACTGAACTTTTCAATTTGGGCAAGATCTTGATTAATTTTATTATTTGCTGGTTCCAAGTCATTACTCCTAAATGAATAGAAAATTTGATTATCGTCTGCAAAAAAATGTATGCTGCATGATTTTACCTCTGTTTCTAAATCTGATACATATAATGAAAATAATAGGGGTCCTAAGACTGATCCTTGTGGTACACCAGAACAAATTTTTTGTTCAGTAGAGTACTGTTGATTTAGAAGAACTTTTTGATACCGATTTTCAAGGTAGCTTTGAATAAACGAAAGAGGTTTTATAGAAAATCCATAATAACTGCATTTAGGCACAAGAAGTGAGTGATTAATGGCAGCAATGTCCAATTTTGCTATCCATAGGAGGTGCTGGTGTGGTTGGAGGTCAAACTGTAAAAAAAAGATCTAAACAGGACAAAGTTGATGGAAAGGTTACCTATTTTCACCACACTTCATCACGATTTGATCTCTAATGATATAAACAGCTGATCATGAATTAAGATTTTTGTTTATAACTTCAGTCATGACCATCAACCTAACTAATCCCTGCTACTTCTAGATTTCCAGATTACACCCCATTATGGAATAATGACAATAATTATAGGTAAGTGAAATTTGTAAGTGGCAATCATAAATATTTTTTCACATTGTTCTTTTCATGTTTTCTTATGATCACATATGTAGCTTCTGATCATTAGAACTTAGGCTGCACTATTGGATTGAAGGTATGTTCAAATTTTAAATAATTTTACAAACTAAATAGATAAGGGTGACCTACCTCTTTCAAACTCAATAGCCCCAGCGAAAATAAGTGCTGTAAGTTCTCCTAAACTGAACCCTGCAGTTGCAACACAGTTTTCTATTGCATTTGGTCTCTCCTCTTTCAACCTCTCTATTGCAGCCAGAGATGTGACAAGTACTGCAGGTTGGCAATATCTTGTTTCATCCAACTTATCTTTAGGTCCTTGTAAACACAGCTTAAGTAAATCATACTTTAATATATAATTCGCTAACTCAAAGAGATCCTTGACGATTGGAAACTTAAGGAGCCCCTTAGCCATTCCTACATACTGTGTGCCTTGCCCTGGGAATAGTATAATTGATGTATCTCTAGGGTCTACCTTAGGTCTAGTATCTTCTTCAGGTCTTTGTATTTTTGTACCCTCTGGATAAGGCAACGTGACCCACTGTTGTTTACTGACAGGGACATCTTGAAAAGATGCTGAATCTTCCAATAATTTTTTTAAGGGCGACCCTTTTTTATCACTATCACAGTCTTTACTACAAAGATGTGCACATGAAAGAGATATTTTTCGGTTTGTTATTTGTGAGATACTCCTACACGTTATAGTTTTTCTTAACATAGCACTGAAAATATTCTTAAAATCCATTTTTAATGCGTTTATTCTACGTTAACATTATTTACTTTTACCTCTTTTTAACTGTTTTCACCCAGGCAGAGGAGATTGAGGTTATGTTTTGATCAGCACGAATAGAACTCAACTGAGAACTGACTGATAACTCCCATTGAGGGCATAACAAACGTTTGAGACATTTTAAAAGTAACAAAAATCACCATCTCTGTAAAGATTCATTAACCAATTCGCAAAGCGATTGCTGTTCACATGAATGCCACTAAAAACAAAACCACGCCTTTTTTCCTCGCCGCTAATCTTGTAGGATTGTAGCAGACATTCTCTCCCCTTATTTTGTTCTATGAGCGTCCTTAACTTTTGACATATTGTGACAATGTGGTGACAAGTAAATCAGCTGTTTGTCACTTGCGATAAATTCTCCAAATATTTGGCCTCGTCTCGTCAACAAACTCTACATTCGAGTAGATGTTCGAAAGTGTAGTGTGTAATTATTATGAACGATTCCCCAACAAGCGCTCGATAGCCTGCCCGACGCAGGAGCAAAGTCCCGAACGAAGAACCAGGTCTCGATGCTTTCAGCGTAACCCGTTTACGTATCTTGCCACTCTTTTTGATGGACTTCAAATAGAAAGTTGGTGTTATACTTAAAAAGAAAATGCCTCAGACGTATAGCAAATTTATCCCTGTTACGGCTCCCATAACCACTTCATGTGTGGATTATGTGCATCCTTGGACTGATAGCTGTTTGCAAGCAATATGTGGGCTTTATCTGTATTGCATGTTGGAATCTCTGAGGATATATGGGACTGTTTATATGGTGTGTATACATATTCAAGCTTGCTAACATTTATACTTCAATTGTTTGATTTTTTCTATTGCTAGAATCAGCAACTGAATTATATAATATACCAAAATGACCTGTTACTCAATTGTATAAAAAAATGTTGGGCACTGAATTAGTATGTAACTCAGGCCTCAAGATTACGTTTGAAATTGAAGTATTAAACAGTGATATTGATAGGACATAAACATTTCTGTATTTTAAGCAAAATTAAGGAAACATTTTTTCATCTTGAGTAAAGAATTTTTTTAAACACAGGTGCACAGTGTTATAAAGGCTATACTGGAGATGCCTTATTAACTATCAATATTATTTTTTTGAATTTTAACTTCTTTTTCATACATATATTAAGGATTGGGTCTAAAAGTCGGTAAGCATTAGCAATTTATTTCACCAGGTTACATAATAATAATTATGAGAATATAATTTACATCTGGAAGGAATGTTTATTCTATGAAAATTTCACTTTCTCTTAGAAGAGAAATAATCAAGTTAAAGAAACATTGAGTTGCTTTGATTTTTCGATGTGGAATCCCTCCATTGCTTTGCCATAAGATTTTATATATACACGGTGATCAAAAAAATGTGGCAATATTTCTAGACCATAAAGTAGATAAAAAGAATACAAAAAGTTGATGTAAGCTAGATAGAGACATAAACTGCCCCTTAACAGAAATACAGTGTTGAAATTGTAATTTCAAAATAAAAAAATATCTTCTGAGTAGACTTAAATATTGACTTAAAATTTTGTACATGTAGTGAGATAGCCAAATCGATAAAAAAAAATGTTCCTGAGACTGCAACAGTAGCATAGAAATTGAGAAATTTTAGCCATTACAGAAGAAGAAATAAAAATATTTTCTTTGCCACTGACTTTTTTAAATATGTATGTATTACGTTTCTGATTAAGGTATTCAATTTCACATGATTCATCTCTCTTAAAAAATGTTTGTCAGACTACTCCTTTTGGAGAAGAATTGGTTCAAATATTTATTGTGAAATCTGTATAAAAAGTCAACCTGGTCTTATTTGAAAATATGCTGATGTTAGTGAAGTTTTTTTTAGGAAGAATGTATGTAGTGTATAAGAAGAGTAATATTATCTCATAATGTTATTTGAACATTCATGTTTTGTCCTTATTCAGTCTCATCAGTAGTGTAGAAATTTAAAACATTCTGTGTCTTGGTAATGGGGCATTTTAGGAAATATGCTTACAGGATTTTGTTTTTATTTTTATGTAGTTTCTACTCTAGAAATATTTTAGTTTTTCTGAATCACCCTCTATAAGTAATGAGAACTATATGTTCTGACAGTACTGTAGAGGTATTAGATTTTCCAACAACTAGTTTTTGAAAATTTCTGACTCTAACGAGCTGTGTCAAATGCTTGAAAATAAATGATATATTTTTGTAATATTCTTGTCTAAGTTTAATATGGAGACATGGACAGATGCAAATATGTAGGCACTTAGTGATATGATAATCAAGAGAACCAGTTTAGATGCTTAATTTAATGATAATTAAGTATGTTTGTAATCATTTGTGTCTGTTTAATTATGGTAAAAAATAGTAACAATTAAGTGGTGTATTATGTCAGTAGTTGATGAAAACAGGGGAAATGCATTTCTCATAAAAAGCACCTATATCCTGAAAACTTTTTCTTGACATATCAAAGTCTCTTTCTTGTTACACATTTTTGTTTCAAATTGATGATTTTTAGATCCACAGAATGAGTTACATTTCGTAGGACTAAGCAGTCAAATTTTGATCATGAATTACCCTATTCTTAACATCATTGTATCACTGCACTTGCACAATAAAGTATATTATCATCAATAAACATAGTATATCTAGAATGAAATTTTGTGCAATGGTTATTATGCATTTTACAGATATAAAATCCAAATTTTTCATAGCCATATTAATTTTATTGTTTCAAAGCATTCTGTGTGTTTACAGTTACTGGTCATTAACCATTTTATTTATTGCATATTTACAAATAATGGAAAATTTTAGAATTCTAATGCAACTTGTTTACAATTTATAGGACATAACTATTTATTTGGAAGAAAATAATCAAGTTATCAAGAATAGTAATATAGTATAGTAATACTTGAATGAACATGAGTAAGAAACAAGTTTCTGTAACCTTCATTTATCAGAGCTATTACTACTACTACTAATTTCTAGGTACCAGTTGATAGTATGCTATCTTATCAACTTAAAGAATGTAATTCTACTGGGAATTTCAAAATGTATTTCATCATGTGTGTGGTTTAGCAAACCTACCCAGTACAAACATGTGTAAAAGCATCACACTTATCTGACCAAAGTATCAAAATATATGATTGTTGAAAGAACGAGTCATGAACTTATCAATATCCATTTATCTATAATTTGGTAATTTTAATTTATTGTTCTGACAAAAACCTGAAAACTGGGTAAAAAAAGGATATTACAAATGCTTAATATTTATGTTATGGATTTTTAAGTGGCTTATTTAGAAAAAACATGTAAACTGGGTTTTTTAGTCGTGAAAATACATATTTTAGATTTCACGCATCGACGAATTTCATCAATGGTAACATATCTTCGAGGGGACCTCAAAAATAATTTCTGTTTCTGTTTCAAATTATATGAGTACAAAGAAGATTACCTGCTTGAGAAGAGTTGTTTATCAATTGCATTTTTTTGTATATTTGTTCTCATTATTACTTATTATTATCTATTTATTTGATGCAGGTAACATTGTTGATGAAAGGTAAAATTCCGAATAAAGAAGACCTACGGAAAACAATATGCGGCATTGTTCAGTCAACAGCTTTCCTGAGTGGTACAGGATTCGGGTATTCCTTATTTCTTTGCTCTTTAAGGTAATTTTTTTACTGATAATATCACTAATATCATTGATTAACGTATTCTACCTGAAGATAGCCAACCTAATACTATATTACCGCGTCAACTAAATGATCGGAGATAAAATGAGATAGCGAAGCGTCATGTATGAGAATTTGTCACAGCTGTATCTTTAGTGACTATATATGTGTCTATATGAGCATATACAAACATATATATGGCTACAGCGCTATCTATGAGATACTAACTTTTTCAAATGAATATATAATAAATACAGAAACGGCTGTGACAAATTCTCATAGATAATTCTATGGTATCTCATTTTTTTTTTGACGCGGTAATATAGCATATGGTTTGCTATCTTCAGATAGAATACGTTAATAAATAGTAATAGCAAATAAATCATATAGTTGTTGCACATGCTATTAACTCCTTACAAACGCGAATTTATCAATCTCAAATGCTGAAATGGTTGATAAATGAACCTTTTCTCTCCATTTCTGTTTTTGTTTTGCTAATTTTGTAATCCTCCAAGTGTTATCATAATAGCGTAAATTTAGCTTGGGTTTAGTCACCTTTAGACAACTGACGAAGTATGGCGACTATTCCGAAAAATGAGCAATAATTATAGCCTTTGCTACAAAAATTTAAACGTATGTCCATACACAGTAATTATTTATGTTTATTGTCCACAGACTTTAGGTATGTAAATGATCAACAAATTGTTACTGTTCGACACAGTTCTTACCAAAACACAAGGCTAAAGTAGTTACTAAGGCATTCATTAAATTAATGAGTATTTACAGGGTACTAGTTAGATATTTTATGTCTCTATGCATTAATATACAGGATTAGTTTTTAGTGTGGGCTCTGTAAATAACTCCGCATGGTATCTTAAAAAGTTTATTACAAAAGCTCTAGTCAATATGCTTACTTGGAAAATATTTCTAATTCTGCAAGGTTCATAATTACGTGGTGACCCAAACATAATTTTTTTTTAATGGAAAGACCTACATTTTATCACAGATTCGAATAGGGCCTTCCAAATGAAGCAATTTGTTATAACATACTATAGGGTTCTATTTTCAAATTGTTGAGATATTGGGCAATCTTTTGAAGAAAACACTCAACTTTGACAAGTCACACCTCTGCAACTGTTATAGCTAGGGAACTGAATTTTGTTTCAGAAAAATAATTCGATCCCATATTTTCTCACAGTCTGCTTTTTCAGTTTTCTGATTAGTTTAAAGAGACTGTCAAGAACGCAAAATGAACGATTTCTCAAAATTTTCAAATGGAACAAACAATATTTTGGTATCCGATTTTCAAAAAGTTTAACTGTAACTCATATACTATTCGTTCATACTTCCATAAATCTTATATTGAAAAAAGCTTGTGAAAAGGGGAATAAAAAAATGTGAAAATATACAGGGTACTCCATTTGAAAATTTTGTGTTTGTGAGACCGGAAATTTTTGCTAGAAACATTTTGAGCTGTTATGTCTATTGTGGTTTTGATCTTGAGCGAATCTCGTAAACAGAAACCATATTGTTGAATACTGTATTTCTATCAAAGTTAAATTAAAAAGTTTTTCAATATAATGGAAAGGAAAACAAAGTAATTCACGTTCAACTTAGCTTAAATAAGAAGAAGTTCTAATTTAGTGAAGAAATCCACGAAGAACTCCATGGATTTATTTGACGACAAATTCCTGTTTTACATTCTCATCATAAAATTAAATCTTATTGGCATGTGTTAAAGTTATTTAGATAATACAAAATATTTATTCGCTTAAGTTACTCGCCCAGAGTCTTTATGAGAACTACTACACTATCATCTGAACTAAATCCAGAACCATCTATATTCTCTGTACCATTGAAACATCTATGGTTTACATCATCGACCAATTTCCGTTTGCCGTCCATCTTGGAACTGTGGCTTATAGGTTTCTTGGCCTAATCCTGTGCGAGATATCGTGGTTGTTCAAAAACGCCATTCAGAAATTACAGCAACATCTGTCGGCGATTTGTAAAAAAACAATTTCGCTCATAGATACCTATGCCACTGATGCTTCTGGGTGGAAATTTGTTTTTACTTCCCACGCCTACTGGCGAGTAACTATTGTAATCGCGAAAAATTTCGAAATTGAGATATTATGTTTTTTGGATGTTATATGTACATCACTAAAAACCATGTCGCTCATCCGTCGGTCGCAAATTTTAAAACCCAGGTTGAAAAATTTTTGTAGTTTTTGAAAATCGTTCTAAGGGTGGCGAGCTAGGAGCAAAAACACGAAAAAATCGCTTAAACGTTTTTTAACGTTCCAGATGCTCCTGATATTAGGAGTAAGTACCACTTTACCGTTCTGCGGCGCTTTTGTAAATAGTGACTTAACTGTTTTTTTTTCTGAATTTCATGATCCTTAAATGTACACCCTTGTTGTCTAACCTTAAATTTGTGTTACTCCGTTTTTGATGGTTCTCTGAGTATTTCGTCTAGTAGATTGACTGAATACTTCAACCTACAGAAAACTTGTGAATCGAAGTTCAAATATTGTCGCGATTTTAATACTCCCATCGTTTAGCTAGACACAGATTTTGAAAATTGCTGACAGATGCGGCAGCAATAAAATCGCTGGAACATAGTATTACAACCTTTCAGAGATTCCTGCTCATTTTCAGACATTGTTTGGAGGGGATGAAAATTGTAGACTGAACGCTGTATGTAAATGGTTGTAAATTGTTCCATATTTAGTGTCATTGAAAGACCTTCTATTATTAAGAAGCTGCTGATCTCAGTCATATTATGCACCTTAGTCACACATATTTTCCCTACATCTGCCATGCAAAGATAAATATGATAGATTTGCTTTGTATAGTTTGATATGCAGCGGTCGAAGATTCTCGTGCCCAAACGAACCTACCTAATCACGATTCGATTCCACCTTTTAAAACGATTTGACCCATCCCTTTTCTTTGAAACATCCAACGAAGGCGTAGGAAGTATAGCGTCAATCTACTTGACGTCATTTTTTTATTCAAATATTGCTTAGGTACCTTATTGCCCCAAGCCCTTCACTTAAGCTGACCATGTTGATTGCAGACGACTTCTGGGCAACTTCAACATCCTAACAGTATCCGCCATTCCCGCATTCCTATCCAGCGTCTTTTCCATCTTGATCGAGCGTCCCAGCAGACGTACCATGCTCTGTCTGTACGTCAGCAACGTGGCGACAGAAACACTATGGAACATGGCCAGGGCACGGAGCCTAGTGCGTGACGTCAGATATGGAGATGCTGCCATCTACAGTACTAGCATCGCAATGCTGCTGTATTACTTTAAGAAGGGGTATCATAAAAGCTCCGAGCACTCGGATGCTATGTATCGGGTGATAAGGTAAGAAGTTTTTTGTTATTGGACTTTATTAAGGTTGTTATGGTAGTCAAAACGTCAGTTAAGTCATTTGTTCATTTATGGTTTCATTTTATTTTTCACGTCAATTGGCGCGAACGTTTGCTTATGTAAACTCAGATATACGATCTTTAGTTTCGTCACGCTACCTCGAAAAATTGCTTGCCAGCGTATATGAATTCTTAATCTACGCTTGTCACTGTCATTGTGACAACCCACTTGGCGATTTCAAAATGGTTTACCTTTGATTGATCCTTAGTAATGTAAAACATTGCGGTACATCATCCCCTATCCTTGGACTTGACGTTGAGATTCACCATGAATGTCATTTCAAGGACAAGCTGATTTTTCAAGTAGCCATTTTTTATTGCAGAAATATAAAGTCACAAAAACTTATCAACGGTATAAATATCATATAGGCTAAAATTACATCTAGACATTATTCCAAGGTCAATTGTTGGTCTTTCATGGAATGTTGTAAAGCAGCGGGTAGCTGGAAAAAGGATAGTAAAGAAGAACTTTAAATGCAAAAATTGCAGAACACCTAACTGCACATTTGTTGGCGACCTTCATTTTGACGTTTTATTAAATATAGTATTATAAACTGTCATGATTTTAATTCTAACAGCCCTTGAAGTTTAGTGTAGCAAGATATCTTCTATTTTTAGAATCAATACTTTACTCTTTTTGCGTGCTCTGACAACGTTCTATTGCTCCGTTACTTGGCACAAAAGCGTTGTTAGTTCCATCCTGATGGTAATGTTGGTAATGAGACAGATGAAATAGCTTTAGGCAATGAGTCTTTGTTTTTTGCACTAGGACATTGCGTCCCATTGGCCAGATCCAATCTTGTATATGTATATCTCTAATTTATGGACAAACACACGACGTCACAACATCCATGGCGAAGGCGAGATTCGAACTAGCGGCCCGACCGCCCGGCTGATCAGTAGCACGACACTCTGACCCACGCGGCCAACCGAGGTCCCAGGCTATGAGTCAAGAGTTTTCATATCACAGCATTGGATTAGAAACTCCCCTTTAAAGCCCTAACCTGCCGAAACCCAGCCTGTCTCGCGTTCATTACTCTTTAGCATGTTTTGCTTTTTGCTTCAAATAACCTCCTGGTTTGATTTTACCACCGTTAATTAAACTTTTGAACATGAAATGTTTCTTGATTTTCAGCGCTGGGATCAAAATTGAAGGTTTCCAAGTGAAACACAAAATTTGACCTTAAACCAGTGGCGGCTCGTGAGGTAGTGCCACGGTGCCATGGCACTACCTTGTCTTCTTCAAAAAGAATATTTTTTTCAATCTTCAATGTTTTACTTTATTTTCTGCTTTTTAATTTTTTTTTTTTTTGGTATAAATTATATGAAGTGACAACACTGACAACGTGACAACACCGCAAGCACCCGAACCACGCGATACGGACAGCACGCCTTGACCTTGACGTCATCAACTTGTGCCAATTTTGGGCCGGCCCAAATAAAAAGAGAGAAATTTTACTAGCATCGCATACGAGCGACAGAGATAACGCTACCCTACACATTTTTATATGAGGTGAATAGCGAAAGACAAGTATAATTTGTGCCAGGCACATCATCAGTCGTAATTCGTTATCAAGTGATATCGGCGGTGTTTTTGTTCGGTCGGTCGTTTCGTTATGATTACGTCTAGTGCTGATTTCGGTCTTTTTTTACCTGAAAAGTGAAAAATACCTTTTTTGTTTTAGTACGTCTAGTGTTAATGAACTGCTCTGTTTTGTGATCATATTTTTTACTGTTTTATTAAAACTAGTGAAAATGAATAAAATCGGGATATTAAAAAACTCATTTAGTGGTTTTTCGCTGGATCAAAAACTGCAAATTAAAGAATTAGGACGGCCAATACCCGATTTGAAAATTGAGAAACAAAGTGGTAGCGGACAAAAATCGCGCTGTCGCAAATTTAATAAAAATGTGTACGATAAAAACAGCTGGATATGTGGTTGTGAAGAAACGAATAAACTATTTTGTTTTGTATGTGTTCTATTTGGAGGTGACGAGACTTGGTCAAAAAAAGGTACAGACGATCTTATACATATATGGGATAAAATGAAGACCCACGAAAAATCTAAAGTCCATATGAATAATGTTTTTAGCTTTTCTATTCTTGGTAAATTAAATATAAGGACTCAACTCAATTCGGCTTATCGCAATGATCTAATTAAACATAATAATCAAGTGGATAAGAATCGATATGTATTGAATAAAATTATTAATTGTATAAGGTTTTGTGGAGCATTTGAGTTAGCCTTAAGGGGTCACGATGAAAAGGAAAATTCGGAAAACAGAGGCATATTTAAGGAGCTGGTGAATTTTAGCGCCGAATTAGACAACGAATTGAAAGTCCATATTCAAAGTGCCAAACTTTTCAAGGGTACCTCAAAAACAACTCAAAACGAGCTTCTTGAGTGCATGCTAGATGTTTATCATGAAGAAGTTAAGAAGGAGATTGCAAATTCTCCTTTTGTTGCAGTAATTGCCGATGAAACGACTGACGTAGCCTGTGAATTTCAGTTAGTTATTATTTTCAGATATTTGTGTAAAGGATAACCAGTTGAGAGATTTTGGAGATTTTACGTCCCCGACGGACACGATGCCAAATCAATCGCTGCATGCGTTTTAAATGTTGTAAATCCATAACTAGATCAAAATCCAAACAAATTAATAGCTCAAAGCTATGATGGTGCGTCTGTTATGAGTGGTGAATTGAATGGCGTTCAAAAAATTATTAAGGAAACTTATCCACTTGCAAATTATGTTCATTGCTATGCACACCAGTTAAATCTAATTATGACAAGCGCATGCTCTGTCAATAAGCAGGCTAGAATATTTTTCCATAATTTATCTGGATTGTGCTCTTTTTTTTCGACGTCTCCTCAAAGAACAAAAATTTTGGATGAAATAGTTAATTGCAGATTGCCAAGATCTTCCCAAACACGTTGGAATTTTCAGTGACGAGGTGTTCATTCAGTTTATGAAAATAGGAAAGACCTGATTGAAGTTATGGACAATATAGAAAGTACTTCACGCGATTCTTCGTCGATTAATCAAGCCAGTGGGTACAAATTAAAGCTGCAAGATACAAATTTTGTATTTTGGCTAAGTATATTCCATAAAATAATGCCACATGTTGAAATTGTCTTTAACCAATTACAAAAAGTATGCACCGATTCTGTTAAGGTCAAAAATGATTTAGAGAATTTTGAAGCAGCAATTCAAACTATACGAGAACAAATGGATAGCATTATTGACGAGATTGAACGAGTGCAGAGAGAAACTGATGAACCGCCAAGAAAAAAAAGGCAAGTTGAAGAAGGCAGCAAAAAACGGGAAGCGTTAGAAATATGCGATGCAGTATTATCGCAAATAAGAACAAGATTTAACTTTTCTGGACATTTAGTTGCTTCTAATTTATTTGTGTCTGAAAAGTTTTCTGTTTATAAACATCAGTTTCCTGAAGCACATTTAAATGACACATGCACACAATTTTCATTTTTAGACAAAAACAGGCTTAAAACTGAGTTACAAGTATTATATCAGAGAGAAGAATTGAGTACTACTTCTGGAGCTGTTCCACTATCCATTTTATTGAACGAGGAAGGATTAAATTGTACGTTTCAAGAAACTCTTAAGCTCTTAAGTATTTTAATCACTATACCGATGTCAACATCTGAAGCAGAACGCTCTTTTTCAATGCTGAAACGGATTAAAACTTTCCTCAGAAACACAATGAAGGAAGAAAGGCTTAGTGCTTTACGAATGCTGTTTGCAGAAAAACATTTTGTTAGTGGCATTGAAAATTTTAATAATAAGGTAATCGAAAACTTTGCTACCAAAAAAGAAAGAAGAATGGACTTCATGTATAGAAAACTTTGAAGTTATAGGTACTTCTCCACACTTGTTTTATAATTTGGTGCGCGTGTGTAAATAGTTTTATTTTTGATTTTTTTTTGGACATATAGATTTATTGAACCTCAAGAACTTTGACCACTAACTATCAGGGGTAAGTTATAAGTTATTCTTTACAATTTTGAATCGATTCAAAATTATGGCTTCCATTCTGGCACTACCTCACTGAATTGGCACGAGCCGCCACTGCCTTAAACTCATCTTCAAAGTCATAGCCGAGGTCAGAATCACGGTCACCATCATATGCGCGGGTGTCCTGCAATTGTCGCGTTAAAAGTTCTTATTTAATATTCTTCTTTTTCCTGCTATCCGCTCCATGAAAGAGCAACAGTTGACCTTGAAATAACCTCCACTTGTAATTCTAGCCCCTATGATATTTATACCGCTGAAAAGGAAATTTTTTGACTTTCTATTTTTCCAATAAAAACATTGGCTCCCATTTGAAAAAATCAACTTGACCTAGAAATGAAATTCACGGTGAATGTCAAAGTCAAATCAAAGGTCACCACTAGATGCGCCATTTAATTTCCTAAAACTATTGTATTCAAAGTTCTTTTCAAGTACCCTCTAGTTTCCGAGATATTTGGGTATGGGGTCCCCCTGTATGTATTGGGATATACCAGATCCAAGATTTTTACAAAAAAAAATGATTGTCGAATGGATTAAACAAGATCACTTTGAAATATTAGTTTCACGAGATCCGGATAGCCTTCTCCTTCAGTAAATATTGTTTTGTTTTGAACAAATAAAAAACGACTATAAAATTTGTTCATTGGGTCATTTGTTTGTTTAATAAATCTCAAATATAGATTTTTTCAATTCACTGAAATTCAATGTTTCAGGTTCGTAGTTGGTCCATACGAAGAATACGAAAGTTCTGACAGATCCCAAGAAGCTTCTCGAGCGTTCTACAGACAAGTGCAAAACAGTCCAAACAACGGCAGCCAGAGTACCAGCAGGAGCAGTGGTAGTACCAGTCCGTGGCGAAGCAGAAAACACAAAAACTCGGTACTACTTCTGATAAACCATATGTTGAGGACTTACAAGAGGCTTATCTACAAGATTAAGTGCTGTGATAGACATAGTACCTGTCCGCACCCGTTTAGCTGTCTCTATTATGTTATGCAGGTATTGGGTATTTTCCAAAAAATATTTCTCTAATTATAGTTTTCCTCTAAAACGTATATTATCGTGTTTTTAGTTTATTTATGGACGTGAGGAGGCAAACTTTCTCAGAAGTAAATACGATAATACCGGTGTCCTTGTTCTGTGCACCAATCATTTCACAAATTGGTGGTCTTCATTGAAGGATGGTCTAACGAGGATAGAAGTAGAAAGTTTGTGTTTCTTTTTTTAGGGTGCAGGGAAAATGTTCAGTGTAGGATTAGGATTGCAAGTGTTCCTTAAGTTAATCCTGAATAGCAAAAGGATATTGAGCTCTCCAGTAAATTTGAAACAAGTATTATTTAAGAAACAGACGTTGAACCTAGCAATATTTTTAGGAGCATTCTCAGGTATATTTAGGGTAAGTTATATACTTATTCACATTTTTGATCCACCAAAATGACTGCCAGTTCAAAGTTTAAGTCCTCTGGCGACCATGCAGCTTAAGAAATAATATCTATAGCATTTTGTTTGTTTGTTGAAGCTTTACTTAGCATTAATGCTACAATGTCAATTTTGTATAATTATTCTTTTACATATGTTTTGCCAAATTATGTTGCATGTTCATAAAGTAATTCTTTAATTTCACCTTAAACTTTTTTAAATTCGAACACCGTTTAACATCGTTATTCAGTTAATTAAATTCAAATGCTTCCTTTTGAAATACAGATTTACTAGTTACGCTACTATTACAATTTTGCAGATAAAATCTATACCGCCTCTAGTTTCATAGTTACGATAATGACTATTTAATTTTGTGAGATTTTCTAAATGTGGTGGTGATAAATGATTTTTTATTTTGAATATGAAAATGAGAACTAAATAATATATAAAATCTTTTACATTCAACCACTTCACTTCTTCCAGCATAGACTTAATCTTAGCATATCGTAATCTTTGAAAATGATTCTCATAGCTTCATTTTGTAGAATTTGTAATTTTGAAAATGTTTTCGTTTGCTGTAAAAAAAAATAGTTGTACAGTATTAAAAATGGGAAAGTTCACGCGGCAACCGTATACGCGAGGAAGTGTTGAGAGGTCTTGATCGACGCGTTCGGCGTGCGGGTTAAATAGTCACAATGGAACTTTGGACCGGAGCGCAACGTGCTTTTGCTATCGGGGCTTACTTTAAGAGTGGTGATTTCTATGCAGCTGCCCTTCGGAAATTTTGTACACGATACAACATTCACCGAACAAGAGATGCCCCAAGTAAGAACCTATTGAAAAAGTGGATTAAGAGGAGGGCGTCAAGTAAGTGATTTGGTCATTGCAAACCCTCGGCGTTCTGTACGGGAGCATTCCGCTGCTTTGGGAATCACTAGGTCAACACCGCATGGCATAATGAAGAAGAAAATGGGTTTTCATCCTTATAAAATCCAATCAGTTCATGCTTTAAAGGAAAGTGATTACGAATTACGGAAATCTTGTGCTGAACGGATGTTGAATCTTTTTCCTACGCAGCGCAGACTCTAGATTCTAGAACGTTGTTTTCAGTGACGAGGCACATTTTGACTTATTCGGTTATGTGAACAAGCAAAATTGCAGACATTGGGCACCAACGAACCCAAAAGAGAAACATCAACAACAGCTACATAGTAAAAAGGTGACTGTTTGGTGTACCATATCCAATAGCGGTATTATTGGGCCGTCTTTGAAGATGAAATCGGTCATGCATTGACAGTCAATTCCGAGCGATTCAAGGACATGATTGACATTTTTGCTCCTATTGTAAGAACAGAACGTCGATTTAACAGAAACACATGGTTTTAACAGGATGGGGCCACTGCCCATACTTCCAGAGAATCGGTGTACATGGTGAAAGCACTTTTCCTCAAAAAGTTATATCGAAGTTTGGAGACATTTATCTAAAGTTAAAAGTGTATTCCAATAATCCACGAACACTGTAGGAGCTCAAAGACAACAAGCGACGAGAAATAAACAAGCAAGCAAGAGAGTGTTTCAGAATTTGCGCGCGCGATTAGAAGAGTGTGTCCGAAGGGATGGCAAACATTTGGACGAAATCATATTTAAGAAATAAAACCCGCCGAATTTACGAATATGTTGATAGTAATAAATGTTTTCTCTTCATTAAGCTTGTATTTTTTTCTTAAATCAAAAAGTGAACTTTCCCTGTATGCCAGATATTTGAACGATTCGAGTACTTCAATTTTTTCGTGTATTGTCATAAGTAATATCATAACGGCATCTAAGTTTTCTGAAAAAAAATCGAAAAAACTTGTTGCTAAGTAAGATTTTTGCACCTGCATGAATGTTTTTTGTTAAAAAAATATTACTTTGCATTGTTTTTTCAATTATTTTCACAGGAAAAAGGTAGATGCCCGAATGGTATTTAACAAGACTATTTCATGAGTAACAGCGTATCTGTTGTTCTAGGAGACCATAATTACTTGTTATCAAAGGTATTGTAATTTTTGGTGACAACAGCTGTCAAGTTTTGCCGCGGATAAACTCGAAAAAACTGCTGACCGGTGCTGTCATACAATTTTTCCAACTAGAAACCATTTGTAATTCAAAATTGCGCGTTTGTGATTGGTAGAAATTAAAACGAGGGAAATAGTCACCTACTACTGTTTCTATGTTTTAAGGGATCGATGTGTACTCTTAGAAGGTTGACGGGAAAAGACCGAGCCAGTCACGCTATTCCTGCTGGACTTTTAGCAGGAATTGCCTATTTAAGGTATCCTGACACAACTGTGGCCTTGTATGTGATGTGGAAAGCAGCTCAGGTAAGTCAGATACACAAAAAAACTATTGTGCAACCTTCGCCGTTTGACATTTAAAAATATCACCAATAATGTTACATGCAGTAGTTCCTCTTTCAATACAAGTTGTCACTATCCTTTCTACAGGGTGGCCAATATATAACTGACTGATTTACTTTACGTTTTACTTTTATAATGAGTCGGTTGTTGCAACGATCGGAAGCTACGACAAGATTTCGGTCGAAATAATATGCCCAGTGTCAACACCATGCGTCAGTTGGTGAGGAACTTTGAACAAACAGGTGAAGTTAAAGATGTGTCAAGGTATTCGTATTCGAACTGTTCGTACTCCGGAAAATATCAAGAGAGTCCGTGAAAGTGTAGTGGAGCGCCCTGAGACGTCTGGTAGACCTCGTTCTGAAGAACTGGACATTTGTCTGATATTATTTTTCATACATAATTTCTAAGTTTCAATAAATGATTAAGATGAAAAAATTGACGTATTTTATTTCATTTCACAAATATTAAAGATACAAACCAGTCAGTTACATATCGGTCACCCTGTAGTAGTCAAAGTGTACCTGCTCCCAAACCCTGTTGAAGAGCAGAAGTGTATCTGCCCTAAAGCTTTTTGAAGAGCGGGATTAGCCACTTTTCTCAGGGGGGTGGGGGCAGGTCAAAAAAGATTCTCGGGGGGGGACCCTTCTGGCACCACCTGACGGGCGACCATGGTCAAAAGCTTTTACTAACAGCATTCTCAAATATTTTTGGCCAATTTGCCCAGGTCATGTAAACAATTTGTTTCCTCCAAGTCTGTTTTATTGCTTCAAACCTAATGTAACATCTGAAACTCATCCTATGAAAAAGTCCACTAACCACCGAGGTGGCCGCAACATTAGTAAATAGTTGACTCAACATATGTGAGAGAAAGATTTACTTGTCAAACCTGTTAACATATTCCTTTTTTCCAGATTTCGTATAATCTGGGCATAGAAAAAGGCCTGTTACCAAAAGTACCTGGCTTTGTGGAATTCTTGTATTGCTTCAGCACAGCTATTTTGTTCCATGCCGCCATATTGGAACCCACCAACCTCAGGCCTAGCTACTGGAAATTTTTACATTCCATATCTGGCGGAAGGTACTAATGTTTTATATTTCTCAGAATTAATATCCTATATTATTTCCGAATACATGTACTAACATTGAACATTTGCGATTTTTGTTTCAGAATTGCCTGTATGAGCAGACAGCCGTTGGACATATGGGGTTTGAACACGACAGAATCTTTGAAGCTTGTCTTGGAACAAACCAAAACCGTTCCAGTAGTTTATTTTTAATTTATTTCTAGTATTGAAAATTTTATATGAAGTTTTATATTGTTAGATAATTATGTGCTTGTTGATATTTATCAGAAATTACTATTTTTTCACTTTGTTAATGTTTGTCCTTTTTATATAAATAAACAACTAAAAATTGAAATTTGCCGTTTCGTTTTAATTACGAGTTATAGCTCATGTGCACTGTTTAAAAAAGAAAGTCGTGAAAGGATATCAAAATTTGACCATTGATTAGCGTATTCTTCCCAAAGATAGACAACCTAATGCTATATTCGCGCGTCCAAAACATCCAAGATAAAATGGTCCCCATAGCGTCATCTATGAGAATTTATATGTATAACGACTCTCTCTCTCTCTCTTTACCATAAAGGGTGTTAATTATGTACCAGAAATTTAACAGACGATTCTTTGAGTAATTTTAAGACAAAAAGTTCATATAAACATAAGTCCGCAAATTTTTCGTTCTCAAGATACAGGGTGTTAAAATTTAAGAAACATGGTTTTGCGTAAATATCTTAACTTATCCTTTACCTAATTTTGTTGCAATTTGGTGGTGGTATTTATAACATTAGGCCCCCCTCCAAACCCGAAGGTCACAAACATGAGGGTGACTTAGCTAGCCCAAGCCCGATAGTCACAAAATAGTACCTGCTATTAGTGCCATGTCATTACCATATCAGTATATACTTTGTTTCAAGTGGCAATAAGGTTACTAATGACGTCTGCCACGTGCGAGAGGTCATTCATCATTTTGAATTGGCGACGACTTTCTATGGGCCAAGAAAGATTTTCTGCACGTCGATTGATAGTTATCCAAAAGGATATAGAAATAAATTTGGAAGACGGGATTGATAAGTATGCATCTAAAAACAGAAAAATAAATTATAAGTTTTTAACCCTTTTGTCTGCTGGTCCGTCCGCCTTAGGAGGAGTTTAATCTAAAAGAGCTTGTTCCAGTTTTTAAGTTGTTTTTAGTACAGATTTAAGTTTTAAACTCGATATATTTTTTCCTTACATATTATGTATGTATATTAAAATGTCTTTTATAACTTTGTTTTTTTTTAACTAAGAACGTAGATTATATCGAAGAAGAAAGTTAATAGAAGAGGATTTCCGTCAAATTCAGGCATTTGTGAAATACGTATTATAGTAAGTTTTGAAGAACATCATATACTGTCACCAAATCGACTTATAGAGACCCGGGGCTGAAGCCCCCCCAAAATCAGCAAGCTAGTTGCGCCACTGCCCTGACCTTAAATTTATCAAGTCCAGTTGCCTCTCTACACGAATATTTGTGACAAAAAAATGTACGCCACTGACTTTTGTGCAAATTATATTATGTTCTTTAAATTAAGCAAATAGAAATACAACTTTTTTGTCCATTGATTTTTTTTCGTATCTTGCTTAGATTTCGTGAAAAAACGTCCACTTAATTGCATATCCCTGGACCACACAAAGAATATAGGAAAAAGTTTCTTTTGGAATTTTTTTCTATATTTTTTTATTACCATTTATCTAACAACAACAAATACTAAATAACATTAAAATAATCAGTAATAAAAGATAATAAAAAAACATTCCAAAAGAAACTTTTCCCTGTAGCCCTTGTATGGTCCAGGGATATGCAATTAAGGAGAGTTTTTTTTCTCGGGAACTAAGCAAGATACGAAAAAAATTCAAGAGACAAAAAAGTTGTATTTCTATTTGCTTAAAGTAAAGGACATAATAAAAATTACACAAAAGTCAGTGGCGTACATTTTTATGTCACAAATATTCGGTCAGATCCCACTCAAAACGCCACTTTACTTAATAAATTTAATCAAGTTAGTGCTAAATTAGCTCCTTAATGTTATAAATACCATCGCCAAATTATTAAAATTCGTTGAAGAATATTTAAGATATTTACTAAAAACCGTTTTTTAAATTTTAATACCCTGTTTATATGTACTTTTTGTCTTAAAATTATTCAAAGAACCGGTACGATTTTGTCAACTTAGTGAGTTTGATAGTGGGGCTTCGGGAAGCTGGACTTTCTTTTCGGGCAATTGCAGTTAGAGTGCAATCATTTTGAAATTTGTATTATTTACTTATTATGCTTCATTAAGTACTTATACAAAATTTTATTAAAATAAAACCATTTAAACTGGGTGTTCGGATTTATATGTCACTTAGTATAGTTGTAGTCACCGTTCTGGGTGGTTACGTCATCAACGCCATATGGAATAAGTAAACAGATCGAGTTACTACTCTCTCCAGTACGCTTGAAGTGGGTAACAGGGGGCCGCTGTTTTCATTCTCTTCCTGGAAATACTCTAATAAATTTAGAACGAGCTGTTGGCCTTCTCCATTGATCGTATTTCCGTGCATTGTACAATTATATATTGAAGATTGATAACAGGACAACTCAAATTGCACGCCGATGTCAAGTAAGTTGTCACTCTGACAAGTTTTCGAGACGGAGACACAACTAAAAAATGTATGTCTTTGAGCTTACCGAACAAACGTTCACGCACAGGGGTAGGTTGCATGTGTATGTATGAGGGAGATGGAGATATAAAGGGATATTGGTACTCTTACTTTGACCCGCCAAGAACGGTAATTACAACTATATATTTGAGCATATAGGTGACTACAGCGCCAACTATGAGATACTAACCTTTTCGAAGCATATACAGGGAATACCAAATTTGTCTGAAGGCTTGAGGTCAATTTTTGCGAGAATGAAACGCGGGAAGTGTGTATCAACACATATTAGAAAGCGATAGAACCTGCTGAAGAGCGAAGGTCGTCAGCACATTGCCTAGCGACGGTGACACAAAAGGTCGTGCAATCTGAAAGTGTTCGCACAGGCTTCTGAGTGAGGTTCACTGTCAGCGTGTACGCAGGTGAAAAGCATTTCGACACGCCCCAATGATCGCTAGATGGGCACTGACCAAAATCGACCATGGAGGTGGAAGCCTTGCCTTGGAATCTACGAGAGGCGGTGTTGCCAAGCGAACCAATGATGCAATCTAACAGAATTTGTGGCGATCTCGATCTAGCATTTCGACCTAAAATGGAGCGCCGTTAGGACGGCATGGGTATTATGTAAAAAATGTCAAAAAAACCGAAAAAATGTCATCTTACAGACTAGATAGTGCTTAGGGTGCAAATAGTTCATTCCACGTTTGCTCGCTATGATCGCTGTGACCGTCGTCAAAAGCGTCCATCTATGGAGGAATAACTCAACGACGTGAGACGCTCAAGTCTTTTCCCCAGTATACATTGTTGGTTGTAGATAGCCGACATAGTCGATAGAGTTTATCTCTGAGAATATGTAAAAGAAAGAAAGTTGGTTGTGTATCAAGATCGCATCCGGATGATTATATGTATTGGTCTGCATATTTATAAAATCAGTGATACTTACTATGTGAGAAAATTACTACTGAATATGGTGCCAATGAAGTATATCAATTAGCTGTGCCCCGTCGGGTTATTTATATGTTGTCCTTTCTGAAGACTTTGAGGAGTATTACGGGAAATCACCACCGCGCCCGCGTTGTGTGCAATTAAGCCAAATCACAGAAACATTCGTAATGACGCATCACACAACAAAACATTTTCGCAGTGCCTCACATCTAAGCGCTGAATTGTATTTCCTATTGATATCGCAAAATAAATTTCTATGAAATTCAAACAACTGGAAATAAAAAATAATTTTTGAAATTCAGTAAATTTGCATATGTAATTTTCAGAATGAATGAGAAAAAGTGTATTTGAGACTTGGACTTGGAAATGATGATCAACACATATTATTAGCACACAAATCCTCACTATGCACCTAAGCACTGGAATTTCCTTCCAGGCATAGTATACATCTTACAGCTTTTAGACCTCCAATAATGTCATCTCTGACGCAGATGTTACATCAAATCAGAGCCAAACATTGATAACTGAAGCATCATGACGTTTAGGCAACACGTACAACTACAAACCGAGTTGACAAGTGTCCATCAGCTAGTGCTAAGTTAACATCTTGTAGAAAAATCTACGTTATGTCAAAAAAACTGACCTAATGTCACTTTTCAAGATACGTAATACCCGTGCCGGAATCGATCCTAAACAGATTCGACACAAATTCACAATTCAAGATAAAGCCATAGGTAATTTGGGCGTCGAGAATAAACTAACGCATATTTTCAATATGTATCTTAATTCAAGGAATTGGTGTAACATATATTGGTAACGGGGCATATTGCCGTGTTAGCGTTGCTAGGCAACACCGTGGTGAGCTTCGCTATGCAGCCGGCTTCTATATCTTTCTAACATATTATGTGTCTGTACACATTTCTCTCTCGTACACATTGAACTCAAGCCATCAGACAAAATTGGTTCTCAGTGTATAGTAAATATAGAAACAGCTGTGACCAGTTCTCATCGATGACGCTACGGTATCTCATTTTATGTCGGATAATTTTTGGACGTGCAAATAAAGCGTGAGGTTGGGTATTTTCTGGTAGAGTACGTTAATCAATGCTAATGTGAAATACGTGTATATCGAGTCGATCTACTTGACACTTTTTCTAAAGAGATCAACTACAGTGTTGCCGCATCACAGAAAATGTACCTCAACAACGGAGAAATGTGTTGGCCATGCGTTAGCGTTAGATAAACGAGCTTATGTCCTCAATTGAAACAGAAATATTAAAACGTAAAATGCAAAATCCTCTACTGTTAGCGTACAAAGTAAAGCGAAAGAGCCGTCCTTAGCAGACGCGAGCCCTGGAGCAAAACATTTTTGCGAGGCCTTTTTTTAAACAAAGTGGTCTACCTTGAAATATTTTTATAATTCTCGTGCAAGAAAGTGTTTTTAGCATTTTTGATGAAGTCTTTTCATATCAAACCACGCCAACTATTTACGTGATTTTTTTCATTCGCCATTAGGGGAACATTTTGCAGCATCACAAATTAAGAGGTTGAGGCTGTGACTAGCGCAGGGCATCTAAGATGCCTTTGAATTTATTTCCAAGATCCGTGCCTGTACTCCAGAGTGGATACCTTGCATGTTGGATCCGATATCATATCCTTGTCCTCTACAGTCATTGATTTGTAATCCAATTTCATCTAACACTCGTAGAAGGATATCAGTTAGATTTTTACCTGTTGTCAACATAACGGATACCAAGGAAATGTTCTTCGATGCTTGCGCCTTCATTTCCATTCTGGAGAGAACTTGCATTGATATCAATTCGCAAGCTAATTGAGAACCGGTGTTGTTACTGTTACCAAATAATTTACAGCAAAAACAAAACGCCTTGTCTAGTTTTACTATACCCAAGCTATTGTTCTATGCACATCTTCTCCGTTGCTCATCACTCTTTTGTAATACTTAGCAGAAAAATGTATTTTTTCTTAATTCTTAGGGAAACTAAAATTAGGTACTTGCAAAGGGCCCTGTTGTATGATTTCATCAAACTTAGCAGTTGAAAATGAAACAAGCCAAGCACCTGGATCGATAATGTCAAAAACCAGCCCTTCAACTTCAGTAATAATCGAAAAGGTTTGAGGATCCGATGCTGAAAGATCGTTAATATCAAAAGCTAACCCTCCAAAAGAAATTGAAAGGTTTTGAGGATCAGGTGCTGAAGGATTATCAGACGGCAAAAAATCATTTAGTTCTTTATCATTACTTGTACAACTTGGAATAGATAGATCAATTTCAGGTTTCTTATCCACGATACTCAAACCCTCTTCAGCTCCATTTTGTTTTAATCATTAACTTGCGCACCCTGTTGTGATTTTAAAAACTGTTCACGTTTGTCTTTTTTCTTTTGTTTTTCATAACCACTTTCAAATTTCCGAAATTCGCCTCTTTCTCTAGAAATGATTTAAATCTGTGTCATACACTAAAATATAATCAACATAAAATTCCACAAAACGATGTTTTGCATTCTTTTGGTCGAGATGATTATCTCGTTCGTGGGTTTTGTAATTAATCAATAATTTAACATATTGCGAGACTAGCCAGATAGATATTTCAGGCACGTATACCTGTACATTATATTATTTTCAATCAACCAAAACTTTTTACTTATTTGTTAGCGCGCGTAACGCCTCGCGGCGCGAGGCTCTCCTCAGAGCGAGGCCTGGAGCGACCGCTCCACCCTAAATGCTTTTAACTTTATGGATCATTTTGATTGATTTAGCAACAGCATAGGCAACAGTGCTAGTCCTACATAGGTCCTACGTCCTACTGCGCATGTGACATATGACTGCACGGCCGACCCTACAAATCTCGTTATACCGTAAGGCGTTTGTGTGTTTGTATTCATATGTTTCTGGTAATTTGTATATTATATTATATAATTATATTTTTCACAGCTCCTAATAAGCAAATATTCAGATTTTCTTCTCCTTTCTGCATTCCACCATTTAAATTACTTACTACTTAGTTTTGTCTCAAATCGCCCAAAAGGTAATTCAAAGAGGGTCATGTTTCCTAGGACGTATTACGTAAATTGCAAAAAATTATATTTTCATCAACAAAACATCGTAATTCCATAACGTATTATACCAGACATATCCATATAAAAAGTTACTATATGCTCGCAACAGAAATAACCGTTTTTTGGAATTTGTGTGCTCTTTGTCCAAACGTCAGGCGGGATTCTCATTCATGTTCAACTAATTAAGGACGACAGCAATGATGAACGGTAGCATAGTTTGAAAAAATCATCCCTCTTTTGATTTCAACCAGTTTGAGCTGCAAATCGGCGTTTTTGAGGCCACTAATAATCATTTTTTTGCAGGTGGCCATTTTACTACAATGACCTATTGAAGTACTGAAACACAGACTGAAGTGACAGTGACAATTTTTTAAATTTGCCAAAGGCCGTTTAATGGCCTCTATTTTATAAATATTTTGAAACTATACAATATTGTAAAGTATACCACCCTAAAGGTTCAGTAAACATTCTTGTAAGTCATTCAAAATGAATTTTGGAATGAATCACGAGCCAGTAATATGTCGCTACAACTTGAGAGGTATGTGCAGATTTGGGGGTAGATGCAGGAATATACACGATAATCCTGAAAAAATTGCCGAGAAACTTGTGGAGAAATCAATCGAGAACAATCTGGTGAGAACATATTTCTAGTATAATAATAATAACATGCCTTTATTCGATTCTTTCTCAAATACATATTAGGGTGGAGCACTAAAAATTAAACAATTGAAATTTCAGTGTGTTACCTTAAGGTAGGTATTTTTCAACTCGGCCATAAAATAAAATTACAAACATGAATAAGAATATAGTCATAAAATGATAAATACATGTGCTTATGACATGAGATGATGCTGGTGGTTTGAAAAATCATAGTCAGTCTTTATTTAGCTGAATTTTTGAAAATTGATCTCATCATTATCAGGTAGAGGAGGCAGATAGAAGCTAGATTGCTTTTAATTTTTTCTTGAAAAATTTATCAGACTGTAATTGCAGTATTCAGTTGCTAGATTATTGTAGTGTTTGGGTGCAGTGTATGAAAAACTTTTATTGTATAACAATGTAGAGTGGTAGGGTATAACTAGAGATTGACTATTTCTTGTCACTAATTTGTTAACATCTTCAAATTTATGTAGCTTATTGAAAATGTACTCTGTTTTTTTATTCATTAAGGTATTCAGTTAAAAAAGCCATCATGTAATTAATGTCATCACTTGTTTTAGATTCTAGATTTTCTAGTTCTATGCTATTAATTCCTTATGAACAGATATTTTTCTGTAATTGTACTATAGGCAAGTGGTGAATTGTCATTTTATAGCAACCCAGATACAAAAAATAACATTTTTGTGATAAAAAAGTAGATAAGCCTAGTTTTAACATTTTAGATGGAGACCTCATTATTTTCTGCAGACATTGAACAATATATTGTACTTTAGCCAGTATTATCTTTACTAAACAATATCAGATAATTGTAACTTTATGACAAATCCCTTTACCAAACAAAAGCTGAATTATCCTGCATGCTTTACAATTGCATTTTCAATCAACTTGTATAATCTCTATGTGAACATATTTTAACCTCATTTCCAATGGTATTTGCTTCACTATTCTTCAAAAGATACTAATTTGTAATATTTAGAGCTCTGATGCTCACTTTTATGAGAAGGCTGAATGGACATTATAATTATATTTTTGGAATTATAGTCAGTAATAACTGCTATAAATGTCAGTTGTACTTAGAAAATTGGAAATTGTGATTAGCTATAACAGTCAATTAAACATTACAATTAGCTATAATTGATGGTTACAAGTGGCAATTAGATATAATTGTCAGCTATTAGTCGCTATAATTGCCTATTGAACATTGCATCTTACAAGGCGCGGATACATATAATTGTCAATTACAATTTTGAAACTAACCATTATTGTCAGGTACAAGTCACAATTAATTATAATTGTCAGTTACAAGTTGCAATTAGCTATAATTAACATTTGCAATTAACTACAATTTCTAGCTGTAAGTGACAGTCTGACAATTATAGCTAATTGTTACCATCACTGTTACTTATAGCTAAAAAAGACTTATTGCAACTTATGATTAACAATTATGAATAAAATATTCTTTTTGTGATGTCAATGCCACCCTTTCATATAGTGTCGATTGGTAATATCAGTTTTTCATATGATGTTATGTTAATTGCAGTGTCCAAAAAAATTGCTCTGCCTTCAGAGCATACATGACTGTTTGGAAAAATGCTTTTATTCCATGAAAACTTGTTTGTAGTATCAGAAGTGCTTTGAGAATCTTAAACTTAAATACTAGTGTTGAGTGTTTCTTATAAGTGATTCTTTTATAGCCCCAACAGGATGCCTCACTAGGAGCATGTGCATTGCCACCTACGTCAGCTCCGGGAAAAGAAAACATCAACATGAACATATATGGCCCTAGCACTTCATCTGTAGAGGAAGCCATTCAACTCGTCAGAATCAGCGAGTCCAAGGACAAAACATGCGGAATCTGCTTTGAAATAATACTTGCCAAAGGAACTGGACCTAGCAAAAGATTTGGGATATTGCCTAACTGCAACCATTGTTTTTGTTTTACTTGTATTAAAACTTGGAGACAGTGTAGAGATGTAGATTTAGAAGTATCGAAAGCTTGCCCAGAATGCAGAATAGCTTCAGGTAACATACAAATGCTATCCTTCTCATAATTTTCCTCCCACATTTTTCAACTAATCTTAAATCAGTAACACTTTTAGTGTCAGTCATCAGGTCAGGATACACTATGTTGCAATTACAATTAGATAATGCCATTTACAGGTTGTATACTAAGTGACATATAAATCCGAACACCCAGTTTAAATGGTTTTATTTTAATGAAAGTTGGTGAATGTATTTATCTTACTGTAAATAACAAGTGAAAAAATTTTCAGCCTTATCAATTGGACATTCCGGTTTTTATACTGCTTTTTTTTAATTCACTAACGCTCTAAAAATGAATATTTCAGCCGCAGTAAAGAATCAACGTTGGCGGATTTTGGTTCTTGACATCCTTTACGATCGGTTACGATGCCTAGAGTATGGAGACCTGTACGATTACGTCAACTTAGTGAGTTTGATAGGGGCCGTATAGTGGGACTTCGGGAAGCTGGACTTTCTTTTTGGGCAATTGCAGTTAGAGTGCAAAGAAGTGTAGATACTGTGGTTAGGTGTTGTCAGGCATGGCTTCGAGAAGGCCGTACGCAAAGAGCAAGGGGCACTGGACGCTGCCGTAGAACAACAGACCGTGAAGATCGCCGCCTAAGATTATTGGCCTTAAGGGACCGTTTCTCCACTACCAGGTCCACTGCAAATGAATGGCTTGCAGAACACGGAAGACCTATTGGCATGCGAAGTGTTTACCGACGAATGAGAAGTTTTGGCTTGTTTTCATACCGGCCACACTGGGTCCTCCCTTTAACTCGAGAACACCGACGTAATCGCCTTGAGTGGTGCAGACAACGGTGACTCTGGGATCAGGAATGGAACAGTATTGTCTTTAGTGACGAGTCTCGATTTTGTTTAGGCATGCACGATGGTCGTGCCAGGGTTAGAAGGCGACGTGGTGAAAGGAGGAATCCACAGTTTTTTGTTGAAAGACATGTTCATCACACTGTTGGAGTTATGGTTTGGGGTGCTATAGCTTATGGTTCCAGGTCACCTTTAATCTTCATCAGAGGTAACATGAACGCGCAGCGTTATATCCACGAAGTTCTAGAACCCCATCTTTTACCCTATCTTGACACCCTGGCAGATCCAACTTTCCAACAAGATAATGCCCGACCACATGTTGCAAGAGTCACGATAGACTTCTTTCAACATAATGATGTCACATTGTTACCATGGCCACCAAGATCTCCCGACTTATCCCCAATTGAGCACGTGTGGGATATGATGGGTAGGAGATTGCTCAATTTGCAACGTCCTCCTCAGACTCTAGAAGCACTTCGAGAGGAGTTGGTGGTTGCCTGGAATGAGATACCACAGGACGTCATTGACCACCTGATCAGAAGCATGCCTAGGCGCGTTGGAGAATGCGTAGCACATCAGGGTGCATCCACATTATTAAAGGTCAAAGGGCTTTAAAGCAGTGCAATCATTTTGAAATTTTTATCATTTACTTATTATGCTTCATTAAGTACTTATACAAAATTTTATTAAAATGAAACCATTTAAACTGGGTGTTCGGATTTATATGTCACTTAGTATATTTAGCTATAATTGTTGCTTACATAATAGTTGCAAATGGAGATAATTGTCAGTTAAATGTTGCAATTGAATCCTTTATTGCAAAACTCCATATTTTACCCACATGCTTTTCATACTGAAAATGCTTCATTAAAAGTACATGTATATTCTGGGTATACACCTTGTAAATTAAGCGATGAGACTATTTTTTTTTTATTTAAATATAATCTCAATTTTATATTGTCACCCTAAAAATAACTTCCTTCTGAAGTCACACAATGCTGGAAAGAGTTTTTCCCTTCCTCATAGCAGTGCTGGAACTCCCAACACTAGAATATCCTTCAGCAGGTCAGTTTCAGCCTTTTGAATCTTTTTGACTGTCCCAAAATGAGTTTCCCTTAAGTGATTTTTTAACTTCAGGAAGAGAAAAAAGTCACAACGACTCAAGTCAGCCGAATAATCGGGTTGAGGAGCCGCAAGAATGGTTTTACTGGCCAAAAACTTATTTATTGACATTATCTTCAGTCGATTCTCTCCCTTCTAAAAATGCATTATACCACCGAAAAATCTGGGCTCTTGAGAAAACACTATCTTGCATGTTGCATGCACACATGTTCACTCGCTCCCTTTCACCTGTATCCGCCAATAGCCCCACAGTATCCCATTGGTATTTAGGCCTTAGGCCTTCGTGGAGACTGGAGTAAATGTCAATTACTTTTAGTAAAAAAAGGGAAAAACTGTTTCACAAAAAAATTGATACTGACAACCAAACTTGTACTGAAGGCGGATCACATGTTCCCCTGGCTCCCCCCCTTGCTCGGCACCTACAGTGTTTTCAGATTGAACACTATATTGCCAGTCTAATCATTTAACTTACAACCTTGTAAATCGGTACATTCCTTGCCTTGAAGTAACACCACATAATTCACGTTTAGTGCATTAACATTGTAAGTCCGGGACTGGTTTGCACACAATACTCGACAATGAGTACTTGGCTGGGTCATTTCAAAAGCAATACCAGTATCCTTGTATTGTTTTATTTTCATACTTATTTGTTGTAACTGCCAGAATATCAATTTTAAATTTGCGAACTACAAAAATACGATTATTATTTGTATAACGGAGAAGGTCTCTTAAATCTACGTATAAATAGCTGTTTGCATAGATAGTATAAAGATAGAATTACACCGACAACACTTATCTTGCAATGTAATTTTATTTTTGTTAAAATAATTTTTATGCCTTGTATTAAAATAGGCACCTGAGTTCTCCTATAACTGATTGCTGATTATTAAAGAAAGTTGAACAAATAGGTCTATGTACTTTTTCACAGTGGTAGATTCATGGTTTAGATGTAAAATGGAAAATTCAACCTTCCCAAGTGTTCGCTTTGGCCAGGTTTTCTCTATGTACATTAAAACTATTGAAACATTCAAAATATGGGGCATGTTAATAAGTCAATGTTTAAGTGTAGTTTTCAATAGTAAGCAAAGAAAAATATTAATATGATTCATGTGCTCAGGATATACCACTAACCCTACTTTCTGTTTAAACATTGTAAGTCCCTAACAGTTTTTCAGGATTCTTCATTTATTATTATTAATAAACTGTATTTTTTCGGAATTTCAATCTTCTAGAACTCATTTACTACATTAAGCTCAAAAAACTATTTTAAAATAGTTTTTCAGTGATACAGATTTGATTGCCTCCTGATAACATTAAATTTTGAGATTTACAAGGTTTTAGCACTTATCGATTCAATTGTTGCTGGTCATTACTAATTGTGGCTAATTACAAAGTTTAACTGCCAATTATAGCTAATTGCATTTTGTAACTAAATCTAGCTCTTTGGCGGCCACTCTTGTGGACATCTACTGGCATGGTTACATATATTCTTGAAACAAATTAATCATGAACACTAGAAGTGAAAGTTAACTAATATATTTTAGATTTTGTGTATCCCTCCAAGCACTGGCTAGATAACAAAAATGAAAAGACTATGTTCATAGACAACCAAAAACAAAGAATGAAGAACTTAGATTGCAAATACTATAGAAAGGGCAAAGGAACATGTCCATTTGGGAATAAATGTCTGTACAGACATGCATTGCCTAATGGTAAATTGATAGATGTTGGACCACCAAGACGCTTAAGAAGGAGTGAAGATGGACCCACAGGTATGAATTTCATAGTTAGGTCTAAAAATGGCGCCCATTTCAAAACAATTTCAATTGATATTTTGTGAAGAGCAAAAAAGCTGCAGTTTTTATTTCGCCAGCCATTGATCAAAATGCTAATGCCATACATCCACACATCTTCCTCTTTGGAGTGCACTGTTATATCAGTAAAGAATCAGAAACAACCTACAAAAAATTGAAAATACGTTGGGTGTTCCACAGGGCATTCTCCTGGGACCACTTCTTTTTATTTTATACATAAATGATTTACCTGCCATAGTCAAAAAATGCAAAATTCAGATTTTCGTCGATGACACTATGATTTATATAAGTACTAAAAATATTCAGTCTGGTATCTCTTATATAAATGAAGACTTGAAACTTGTCTCAAAATGGTTAGCATCTAACAGACTAAAATTAAATGCAAGTAAAACGAAAGCCTTGTTAATCGGAAAAAAACAATGTACAAATATTCAACTGAATATTGATGGTGAAGATATTGAATTCGTAGAAAATTTTAAATACCTGGGAGTTTTTGTTGACGCTTGATTAATTTTTGATATTCATTATGAAAAAGTTATAAATAAGATTAGTAGTAAAGTGGGATATTTATCGAGAGTTTCTGGATGTCTGAGTTCATATAGCAGAAAAATTATCTATAATACCATCATTCTTCCAAATTTCTTGTACTGTTCGACTATTCTATATTTAGCAAATAATTACATTTTTGAAAGACTGCAAATTTTACAAAATAAGTGCATGAGAATAATACTAAATAAAGATAAATATACTCCAATTAGGCAAATGCTTAGCAAATGAAAATGGTTCAATGTAAAAAATTTTATCAAATATCTTGTATTGATATTCATTTATAAAGTAAAAAATAATATATTTCCATAAGTCTAACTAATTTAACATCATTAAATGTCGACCATCATTTACATAATACCAGAAATAAAGATGACTTCCATTTAATGACCAAAAAGTATAACATATGCTACAAATCTGTATTCCATCAAGGGTTGATTGAATATAATAAATTATACTCAGAGATAAAAGACCAGAAAACTTTGACAAAATTTAAAGTAAAATTGAGAAATCACTTGTTAAATCTACAATTATAGATTGCCCAGCATTTACATCATACACCATATGGCTTGAATTTACTAGTTCTAAGTCGTTTACAATTATTCTGTTTATGTAGCCAAATGTGCTAAATAAATCTTTCTACTACTACTACTACTACTACTCTCTACTATGATGGAAGATTTATTTAGTTAGAAATAGGATAACCCTAATCCAATAAAAATACATAGCAATAAAACAGCAAAGCTTTAGACAGTTTTGAGAACAAAAACATCTAAAGGGAATACTGTATCTCAACATACTTTCACATAATGCATAGTAACTGCATTGTAACTAATTGTTTTTAAAATAAAGGAAATCTTTGCTAGTTGAATGAGCAATTTGTCTACATGATGAGTAAAATTTAATTTATTATCAGTGGTCAGTCTCAAAAATTTAATACTGTCTGTTTTGTATATCAGTTCATTATTTAAATTTATAAAACCAAAACAGCATTTAAATGTCATAAATTTTGCCATATTTACATTAAACTTTGTGACACCATTTTTGTATTGATTGTATATCACTATCAATTGTTGCCTTAAATTCATTGCCAAAGTATTGTGGTATCGTCAGCAAAAACTATGAATTTACCATTTTTGTTCAAATTTATTAAATCATTGATATAGACTAAGAATAGGATCGGAGCTAATACTGACCCTTGATGTACCCCTGCATTTATATTCACTTTATTCAAAATATATCTTTATAATTTTACAATTTGGGATCGATTTTTCAAATGTGTTACCGTGCAAATATACGAATCACAATCGCGACAACCGATTCGCTTTGGTGAAACGTGCGCGTTGTTCATAATCAGTCCAAACGACTTGACATAATGCCACTCCAGTATTCACCTGATCTATTTTTTGCAAACATCTGGTTAAGATAACGCGGAAAAACAGATTTTATTTATAATTGTCATTTACAAGTTGCAATGAGCTATAACTGTCAGTTACAATTGCATTTAGCATTAGTTGCAATTTGTATTTAGCAATAATTGCTATTTACAATGTTTATCAATCATTCTCAGTTACATTGTGCAATGATCTATTAGTTACAAGTGTCAGTTACTTTTTACAAGTACCTATTATCATCAGTTATGGTTTGGAATTAGCTATATTAAGCTGGTTATTTGCCAAATTTCCACTTGCAACACAATTATAGCTAGAATTATAGCTAATGATTATTTGTAACTAGCAAGTGTAGCTAATTTTTGTTTGTTAAAGATTCATTTGGCATGATTGCTACAATTACATTCCTTTAAAAAACTACAACAATTACATAACATAAAAATATTCAGGAAGACAAAACTTGCATCTCTAGGAATTCTGACTGCTCATGAAATGGGTCAAAAAGGCTTACGAATTTAAAAACCACATTGAGCTTGATTGGCACGCGGGAGCGAGGCGCGGGTAGTGGGGATAAGTAGCTTGGTACTACGATATTTAGTCTCTATGGAACGTTACACCAGTGAGCATTCTGTGTAAAGATTCGTGCACTATCACGCGCCGTCTATTTGGCTCTGAGCTTAACTTAGATGATCTAAATCAGTGTCCTAGTGAAAGTGTAATCAGATTGTGTGTCCGAAAATTCGAGTCTACGGGTTCGATACTGAACCAAAAATCTGCGGGGCGTCGAAGGTCAATACGAACAGACGAAACTGTAGGCGAAGTTCCGACAACCATACGGCGCGATCCCCAGTTATCATCCCGAAAGAGATCAGCTGAGCTCGCCATATCAAGAACATCTTTAAGGCATATTTCGGTAAAAGATCTTAAATTTCACCCATCCGATATTCAATTAGCTCAGGATTTGAAATCGAATGATCATCATTTACGCCGTGCTTTTGCCGAAAAATTTTTAGAGAGCTTTCAAAGTTTGATCAATACTCTCTTTTCTGATAAAGCTCATTTTCATTTAAGTGGATGGCGCGACATCCAGTATAGCCAGCGTTTTTTTGCTGTTGTAAACGAAATGTTTAGTGGTTTTTTCTATGATTTTTCAAAAATCCACTTAACTTAATCACCCATCCTGTATTACTATTGCAGTTGTGTAAATGGAACTCTATATTGCCTCTTGTATAACAATTGTGGTAAAGATTATCCAATTCTATGTAATGTTCTAAATGTCGTGAAAAAATATGATTTTTTATTTTAAATGTGAAAATAACCAAATACGATATTAAACTTTTTATATTCAACCACTGCAATACTTGTAACAGGTAGCTGACAATCATAGGTAATTGCAGCTTGTAACCGGCAATTATAGCTAACTGTGGTTGACAAAAACTTGATGAGTTCAAGATCTCCGTGGCCGCTCATGGATAGTGCTGTAGTAGAAGTAAAACACATGAATAGCAGAGTCACAGGCGTCATAGGTATAATCATTGATTAACGTATCCAGATGTCCAACCATATACTGCATTCCGGCGTCGAAAAAGTGATCTGAAAGATCCTAGTGCCATTTGTGAGACAGTAGTAGAACACTCAAATAAATCTAGAAATCTACTTTGAAAAGAGTGTTTGCTTCTGCTACTGTCGCATAGATGGCGCTATAATCTTCAATCCCCTTTTGACCATTTTTAATATTTATCATTTAATTGGGTATCTTGTTGAAATACGTTGATCAACGCCTGAAGATACCCTTAGATAGGCATTAGAAAAATGTATCTGAAAGATTTTAGCGTCAACTATGAGACAGTAGCAGAACATAAATGATTTTAGAAATCTACTTTCAAAAGAGTTACATTAGTTCGGTTCTACACTGCCTTCAATCCATTTTAGTCGCCAGGTGTAATATGTTAATTAATGCCTGAAGATATCCAATTAAAATAGACATTGGAAGAGGCGCCAAGAAATTGATTGAAGATCCTAGTGCCATCTATGATAGTAAGAGAGAGAGAGAGAGTAGTAGCAGAACCAAACACTCTTTTCAAAGTAGATTTCTAAATTCATTTTTGTATTCATAAATACAGCTCGTATCTTTCATACCCTCTTTTTTGGACCCCGGAATACAGTATATGGTTGGCTATATATATGGTATAAATCTGTAGAAACCATTTATCATGAAATGAACATGTTTGCTTTGCGTCTCTGTATCCACCACCAATCGCAGACAGCGCTGTTTCGGGCTCATTAGCAAATCCTTGACGCGGTATAGGTCCAGTAGTACTGGAGACAGATGAACGGAAAACAAACAAATGGCTATAGTCGTTTAAAAAACTCAAAATACTGTGAGAAAGTAGGCGAAAAATCTGCCAGGTTGATCTCCATCCTCATACCACGTCCATTTCAATCGTGTCTATTTATACTCTGACGTTGCCGTGACGCTGCGTTACCGCGCGTGACGCATAACCTAATCAAAATTTTTTCACGTATTAGAAGACCAAACTTGTCTGCAGATCAGATGCAGTGATCAGTTGTAACACTGATCGTTCATATTATTAATTAAATAAACTAAATAAAATGTAGCAAACAATCCCAAAGGAAGTCACCCCGATTACAAAAGTAAAACAAAGCATGTCATGTCAAACAGAGCGGGAAGTATGCGGAAAAACCAGCTGATTTGCATTGGTCGATTCGGGAACGGCAACGGCAGAAAGTTAAACTTTCAAGCCTAGCGGAATTCCTGTTTATAAATAGTTTAACTTCGAGCGACTGATACAAGTTTTGCGTTACGGGAACGGTACGACAGTGGTGCGGTACGTCAGTCTATAAATCGACTTCAGCGTTAGTATATGTCACTTACCTTGCTGAAACCTGTAGTGTGCGTATTTAGTGGGCGCAATATTCTTTCCAGATCTTGAGCACCTTGTTGAACAAGTGTTGTTACTGGGCCCAGAAATGCTGGAAAGCGATAGTGATGATGGTTTCGATCTGGACTTAAGTGATCCGTTAATCGCCATCCAGTATTATGATAAAGATGACATCGAATACTACATCGCCATGGACCAGTTGATGAATGTTCAAGAGGAGCTTGACATTTCCGATGATGGCGATGAAACTGATTATGATGATTGCTGTTGAGTTAAGGTTGTTTCAGTGTTATATTTACATTTAGTGTTTCGAAGAATTACCTATTTTCCTTGGGATTTACTACCATTATTTTTATATTATTAAGCAATAAATTATAATTCATATATCATTTATTCTTTAATCTTCCCCAGTTCGTACGTGTACATACAGAGGGTCAATTCTTGAAAACAATAATGTAATATAACTGACAAAAAGTGGCCATGGTTGTATTGCTTTTCAAGGAACTGTAAAGATTTTCTTGATAGAAAACTTACTATGTCCAAATCATTCTCTTTAGTAATAACAGGCAATGATTCACGTATTCTACCTGAAGATAGCCAACCGTATACTGAATTCCACCATCCAAAAAATGTCTGAAAGTTACTATTATATGAGACAGTAGCAGCACACAAAAATGATTTTAGAAAAACACTGAAAATTATTTTCAGTACTCGGTTCTGTTGGTGTTTTCTGGATGGCGCTGGAAACCCCAATCCCTTTGATGGTGCCCCTTTAATGCCAATTTTAATTGGATATCTTCAGGCATTGATGAATGTATTCCACCTGAAGATACCCAATTCAAATAGGCATTAGGGAGTCGACGAAAAGGGATTGAAAAACCAGCGCCATCTATGAGACAGTGGCTGAACTAAACACTTAATTATTTTCATAGAAGATCTCTTAATTCATTTGTGTTCTGGTACTCACTCGTAGATGGCGTTAGTATCTTTCATATCCCCTTTTGGACGCTGGAATACAATCTACAGTTGCCTAACCAAGCTAGCAGTCGAAAAAGTGCGGGAATTTCGACGCTGTCCATCAGCGTCATCTCTAAAGAAATTAATTTCGTGATGAAACAATATGGGTGGCAAGCACCAACCGAGCGGATTCAAAACTAAGTTTGTTTATTACTGAAAATATATGAAATTTGTCGCGAAATTTGTATGTGTTTGTCGTATATGTAATGTAGTTGTATTATGTAGCTTCAGTATCAAGAATGTTATCTCATGATTCGAACTCCTGAAGTTGCCAATTTAATATATTATCAACAACACACTAATGCGTGTTATTTGTATAGTGGTTGAAAGAAAATGGAAAGATTCTGATCGCAAATATATATAAACCGAGGGTGCCAAGGCTAGTTATTTTACTAGAGATGGACGGAACATTCGCATTTCATGGATGTTGCAACTGCTACAATGTCTTCATAACAAAAAGTCTCTCTGATACGAAAGATAAACGAAGTTTGAGCGATTGTTTAATTAATTTTTTACCTGGAGCTCCACCGTCACTGGAATGATGTTCGAAACCTACAAAGCGTTTTCGCCCTTTGCATAGCAGAAAACTTGTGTCATTTTTTTTCAAAACCTATGTGGTGCTTATGTTAATAGAGGTGGAAGAAAATAGATAGAAGTAAATTAGTGATGTCCATGTCATGTAACATTTAAAAAAACATATCGTTATCTAAATTTTTCGCGTTTACGGTGGCTTCAACAAAACGATTGAAGACAAAATTCCACGAATTTTATCATTGAACATTATCGTATGTGATTTCAAAAAGGGGCCATGTTCAAATTTTAAGTAATCAATATTATTTCCAGACTTTCAACAAATAGTTCAACTGCTCGAACGTATGCAATTCAACATTGAACGTGAGTTGTTGTACCCAGATGAACACTCTTCTGAAGATGTCCTTTCCGACTATATTTTGTAACTTAAAACTGTTTATATGTTTCTTTGAAATTTTTTAGTTTGTCTCTATATCACTATTTTGTTTTTTGTTACATATTCTAAAAGATAGACCAGGGGAAGGGCGTTTTTGAAACAGGTACCAGCAAATAGTCATTAACCGTATTTCGCAATCATAAATGAGCATTCCTCTGAAGATGAGCAACAGTCAAAGTCTGCTGAACGCACCTACTCCACAGTATACGGTATTTTTGTAGACTCTGTGAATCTAATATCTGTCTCGATTGACTGTTTACTACCTACTTACTTTTATAAATACAGGGTGTCCGCAAAGCTGAGACTTTACACGGCGTATAGAACTTAAAAAAATACGTGGTTTTTCCTAGTAGCATTGTTACCGAAGTCTTGACATAACCAAGATATTAGGCTCCGCAAAATCAATCAAACCTAATCCGCTCCTGTATCTCGATCAGATCAAAATTTGTGAAGGCACGACGCACATCAGTACTCAATCCAGGCGCCTGCAGCGTAGGTAAACAAAACATTTATTTACCAATCGGTTCGAAAAAAAAAAGAATGGCACACTTATAGAGCAATATCGAACTTGTAGTCATGATTTTAATTTATGGTGAGTGTGTGTGTGAGTGCATTTTTGTGAGTGGTTTTGTACCAACATGAAAATAATCCGGAGTTGAAGTGCATATTACTCACGGACGAATCACCTTCACGCGTAACGTAGTGAACATCTTCCGAAATACTCAAGTGTGGTTATCGGAAAATCGTCACGTAGTCCGTGGGTTACATTTTTAACAATCATCTTTGAATGGTTTGGCCGGCATGGTAAATTGTATTACAATACCTAGACTTTCTACAAAATACATACTACCAAAGGCGACAACTTCGTACAGTACTTATGTGACAGAGCCGTACTTGAAATTTCTCTACAAATGAACGGCGAGTACCTAATTTTTTTCCACTACTGGTTTATCAAACATTAGCTTTGTTATTTCAAGAGTAGTTGTTTCTGAAAAGTCCCAACTTACAGGACACGCTGTATTACCCGTTCCCAAAATGCCCTTCGGTTTTGCCCCAAAAACATATTTTTATTTTAATATTTTTTGTATTAAGGTTTTATTTACCTGTGAAACAGAACGATTTAAAAAATACAAACATTTAGGAAAATGTCTGGAACGCAAATTCGGTAATTGAAATTTTATCCGAATATGGCGACATCATGTATCTCGACGGTATTTAAGTCCTACGATATATATAAATATATAAATTTTTCGCATCATCTTTAAAATATTCTATGAAACGCAAAATGAAACAAATCACATTAAAATATAATTTAATTGTAAAAAATTAGTAAATTACTTAATCTTATTTACAATACATTCATACTGTGCAAAAATATCATTTCTTGTAAAAAGTACGATAATATAAAACGGCTTAGAGCGGCGAGCACCAACCAAGAGAATTCAAAACTAAATGAGTGTACTGCTGAAAATGTATGAAACTGATAACATCTTTAGGTGTATTCTAATCGTATTAGCAAATTGGTACACCAATTTTTGTGGGAAAACTTTTTTTCGACAACAAAGAATGAGAAAACGTGTTTTTTGGTATTCAATTCAAAGTGTTGGCAGGAACGAAAAAAATCTTCAAATAAGATTTTTAGGTATTTATGAGACCTACAAAATGAGACTACACGTAGAATGATCCGACTAATAGCAAAAATGCTATGGCCGAAAAACGAGGCAAAATGCAGCTGCTTGAAGTTCTTCAAATCCGTAGGCTTCATACTTCTAAATAACCACAACAAAATTGGAGTCGATTGGTCAAGTAGTTTTTGAGAATCTCTAATTGTTCATCCCAAAACACCTGTCTTCCGGCCATCACTACTAGTTTACAGAGCAATATACAGGGTTCGTTCAAAGGGCATTTTATAGCAAAGTACACGGATTCACCTTGCCGATGTGAATCATAAAATGCCCTTGAACGAACCCTATATATGGTTCAGTAAACTAGTAGTGATGGCCGGAAGACAGGTGTTTTGGGATAAACAATTGGAAATTATCAAACACTACTTGACCAATCGACTCCAATTTTGATGTGGTTATTTAGAAGTATGAAGCCTACGGATATAAAGAATTTCAAGTAGCTGCGTGAAATTATCGTCGAATTAGCAACAAGTGGCGAAACCTGCATTTTGGCTCGGTTTTCGATCATAACTTTTTTACTATTCGTGGTATATTTTTACGTGTGTTCTCATTCTGTAGTTCTCATAAATACCTAACAATCTTATTTGAAGAGTTTTTTTGTTCCTCCCAACACTTTCGACTGAATCCCAAAAAATGGGTTTTCTCATTCTTTGTTGTTGAATTAAAAGTTTTCACACAAAAATTGGTGTACCCATTTTATGCGTCCATGTTTCAAATACCCATTTGAACAACTTGCATCAATAAAACCAGACTTTGCAATTATTTCGCAAACTACAGGGAATTTTCGTCTAATATGATTGTCTAGTGATCTGATTGTGAATGATGTTTTTTTTCAATGCTAAAGCTACATAGTTCTGCTACATTGGTTTACGGAACAACTAGTCACAAATTTAATATCTTTTGGTGGTTTGTGCTCCCCGTCCTTAGAGTGTAAAAAATGGCGCTTTTGTCACCTCAATCGACATTGAATTTTACAATAAAAATGCGAAAAAACTTCAGATATTTTCATCTAAAAATAGTTTTTTGATTTGTTCTGTGACTGATTTCGTTTCAGTTTAGCTTAAATAGTACTTTGGATAGATAAGTCATTGTTGACTAGTAGGATTAATGACAATAATAAAAATAAGACTGAAAAAAGGAACATTAGTCAAATCTATCAAACTAAACCTAACAAAAAAGTCAAATAACATTTGCTCGGATATAAACTTATTTTTTCTTTCTCACTAATACTTCCCAAAATACTACATTCATATCAAATATGATATCAAGATTACGGATGTATTGTCAGTCATATCACAAAAATGGAGGGAGTTGTTCCGTCAGTAAAATCTGCATTTTAGCAGAAATATGGCTCATACTTCTTGACTTTCTATCGTTGTATATTGAACTTTTCTTGTAACAGCTTCCAATAAAGGATTCAATCTGTTCTTAACACTTTCTTTCTTCAAATATACGTAGGCGCATATCAGTGTCACCAGGATGACTACCAAAATCACCAAGAGTACCTGAAAAACAAAGATGAAACGTGGCAAATATATACATTTTCATTTTCAAGTAGCCACGGAGGAATCACTCAAACACCAAATAAAAAATAATTCAACTTCATGCAGATTTCGTGTGTCTTTGTTTTCTATCTGAACAAATTAAGGTAAATAAAGTTTTTTCTAATTTTCTCGAAAACAAATCGACCGATTTTAAAAAATCAAACTTCAAAATAAATTACTTCGAAAGAACTTTCAAACAAGCTATTACTCGATACACTTTGTCATTTAAAATTTTTCAGAGGATAACCCTTAAAGTTGTCCCCTTTGACAAATCTTTTGACGTGTCTTCTTTTAATCAGTGCTTTTCGATAAATCCGTGGTGGGAAGTTTTCAAATGAGCACCCTGTATATACATGCATACTAACACACAAACAGGTCAAGTTAAGTAAAAGTTTGCAAGAACGTTTCTCACCTTCAATGCTTTGGATACCTTCGCGCTCTTCGTCTCTGCCAAAGTCATTAAATTAAGGAGATAGTTGTTCCCATGTTTAGTTTGTAAACACTGCAATCTAAAAAAGGCAATATAAGTAACTGCTAACCGCAAATGAAGACAATTCAGAAATAACAGATTTATATTTAATAATATCTGTGATGAACGAGGGTTGATCGATGTTGGTTCGCCCCTGACAAGTGATTTAATAGGCTATGTTGACAAAATATTTAGTTTATAAGTTTTAACATTGTGTGCTTTTTGGTTTATGTGTGACAAGAATATTAATAGAAGTGGGTCCGTTGACCAAATATTCACAATGAAATGTCTGTGGAATAGAGGGTATAGTGATCACTGAAATCAATAAAATATTTTGGATACTGTTGGATTTTAAACATAGCCAAAAACATCTTGTATATACCAACATGGCGGTTGGCCACCTGTAATGGTTGCGAGAGACCCAAACATTAAAAACAAATGCATAATATGATGGTGCAAACAGGCGTGTAGCATTCAGACCTATCGTGCAAACTTAAATCTCTCTTTATTCGTCATTGTCTGTCAGAGCGGTCCTTTAACCAAGAGCAGGACCTTTGCTCTTGGTTCAAGTCTTGTAAGTCAGTAGGTCTGTCAGGTCTGGTTGCCCAGATACCAAACAAAGTTAGGGAGAAAGCAGGGAAGAAGGAAGTAGGGAGAGCAAAGGAAAAAGAAGTGCGTCAATTTGAGGGGTGCCTTGGCATTGCTAATTAGTCTTCGGCAATTTTAAATTGATCCTAAAATAAATTTTGGGATTGGTTGTTGAAGAAAAATTATAATTTTGGTTGAACCTGAAGTCGAACGATTTAATTTTGTTCACAGTGTGAGTCGCGGCCTTGTGTGCTTACGAACTTAGTCGACTGTGTAGTCTATTGACAACAAAGGGTTGCTATGCGATTCCGATTGACTATAACGTAGCTGCGCTTGTTGTTTGATGTAGTCCCTTAGGTAGGGGATGATGTCAAGGTCTCTGTGAAGGGTCTCGTTGGAAACATACCATGGGGCGTTAGTGACTGTACGCAAGGTTCTGTTCTGCAAAACCTGCAGGCTACGCAAATGCGTTTTGGCGAGACAACAAAAAGCCGCACTTGCGTAAGTGATCGCTGGTCTAATAACCATCTTGTATAGCCGAACTTTGTTGGTCAAACTCAATTTTCATGTTCTATATAGCATATGGTAGAGTTGCCGAAACGAGATTTGGAATTTCGTTTTTAACGCTTCAGTGTGCTTCTGCCAGGTCATCCCCTTGTCAAGAGTGACACCGAGATACTTAGCAGAGCTTTCCCATGGTACCCGAGCTCCATTCACTGAAACCTCAGACGGGGCGCTGCTACGGTTTTTAGTACAATCGATTGCCTGCGTTTTCGAATGATTAATTTTGATCAGCCACCGATTCGCCCATTCCAGTACCTCAGCCACTGCACTTTGCAGCCTGTCGTGAACTAGATCCCCAGAACACGACTGGGTCACCAGGGCAGTGTCATCAGCATAGAGATAGATTTCACAGTTGCTGGGGCAAGGGACGTCATGAATAAAAAGTGAATAAAGGACTGGTCCAAGAACCGAACCCTGAGGGCACCGGCTTTGATGGGCCGTGTTGTCGACGGAACGTTATTAATTTTGATCCGAAATTTACTACCCTCGAGGAAGGATTTCAGAAGTTTTAGGAGCCAGAAGGGGAAGCCTTTAGGGATCAATTTGTAGAGAAGGCCCTTGTGCCACACCTTGTCAAATGCCAGAAGCAATATGCCAGTACTTTCGTTACGGGTGAACCCCCTGGTTACTCGTTCAACAAGCCTTATGACCTGTAGCTCCGTACTATGCTCAGACCGAAAGCCAAATTGCACGTCAGGAATCACATTGTGGTCTGACGAGAAATTTTCAACGTGACGTAGAATTACCTTTTCAGCGAGCTTAGAAGGAGATGACAGTAGACTAATGGGGCGAATATCGAGCCCACCTTCTTTGGAATCATTATGACATCAGCGGTCTTCCACGCCGTTGGGAAGTGCTGGCTGCTTAACATGGCATTGATTATTGCCACGAGATAAGTTAAGGACTTCCGCGAAAGTAGCTTCAGCGCCTTATTAGTGATTCGATCCTCTCCAGGTGCTTTACGCACCTTGAGGTCTTTAATATGACCTTGAAGCTTTGCTGGTGTGCAATGCGGAGTCTCAGGAGATTCCGCTGATATGCCATGCAGCTCTTCAGTTGAGGAATCTTCTGAAGATTCCTCTGAGGAAAAATCACTAAGGGACGCACTACTGCCACTGACGCCGTTGGCCCTAAAATATCCCCTGACGGATCTTACAATATGTTGCTCCTCGTCGAGGTCATTATCAAGGTCGTGGTTGGGAGACAACTGAGTTTCCATTGCATCAGCGAAAACCGCAACATTTTCCTCTGTCCTACAGACTATGCACCTAGGGCCGTGGATGTGCGGGAGTTATTCTCGCTTTCCGTTTCTGAGCGACTTTGCAACTTTCCAGAGAGGAATACTTGAGTCAAGCATCCCCGACAGAAATTCGCTCCATTGCTCATTATGGAATTTATGAATAGCATTTATCATTTCATGAACAAGATTCGTTGCTCTGTGAATGCCATCTGGGTGACAAGACCTCTTCGCTTGCTTAATTGCAGCTCTTTTGTCAGAAATTTTCTGACGAATGTCTGCAGCGAGAAAAGGTCTGCGTGTCGTGGTACTGCACTTTATCTCAAAATTGACAGATTATTTAAAGCCAAACTTCTGGGGAAGTGGCGAAGACTTTCCACCATATCTGCTGCACTGCTATGGTTGCCCAAACCCAAGTACACTTTGAATTGGTAGATCACCACCGTATTCGCCAGATCTGATCCCCAGTAATTTTGGACTATTTCCAAAACTGAAAGAACATTAGTGAAAAGCATTTCAAGAGATTATTAACATATCTTTCGTAGTCTTATTCAAAAGGACCCCTTTTTAAGGGCAGAAAAAAAAGAATGTTCAGGTTCTTAAACACCATCCTACACGATGTTGTGCTTGAGATACCAGCAATAATCCTAATCTCTGTGAAATAAAAACTCTGTTATCAATTAAGGCATAGTACAGGCTAATGAGTTAGCAGCTATCAAAAACAATTTTCAAGTGACGAAACATATAGACATAAGAATTTAAAGTATTACAATTATTACATGTCCCAATGCACTAAAGGAGAAGACCAAGTGACTTAACAGCTTTATTTGCTCTTTTGATATTTCCATTACAGTCAATTAAAAGGCCGTCAAGATGATGTTGGCGAGTTTTGTATTGAATTATTTCAGTTTTTTCTTGCTTTAGGTTCAAGTAGCTACTAGAAAAATAGTGTGTTAACAAAATCAAAAACTGTGAACATTTTTCCTCAATCGGCATGCCTGTGTTATTCAACATAATGAACGAAAGGTCATCACCATAAGCCACGTAAAATTCATCAAAAAATCTGTGTTTTATATCATTAACATAGCATGAAAAGTATGGGACCTAATGTTAGTAGTGACGTTGATTAACGTATTCTACCTCAAGATAGCCAACCTAATACTATATTCGCGCGTCTGAAGAATTATTTGAGATAACATGAGATACCGTCATTTATGACAATTTGTCACAGCCACCTTTCTCCTCTCCGCAATAATTAGAAATCTGCTTTAAAAAGATTAGTATCTCATAGATGCCGTAGCTAACTAAAAATGAGCATATAAGTACAGCGCCATCTATGGCATGGTATATTTCATTTTCTTGAGGATCACATAACTTGTCAGAAATGGTCATATGCCTGATGACATCTACATGCAAAAGTACTAGATTTACGTAAAAAAGACAATCATGGACGTTTGAAATGTAGTACGTGGACATTAATAAGTTAAGTACAGATATTCACAAAAAAAAATGAGAATGAAGACATATGACGATTTGAACTAGAACACACCCACCCAGGGAACATAAACGCATTAAAAATAGTAAAGTCAATAAAAAAACAAGCAGCAACATTTACATGTTAAAATACTCTTCTAGGGAGTAAAAACATGTTTCTTCAGGACAAAAATATTCGTACTTCTTCGGAACTCATTTGGCACATTATCAATTTTTATACAAGCTGGCAATATATGAGCATATAGTATTAGGGTAACTATATTCAGGTAGAATAGGTTAATCAATGGTAGGGATTGTGCAGACAAATTATGCAAATTAAATGTGTAGCTTTATTGCAAGTGGGTTAAGGTCGGAGCGTCCCGATCAACCTATGTATGTATTTCTGAGATAAACAACGTTACCATATTGTCCATACTAACTTTTCTGGGTGTCTGACAGTGACATTAGTCGTTTTCAACCACTGATACAATTCTCGTACAGCATCTCCGCATTTAAACGGATTTCCAGCGATGTCGATAATCAAAGATGCTTGACGGAATGGAGGTACCTTTCGATCAAAAGTTGCCAAATCTTTTTTCGAAAACGAAGTAATATTGTTGTTCTCAAGATCGAGATATCTAAGCTTGGGCAGGCATTGTATATCAAAATTCAAACTGGGAATGTTGTTGTCACCTGAAAATCAATATTGATCAGTATTGTTGCAGCCGAAACGTCAGTAAAGCTCTAATTTCGGGAATATTGGTCAGAGAAAATGCGATGGAAGTTTTGGAGATTTATTTGTTTTACAGTTTGTTTTCCTGCCTCATTCAACAACAAACGTATCACAAAAGTAATACAGGCTAATGGGCGATTCATAGTTCCTGATAACCTTGGCATACTCCATTTCCTTGTTCCAAGTAGTACAACCAATAAAAATGTATTGGCCTTATTAGCATTTAATAGATAAAATTTTATTACTTTGAAGTACAAATTGGAAAATGAAATTATGGAAAAAGTTTTTGTTTATGTTTTATTTGGATCCTGCCTTCACTAGTGGCTAGTTGATATTTTACCTAGATAAATATCATGAAGTTCGGGCAAATCACAAAACACTCTTTCGTCCTTGAAACCTTTGATCTCATTTTGTTCCAAATGCAATTTGTAAAGTTTCGTCAAATTACTATTTACAAAAATATCGTGAAGATCATCTGCCAACGCAGCTCCAGTATTGTCCTAAAAATAAAGTGTCTTTAAATAGTATCGCACCCTAGTTCAGAATCCCAAAAAGTGGGCAAACAATATCATTTTGGCATTCATACGATTTTCAGAATGAAATGACTTTTTTGGGCCGCTCATTCCAAATCGGGGGTTAGTTTGTCTCTGTGAGGACATTTTATGTAAAGTCACGTCAAGATCTTTTCAAGGACGCATATTCTAAAGGTGTCAAGCAATTTAGCCCACCTACACCCTACACGTCATTTAGGTTTTTCTGGTCGCTGAGTCACTGTAAGGGCATTTGAAGTTCATTTTAAGGACAAATTCAGAATAAATCTAGCAATTGAGTCTAGTCGCGTGTTATATTGTTTTTTGTGATAGCTACGTTCAAGCCAGTGATCAATTTGTTTCTAATGAGGCATATCGTCACTCAAAAGATATTTATTATAGTTAAATAACCGTTCCGACCACCTAGAAAAATATGGCATTATATAAGGTTATATTTCTCAACAGAAGTTAGCAAGAAATGAGTTTATACGAGGGATGTCTTTTAAGTTTTGCATATGGAAATAAAAAAACACGGTAGGTAGTTTTAAATGACTTTACTGTTTTATTCTCCACAAAGATTAAAACACATCTGCATGCGCTCAAACCAATTTTCGAAGCACTTATTCCACTCGTTTGCTGGCAGATCCAAAACGGCATTTTTGAATGCGTCAACTGATTCTTCTGGTAACTGGAACCTTTGACCATTCAGTCTGTTTTTAATTTTTGGGAAAGTAAAGAAATCGTTAGTACTTAGATCGGGACTATATGGAGGATGGTCCAATAATTCCACGTTTTCTTCCGTTAAATACTGCCCAGTCTTTTGGGCGGTGTGCGAGCTTGTATTGTCTTGGTGGAGGATGATTCCTCTTTCGGGGTTGATTTTTCGAAGCTCGGTGATGACTTTTGGCAAACAAATGGTGGTATACTAATCCGCAGTAGCAGTTCTTTGCTCATTAAGAGGAATTGTTGCAATATGACCCGCTTTTGGCACAAATGTCGCGACCATCTTTTTCGAAACACTTCTGTTGGCTTTTCTTCACCTTGGAACACCCAAACAGCCGACTGTCGTTTACAGTAAATCCACAATTCATCACGACTAACAATGCTGTACACATTTTTTGAGTATCCGGAATTGAAACGGTCAAGCGTTTTTTGACACCAATTAACCCTGGCTGCTTTCTGCTCTTCAGTCAACAGGTGGGGTATCCAACGAGAAATTAATTTTCTTACTCCTAATTCTTCATGTGAAATTGTTTGAATTGAGGTCTTTGAGATCTTCAAGGACGCCTCAATTTCGCGATATGTCACATGTCTATCTTTTAATTTAAGTTTACTAAAGAGTGAGTTTAAGACTCAGTACTGACGTTCGATCCACACGGCTTACTATGTTTCTAAATGCAAAACTTTGTATGGCAATACAACAAGGTTCACATTTCTATCAATTTGGGCAAAGGCCAGGCCCAATACCTCTGAAGAAAAGAAACCTAAAACAGAGGAACAAGGAAAACAGTAATCTATTGGTACATGAAATAGAGCAATAATGAAAGATTTCTATCACATCAAATGAAAGTTCGTCCCTTTTTTATTAGAGATACACGGAAAAGGGAACGAATTCTCCCAAAATCGTTTCTAATTTTTTCTGAATTCACATGAAATAGGATTTCAAAACAGACTACTGCACATTGACATTACCACTTTTTGATCTCTGCAAGGTGGCATAAATATAACATCAATATGATTTTTCTCTCCCCCGCCTCAATTTATAATATATTATACATATTATACTAATAGTTTGAAATATCATACCTTGTCATACATTATTATAAAAAAATGTTTTCCGAGTAAGCCTTGAGATTATCATAGAATATAAAAGATGATAACATGTTATGCATTGATATAAAACTTCAAGTGCTTAACTTCATATAGTTATTTCAAATTGATGAAATGTGGAACAACATAATTTAACTCATTTATATTATTTAAGGGTAGTAATAAAGACATCGAAAATGCTATAATTTTAAAAAACTGAGAGCTGAAATGTCAGTTCAAAATTCCAATTATGCCACCGTGTAGAATAGAAGGGAAAAGGCGGTAATGTTATTGTGTAATTTGTTTGAAATTTATAGACAACGTGGAAGTTTGAACAGTTTTGTTGCAGACTAAAGCCAGGAAAAAATAAAAACGTCTTGGAGTGAATTAGGATATATTTTGAATTTCCAAACTGTTCAAGTTCCATTTTTCTATTTACCTAGGCAACTTACCCCCATAAAGTACTCCGCGTCGTTTAGGCGAATGTCATAAGATCAGTATTTACTGTGATCCGTCCATATACAGAGCGTTTCAGAACTAAGGGATCAAACTTCTAGGGGTTATTCAGTGTAACAGTAGAAATCATTTGAGTATAGGGACCCATATCCGGAAAAGTGTCACTACGGTCCTAAGACGCGTTAAAATTTAGAAAGACGATGAATTGCCTAAATAGAATTTAATGCATTTAATTTTTGCCTTTTGTACATGATATCATAGCAACAATTGTTCAAAATGTCTTCCTCCAACCTGAATAGACCGATTTAAACGTCGTACATGATTTCGGCGGACTTGACTAAAAATTTGATACTCGTTTTGACTGATTTCAAATGCTGCTGTAATTCGTCCAATTAAGTCTTGCTCTATTTCTACTGGAGTTTCGTAAACTAAAGACTTTACATGTCCCCACAGGAACGGTGTATTCAGGTTGGAGGACGACATGTTGAACAATTGTTGTGATGATATCATGTACAAAAGGCAAAAATTAAATGCATTAAATCCTATTTAGGCAATTTATCGTCTTTCTAAATTTTAACGCGTCTTAGAGCCGTAGTGACACTCATCCGGATATGGGTCCCTATACTCAAATGATTACTACTGTTACACTAAATAACCCCTGCAAGTTTGATCCCATAGTTCTGAAACACCCTGTATTTATCATGCGATGTGATACAAACATATCACTGTGTATCCGGGATGTCAGTAATTATTGATGCATAATGAAAGGCGAGGTTCGAATTTGAAGCATACGTAACATATATAGTGCTTTTAGCAAAATCATATCTATACATAACATCGATTTCAACTAATCCTAATAATTTCGCATCTAATAGATATTGATTCATCTTGTACATGAATAATTCAATTTTTTTAAAGAATGTTCGCACCATTTGATTTTTGCCGAGCCACGGAAGAAGAGGGTGGCTGTCCCTCTTGCCCCCCCCCCCCCTGGGTGCGCCCTTGGTCTGCAATGGTTAAAGCGTACGCGAAGTTTTATTTTCACGGCCAACTTATCATTTAAGGTGTTAACATTAAAATAGAATATAAATTTCATTCAGTTTCGTTTCTTTGTTTTTTGCCAAGTTTTCGCAAAAATGGACCACTATGAGTCATTTTCAACAAGCGAAAGTTTAATACATATATAGAACATAAATTTATGCTATTTTACCTGGAAAGCATTGGTAAGATGCAACTCCTGCAAGTTGTAAAGATTGGAGAACACTCGAGGATGATGAAAATTATGCTCATCATCAGAGGAAATTGAAATATTGTTGTGATTTAAAAGTAGCCTGGTTACATTTGGTACATGATGGAATGCCTTGCCTTTTATGTCATGAATTCCGTTATTTGACATATCTATGATCCTGTAAAAAATGACATTTAGGAAGAAAGTTTTTAGCTATTTTTGAACTTATGCTGCGCATAATAGTCATTTTAATCCCAGATTCTAAATCTAAGAAAATCAATGAGAATGAATATTACTGCAATCTGTTTTGAAATAATATATCAACGCCTGAGTAATTGACCAAGCAAAAAAACTTCACTACCAACTTTTGTTTTTTCTTTGTTATTTAGAATTTATTTATATTCGTTTTGTATGTCCTCTTTAATAACCCTGGCTTTTTTTACCTTTTGATGAAAAGTAAATTAACTAACGCATGTAATTATGTCTCATTGTCTTTCAACGGTTTAAATACATTTTGAGAGTGTATGAATCTGTTGCAACGTCAGCTGGCTTTATGACAAACAACTTATTTTTTACCTCAACAATAGGCTCTATGACACACTACGAATTCGAGTTCAGCACTCATCTACGTGTACCATGTTCATCAGCTCATAATAGAATGGCATATCATCTTCAGCGATGAATCGCGATTCTGTCTAGGTACGCACGATGGTCGTAGAAGGGTATGAATGAATTAACCTTGAAATTAGAGGCATTCCGGCCACCATAAGGAGCCAGTGCATAGGCCGCTTGAGCGAGCCCTTATGCATCTCTACAATCCTTAGATCACAAGCCTCGCCCATTTAGCGAAGCTGAGAATCGCCTTGAGTCCAAGCTCCTTGACGTCCTGAGGGTCCAAAGTAATGGACCCCAGTATAGTCTGCCTATAGTAGCTCGGAGCTTCACAGCGACACAAAACATGCGCCGAGGTATTTTCCTCTACCCCGCAGCGTTCACACAAGGGATCCTCAGCCACCTCCATCACGTGCAGGTGACGCCTTCACGTGTTATGCCCAGACAACGGTCCCACCAGCAACCTTAGGTTGGCTCTATCCAGAGATAGGCAGAAGCGTCCATCCTTAGCACTGGGCCCTTCAATGAGTTCCCGTGCCTGGCGGAGATGTCTGGAGATACTTCTCCATTTCTGAGAGTGTTGTCTTGCAACCCACGTCTCCATTTTCCTCCTAGCTTTATGCGCGGTCACTCCTAGAGCTGGCTCAGGACCAACGAGCTTGCTGGCTGATCCTGTTTTCGCCAGAGTGTCCGCCGTCTCATTGCCCCTTATCCCAGCGTGCCCCGGTACCCATATTAACGATACCGGATGCCTCGCTGCGAAGCAATCCGTAGAAGGGTAAGTCGTCGCCATGGAAAACGGCGTTACATTATATTTGCTGTTGAGAGGCATGTACACAGGACTATTGGAGTAACGATTTGGAGCGCCATTGGCTATGGCTTCTCTTTATTCAACGCATGTTGATGATGTCCTACAAACCACTTTACTGCCGTATCTAGAGGGCCATCAACACGACCTGTTGCAGCAAAACAACGCACGTCCCCATATTGCTCGTCGTACTACGGGCTTTCTTCAAGGAGTAGACGTTAATGTTTTGCCGTGGCTACCCCGTTCAATGGACTTAAATCCCATTGAACATGTGTGGGATGTGATGGGGAGGAGACTATCCACTTTGCACCATCCGCCAGAGCTAATCCACGAAGTTCGAATTGCTTGGAATGAGGTGCCACAACCAGACATCGATCATCTCATGTTGTCGATGCCTAGACGTATACAGGAGTGTATTCAGCTGCGAGGTCGCCCCACATTATTAATTTTTTTTCTTATTACTTGTCAATAAAATTTCGTGAGAATGTTATCGTTTCATTCTTGATGTAAGACTACCTGATTGCCAAAAAATCAAGTTTAAGAAATAATTATTTCTGGTTGCAACACTTCTAATGTCACCGTGTATAATTTATGGAGTTCAAATGGAATTCAAATTATTATTCTCGTTATTATAAGTCAATCTACTCGATTACTTTATAATATATCTTCACCTTGACAACAAACATTCACAGTAAACAACAGTTAATCACAGTTAAAATGAAGTATATTCGTCTTCACAAATGCGATGTGAATATTAAATGATGTATTAAGCAACGTTTCAATCAAGCGCCCACATCATTATTATGTATGATGGAATATTGCATGTTAAAAGTTTCAGCATGCAGCCATATTATATTTTTCCGGTTAAATGATTTCAATTAAATGTTCTATTTTTGAAATGCGTATTTAATACATTCTTACGCTCTCGCAAAGAATGAAATACGACCATAATTGCTGCATTACATAAATTATTGCTTTGCGGGTCATTTCACTTCCTCGTGTCTGATACAAGGTGCATTATGACTTGACAATCTTACTTATATAAAGATAAGATAAAGGAATTATACAAGGTGATGGAACAACACAAGTCAAGTAAATAAATTCGGCAAATACGTCGGTCCCGGATCCAGGTTGTTTCTGAATCAAAGTGCTTTATTTGTAATTACCTATCAACAAAAAAATGAATATAGTTCTCTGAGAAAACGAGCCGCATAAACTATATACACTCTTCTAAAACTTCACTCGACTTCATGCTGAGTCAGTCAGTTCACCAATTTCGGAAACAACAAAGCTGTACAGTATCTCAAATTCAGACTTATGAACAGCTGATTTTTTTCATATTCAAATTCAGCGCCCTATATTCGCCAAAACATTTTCCGCTACAAAGTCCCATATTTTTTTATGTTTTCAAAGTGAAATTTTTCTAAATTACCGGCAAGATTTTGATCTAGAAGACAACACGTTGTCTCGGCAAATCGGGTATGCAGAATCCGAATTCGATGTCAGTTTCAAGCTACGACACAAATAGTTTCAAACAACCCAGATTATACATTAAATGTACCCCCACAATACTTCACGGTATTTTGACGGCCATATCCAAATTCAGCGCTCACAATTAGAGTTTGAGGTTTCTTATGACGAAATTCCTAAAATTTCATTGCAGAACTGTGATTTGGATGAAGTCCAGTATCTTGGGTAAATCGGAAACAGACTCCAATTCCCACTATTTCGAGGGAAAATTGTCCAAAGAATTCAAAAATTGCCTTCAAATTGCGATCTGATAATTTTTTGGGCAGATATTTCAGTCAAAAGTAATTTATTTCAAAACTTATCACCGACACAAAAAATCAATAATATTAATTTTTTTAGTAAAGAAAATGCATCAACACATTTGCTTAGTGTTAATTGGGTACCACAGTTTCTAAAAGGTATTTGCAAAAAAAAGTATAGTATGTCCAGGATGAAAAAAAAGAATTCAAAAATAGTTTGAGCTACAATGTCGCTTAAATGAGGATAATGTCGAGTAATGTACCTCACATGCAGTTTACAGAATTGGGCTGCCATTTTTTTGAAGGAAAATATAATATAAAAAATTTGCATAATTAGACTTTTATCCAATTAACTCAAAATCAGAAGAAGACAGCCAAATAGTGTAAACAGTGTTTGGAAGGTATTTATAATTTGCAACTTTTTCCTCTGCTTGCATGATGAAAACGGTAAATTTTAGGCCAAAACAGCAAAAATTAGTTCTAAAGGCCTACCCAATCAATTTTGGAGGCCCAACAACAAAATTGATTCATATAGAGCGATAGGTTGATCCTTATCCTTAACAAAAAATAATTTATAGATTTTTTGGTTTGGGAGGCATTTAACCTGTAAACCAAGAAAATAATAGAAATTTCGAAAGAAATGACTTTTGACTGGAGTACCTTTCACACAAATTATCAGATCAGCGACCTAATACTTTCTAATGACAGGAGTAACAAGAAAATGGAAATGTTTAAAAAAAGGCTAAAATTCACATTTTTTCTGAACCTTGAAACTCATCTCCAGAGCTAACCATTAGACCTAGAAATTTGAGATTTTACAAAGGCTCATAGGTTCTCTTCAGAAAACAATTTGAATCAAAACCCACCCTCTGGTATCATAGAAATGGCCAATTTTGGTTAAAAAATTGAAACTTGATCCTATCCGACCAATTTAAAGGCCTGATCTCAAAATTCCACCTCCTTTATGATAAAAATTAATTTTATGCATTTTTCAATAGGCACTCTCCAAGGTGAAAAATTGAGCCCGAACTGAGATAAGTATGCCAAGTCACATTGTGCAACTTTAGTTTTGACCCATATATTTAGCTGTTGCAGCTACTAACTTACTTCAATCTCTTCAAGTTGTTCTCTTCCCCAAACAGATTAGTAGGTAAAGTACTAATATGATTTCCAGTAAAAACAAGCATCTCTGTTTCTTCTGGCAACAATTTCAGAACATCTGTGTTCCTAAATCCTAAACCTGTGCAGTTGACAATGAAATAAATTTGATCATCATGGTACTGCTGTCCACAGAAACAACCATCAAGGAGTAAAGTACCACATTTGTCAACTCTTGCATTAATGCATAATAAGATTCCCAAAAAGGTCCATAGTGTAAGGACATTACTGAAAAATCATTAGTTTCAATATTATTTAAACAAAACAGTAATTTAAATACTCACCCCATTTTTAGAGATAACATTTTTATTTGTACGAAATCGTCCCTTCATAGAGAGGTGGTACATACAAATATTACAATTTCATAAACCACATGTGCCCGGGAAAAACCTGCATATAATTACTGATGCACTAATTACTTGTAATAATAACTGATCTTTCCAAGATTCCTTATAAGGTAAATTAAAAAAATAAGTTAGTAAAGTATTGCTGACCTCTATCAAAATGTATGCTTTCCAGCTTCAGAGGATTACGAGTTCCCCATTTCAAACAAATACAAAAAATGTATCACATACAAACAAAGAACACTACAAGTTGCGCTAAGTTTATTTGATCTCGTGAAGTGAGCGTTAACGTAAACTGAAAAAGTAGGTGGAAAAACAGGTGTGTACCAGGTGTTGTTTATATTTATACGATTGTATATATGGTTGCATATTCCACAGATTAAAAACTGAATAAGTACTTAAAAAGTAAACTATTTGAGTTTTTCCAATAGCGATCAATTCCTTGATGCATCAGCTACTATTTTGAATTTGTGAAATCTTGAAAAAACTGTACTATACTGATTACATTAGATGAAGCCGCCGCATAACTAACAATATTTGAATTTACCGCGTGATGGTAATTCAAAATGATGACTCTATCGTTCGCTAGATGGCCCTTAAAACAATATATTTTGTGACTGACGGTGAGCTTCTCGATGACTTGCCTATGTTTTTTGTGAAAACTTATCATAAGAAATAGCTTAAAAGTGAATTACATACCGGAAAAAGTAAGTACACTTTGTATTTTCTACATATCTCATAATTTGGATTGAAATGGCCACCAAAAGTACCGACTTCCGCCCGGCACAGGAACAGGAAACCCTCTATTAGGATTTCAAGATGGAGCCATGCTTTTTCCTGTTGCCAGAAAATTCAAATAACAAAACATTTTGCCGGTGCTAACCCCACTTTCAAAAATGTATGCAATATTTATTTTTTTCAGGCCATGTTAAAATTAGATGGCATCGGCGAAGTCATAGATACCACAAAAACAGTCCAAAGGATCAAATATTATGTCCAGCCTCAGAATTCCAGCAAAACTGACGTGATTCCCATAGCTCAGCCTTTATTTACAAGAGTGTTGTCTTCTGTGTCTTTAAACCATTTAGGAAAGCAACTACTTGAAGCTGCTGCTAATGGGAAAGTGGAAACACTGAAAAATCTTTTTAAAAGGGGTGCTCCATTTACAGCTGATTGGGTAATAAAAAACAATTGATACACCATGTAGTGAATGCTATTTAACCAATCAACAAAGGGTTCTATTTGAATGTATGTGACTTCCCATAACAAGCCAAACAATTGTCTATACCCCATTCATAGAGCATTTATGACCAGATAAAGCACAATAAGCCCAAAAGCGAGATTGTACAGGTCCATATTTCCCTCAATGATCTTGGAATAATCTAAAAAAATAAATGATTATTTTTATAGAAACAAGTGCACATTCTTTTCACAATTCATTATTTGCTGTAGGTACTTGATTCATCGTATGGTTAATAATAATTATTACAGGTTCAGTTTGAATATCACTCATATTGTCCATATCCCACATCTGTGTTTCGATTGTCTCTTGAATGTGACGGATGCACTTTTTCCAATGGTTTGCCATCACTCTGTTGACAGCTTCATAAAACAAATTTTTCACATCTATTGTTTTGAAGCCACAAAGCTTTTTATATTTGCCCAAATCATTTCAATGGGATTTAACTCACAGGGATAAGGGGGTAGCCTTGAAACAGTCTTATTTTTGTTTTTAGCCATTATGACAATAACATTAAGATTATATTTATATTTGTGCTGCCTGTCTAGATGAATAAGTTCTGACATTTTTAGCTTGGTACAAGTCCATTGCATTTAGCTGCCCAAAATAATCACTTGGAAGTAGTAGAAGTTCTTCTAAATGCTGGGATTTCCAGAGATGCTCGCACCAAAGTTGACAGGACACCATTACACATGGCAGCTTATGAAGGGCATTTGCAGATTGTTGATATACTGGTTAAATATGGGTCTGACATAGACTGTAAGGACTTGGTGAGTTATCATTTTATTTATTTATTTTATTAAGTAATGAATGAAGTACATATCTCAGTATCTCTGCTATGTGAGCCATGTGTCCAGCAAACATAGTTCTATATTCTAATTCGGATAATTTGACACATATACCTTTCATATTTTAGCTGGGCATGACCCCACTGCACTGGGCAGTCCAAAACAGTCACATAGACATTGTAGAATACCTCTTAACTAATGGCGCCGATGCGAATGAACCTAACAAGTTTGGTCTGACTCCTCACATGATCGCTCAACAAACTCAAAGACCTGACATAGAACGATTACTTGATCTGGCGGAGGCTGCTGATGCGTCCAGTGCAGAGGCGGCACAGAACCTGCTGATCCAGTTGGAAGCAGTGCCTAGTGGAGAGGAGGCAGTACCAGTAGGTGTGGAGATGCAACAGCAGATGCCGGAGGGTGGGGATGATGAGAATATGGAGCTGGAGGATGATGTTAGGGAGTCGATTATTATACCATTAGGTAATACACGTTTTTTAATCTCTTTCTTCCTTATTTTTTTTTTCTTTGAAATTTTTTTTTTTATCTTTCATTTATTTCCTTTCAACAAAAAATATTGTATAGGGAATTGTCATACGTTTTCTAACCAAAAAAAAAACAGTCAAATAGTAAAAAATAAGATTTAACAGCATATATAAAAGCTATTTTCAATTAAATAGTATTTAAGAGATTCCTAAATGTCTTTAGGTTAAACATTTTTGGCCATTAATATTTGGGGACACACATAATTTGAGTTCTATAGGGTGGTATATAAAAGTCTATGGCCATGTGTTGGGGATTTGTCTCTATTTTTACATATGTATAAACAAGTTTCCAATATATATAAACCAGTAAGTGTTAGAATCTCTTAAACAGATCTCTACATGATGTTCTAGCACTAACACCTGCTATACATCTGATAATTCTTTTCTGTTTCATAAACACATCTTTTGAATTAGTAGAGATCCCCCAAAATGATATGCAATATCTTATGACAGAGTCAACCTGTGCATGATACAAACTAATTAACTGATTTAATGGTATAATATCTCTTAGATTTAATAACAGATAATATAATGAACTCAGCCTCGTTATTACTTAGTCATGATGCTGCATCCACTCCATACATGTATACAAATACACACCAAGGAATTTTATATATTTCATTGTTGCAATTTTTTTGCCTCATATGAAATCTAGTACATTTTGTCTTGTTTAGATTTAAATATAAATTATTTGAAAACCAGCTATGCAGCCTAGACAATGAAACATCTATATTATCTTGTGATTGTTTCTTTGAAAACTAGAAGCTACAATTGAGGTATCATCTGTGAATGAGGTTATCAATGCATCAGGCACAACATTAGGCAACCCGTTTATATAAATCAAAAATAAAATAGGCCCTAGAACACTCCCCTGCGGAACATCCATCAAACATTCATCAATCCTAGGATTAACTTCAACCCTAGTACCAAGTTTAAATGGCCTATAGCTACATACTGCTTTCTGTTTGTGAGTAAGGTCCAAAACCATTCTAATGGCTATTTTTTATGCCATAATGTGCTAGCCTATTCAGAAGAGTATCGACACAATCGAGAGCCCTGCTGAGGTCACAAAAGACCACAACAGGACTCTCCCCTGCATTCACAAAGTGAACAACTTCATCATAAAATGTATGGATAGCAGAGCTTGTGGATTTACTAGCCAGAAAACCATGCTGTCCCTCGTTGATTAGCTTGTTTTTCTCATCAAACTTCAGCAGTCGATCCAAAGAAAACATATTCCAGTAATTTAGAAAAAGAGGAGCACAAAGTAAGAGGTCTATAATTCTCCGTTAAATGTACGGCATCCTTTTTATATAAAGGTAAAATCTTTCCGGTTTTCAATATTTCTTCCAATACAAAAAGATAAATTCGTTAAAAAGTCATAGTCATAGGTAGAACTTCACGTATCAAGAAGTTAGGCACCTCATCAGGACCAGATGATTTTTTATTTTTGTCTCTCAATGGTAAGCGTGTAAAATTCTTCTTTTAATAAAAGGACTAAGTGAAATGTACTTTCCTTGATATGACTAGTAGTGACTATGACATTGGTTTTCTGGATTTTTGCAGTTACATCTCTTGGAGCATTTTGGCAAATTTTATTGAATGAATTGGCTACAGTTTCAGGGCAGTCAGTTGTGATACCCATATCACCCACTTTTGCCGACAAATTCTGGTGAGGTTTTGTTTTCCCTTACAAGTTTTTAATAATCCAAGCACATGAGACTGGATTGTTAGACTCATTCATCTTCTGTTGATAAAATTTGCTTCTTGGATCTTTCATTAACTTTTGGTGCTCTATTTTTGCATTTACATACAATTCCTTAAATTCTTCATTGTTTTTTTGTTATTTGGAAAAGCAGCTTGAGGTGGCTACTTGATTGCCTGATGGTCTCATTAACACACTCCCTGTCATTAGTTTTTTTGTGTCGCTTTAGAAAGTAATTCACTAAATAAAAATTAAACACGCTCATGAAGTATAAAAATGCAGCATCTATAACATGCATAATCTAGTCATGTGGTAGTTTTACATGGAGCATGGAAGCCACGTTTTGCACTTGTTGTCCAAAAGAGAAACACTCTTACATTGGTCATTATAAACTAACTGCCTTATTTCAATTCACCACATTCATGGAGAAGTCTGCATATATTTTTAATTAAATAATTGAAATTGCAATGACAATGACGTTAATTTAAACTCCACATTTCTGACCTGCTTCGCTTTGACAGTGTGAGCTCACCATCCCTGATATGTCGTTGATTGTTTCTTAGTTAGGTTGTTGTCGAATTTTTTATATACCAACTGTTCGTTAGATTACAGTATTTTTAGGCTATGTTTATTACTACAGCTTGCATTGAAAAGCGGACATCAAACTGACAGTGAGAACAGACGCCTATCATATTAAATCAACAAATGGTTGACTGCTCACTAGTCGAAATGGTGACGTCACGTCAATAGCGTTGCGTTTCGATATTTTAAATTTACAGGAACATTTTTTATTAATACTCGTAATTTTATAGTGCTCAAGTATAAAATTTGTTGAAGGCGTCACTCTGTAACAATATAGTCTGTATTAAAAATTATTAAGGGATATTTGAATGGCATGCATTTTCCCTATAAACCAGTTCATATATTTGTCACGTATTTAGTACATTAAAGTTTATTTCCAGGGGCTGACATGTTGGAGCAACTACAATCTGACACTGTTGTTATGGATGACACTCAAAATAATGATACTGGCCAAATATATGGTATGTTTATATTTCAAAAAATATCCACAGATTTATTTCATTATAAAGATTACCTGTTGCAGATGAAATAATAAATCTGGATTCAGACAGTGACAGTCAGCATTTCACCAATGAAACTACCTCCGACCAAACATTTCAAGAACAAGACACTCAACAATCTGAAAAAGAAGAGCAACAACAACAATATCAGCAAACAGATAATCAACAAACAAATGCAAGTTATGAAGATCACAGTGAACTTACCGTGCCATTGAGCCTTCTTCAAGATGGCATCCTTTTGCAGAATGAAAGTGAGGAGAATAATGTGTTAAATGCTGCTATAGATAATGGGCATTCTGTCGTTCTAACAGGTGAGACATTTTAAATTTACAAATCTCAAAATGCATATACAGTAATGGACAAAAGTATATAGATAAATTATTATTGTGCTGTATTTCTTTTTTAACTTGTTTTACACCAATCTGTATACATAATTCATTATAGCATATTCATAATTAAATACATTAGACTCCCTTCAATGAAAAATTGATTGAAAAAAACTTTAACTATGAAGGACAAAAATATATAGACAAAGCAAAACAATTATAGTAAAAAGAAGCAAAGTTCATTGAATTATAGCAAAGCAACCATGTTTGTGTTAATATTTTGAAGCATAACCATTATTATCAATCACCGCCTGGCATCGTCTCGTCATAGATTGTAGAAGTTTCTCGATATAAGATTCATCAATCTGTCTCCACTTTTGCTCTAGAGCGGCAAAAAGTTCATCCTTGTTTGAATAATTTTTATCTCGTATTTGCTTATCTAAGTGTTCCCATAGATTTTCAATGGAGTTTATATCGGGAGACTGTGAAGGCCATTGAGAACTGGTATTTTTTCATCCAGAAAGAATTTCTTTGCGAAATTTGAAGTGTGCTTCGGGTCATTATCTCGCTGGAGGATTGATCTTAAGGGCATATTGTCGTCCATATAGGGTAACATGGCATGCTTTAGTATGTCTGTGTATACAAACTTATCCACAAGGCCATCTATTCTATGTAAAGGTCCCATCCCAAACCCCGAAAAGCACCCCCAAACCATAACAGACGCGCCTCCATGTTTGACAGTGGGCAAAGTGTACTTGGGGTTCAATCTTTGTCCACTAAGATGTCTAACGTAATGAACACCATCTGATCCAAAAAATATTGAACTTGGATTCGTCACTGAAACATACTCTCTTCGAGTCACAGATGCTCCAATCAAGATGCAACCGTGCAAATTGTAATCGGTCCTTACGGTTTTTCCTCGAGATTAGCGGCTTCTTACTCGGGCGACGTGCAAATAACTTCAAATCATCTAATATTCTACTTATAGTTTTTGTAGAAACACTGACAATTCCTTTTGTCTCGATTTCGGCTTTTATTTGACTTGGGGTTTTAAACGGATCTTTGGACGAAATTAATTTTATTAATCTAACTGATCTAGCATTTAGTTTTCTAGGCCGACCACTTCTCTTAGAGGCTTCCAAGATACCTTTTTGTTTATATTTGTTCAATATTGCCCAAACTGCTTTAAGCTTCAGCACCAAATTTTTGGCAATTTCGACTTGAAGTTGACCATCTTTGTATAATGATCTTAGTTTTCACATCGAAAGAAATTTCTGGACCACGTGGCATGGTCTTAAAATCACTCAACTTATTCCACATGAACACAAACTAATCCTCTTCTGACACGAAACTGTACTAAACTAATGTTGAAAGAATTTGTCTACATATTTTTGCCCTCATAAAAAAGTGCTTATATTCAGACTTGTATTGTGTTCATTGCAGATAATGAAAAAACAAGGAATTTAGTTTTTCTACTAATAACGCATTTGTTTATGGAGGAATGAAGTATGAATTCGTTTTCTAAAGGTATTTAGGTAAATCTTCATATTTGGGTATATACTTTTGTCCATTACTGTATATCACATAAACAAAATCATAAGTATTGTTTTAGACTTCCATCATCATTGGGATGAATTTTCAATGGAACTCAAGTGAAACTTTTATATCAAACATTAGTTGAATGCCGCATAATATATGGAATTATTATCTGGAGATCCACAAATAACAACCATCTAAATTCTTTACAAATAATACAAAAACTAGTCACTAAAACATTGCATAACAAACCTTTATTATATCGCTCCAAATCGCTGTTTATAGAATCAAAACTTTTGGATATAAAAATATTATTTTGGTATAATGCTATACTAGAATTCCATAAAAACAAACATTCGACCATTTATAAAAATTCTGATTATGATACTAGAAATAAAAATAAACAAATAATTTTTGCACCACACCAAAAAAGGAAATCTTTTATATACTTAGGTCCAAAATTATATCATAACTTGCCCAAATGCGAAGAAATGTGGAATTTTAGAAACAATATAATACTTTTAGGTGATTTTAATTTAAATTATTATGGTAAAAGCATGAAAACAAGAAAATTGAAAGAAACCATAAACAACTATGGGTTCAAGGAAAAAATTGAAGAGTACCAGAATAACATCATTATCAGAGACTTTGTTAGATCTTGTTATTGTAAATTTCGAATGTGCAGGGATTAAAGCTGTACATACACCTAAAGTTAGCGATCACAGTTGGACAATGCTGCCCTTGGTAGGGCATTTTTCTGATACAAAAATTAAGAAAATCGTAAATACTATTAAGTACGAAAAACTTGAACGAGAACTTGCTGGCTGCTATTGGAATTTTGGTGACAATATGGAAAAAATATATGACAACATAATAGGAAATATAAAAACTTGTTTAGATCTTGCAACTGATAAAAAAGTGATTTGCTCGACAAAAAATACACCCTGGTATAACAAGAATATTAAGGCAGCTCAAAATTTGAGAGACAAACAATACAATAAATGTATATTCACAAAATCAAATGATGATTGGGAGGTATATAAAACTCTTAGGAATAAATGTGTATATGTAATTAGAGAAGAAAAAAGAAAATTCTACGATAAACAAATCGATAATAACAAGTGCGACAGTGTAAAGATGTGGAAGACTTTAAAAAGACTGATCAATTCGAAGCCGCATGATTGTGTAAATCAAGTTCAATTCGAAAACGGTACCGAAACAAATTCTTTGGTGATTGCAAACAAACTAAATGAATATTTTGTGGAAAGTATTGTTGATATTGTAGGTACTGCCAATGCTGCACCTGACTATATAAAAATCAGTTTCCAGGGGGAAATGTTGCATACACTTTCAAAATTTCACAGCGTATCATTGAATTATCTAAGAAAAAAAGTAAACAGTTTAAAATCAAATAACAACTGTGCCGAAATGACTACTAAAAACGTGCTGAAAAACTGTTTCGAAATTTTGGGATATCCTGTATTAAATTGGATCAATTGTTCACTGAGAAGCAGTTCTTTCCCTGAAAATTTGAAATGCTCTACAATAACACCAGTTCCCAAAATAAAAAATTCTAAAAGATGCAGTGATATGAGACCAGTAAATGTGTTACCAGACATTGAAAAATTATTAGAGTCCATAGTGCAGGCTTTCGAAAAAAATATTCCACAGAAACAACCTTTCCAGTTGGTAACTGAGAATTGGAGAAGAGCCATAGACTCAGAAGAAGTTGTCATAGCAGTATTTTTGGATTTGAAGAGGGCATTTGAAACGATTGATAGAGATATTTTGTTAGGTAAATTGAAGGCATATGGTATAACAGGAAGTGTTTTAGATTGGTTTAGAAATTATTTGTCTAAAAGGATGCAAGTTACAAAAGTTAATGACACTATTTCATCAAAAACTGAGAATACGTTGGGTGTTCCACAGGGCAGTATCCTGGGACCACTTCTTTTTATTTTATACATAAATGATTTACCTGCCATAGTCAAAAAATGCAAAATTCAAATTTTCGCCGATGACACTATGATTTATATAAGTACTAAAAATATTCAGTCTGGTATCTCTTATATAAATGAAGACTTGAAGCTTGTCTCAAAATGGTTAGCATCTAACAGACTAAAATTAAATGCAAGTAAAACGAAAGCCTTGTTAATCGGAAAAAAACAATGTACAAATGTTCAACTGAATAATGATGGTGAAGATATTGAATTCGTAGAAAATTTTAAATACCTGGGAGTTTTTGTTGACTCTCGATTAATTTTTGATATTCATTATGAAAAAGTTATAAATAAGATTAGTAGTAAAGTGGGATATTTATCGAGAGTTTCTGGATGTCTGAGTTCATATAGCAGAAAAATTATCTATAATACCATCATTCTTCCAAATTTCTTGTACTGTTCGACTATTCTATATTTAGCAAATAATTCCTTTTTTGAAAGACTGCAAATTTTACAAAATAAGTGCATGAGAATAATACTAAATAAAGATAACTATATACTCCAATTAGGCAAATGCTTAGCAAATTAAAATGGCTCAATGTAAAAATTTTTATCAAATATCTTGTAATGATATTCATTTATAAAGTAAAAAATAATATATTTCCATCAGGTCTAACTAATTTAACATCATCAAATGTCGACCATCATTTACATAATACCAGAAATAAAGATGACTTCCATTTAATGACCAAAAAGTATAACATTTGCTACAAATCTGTATTCCATCAAGGGTTGATTGAATATAATAAATTATACTCGGAGATAAAAGACCAGAAAACTTTGACAAAATTTAAAGTAAAATTGAGAAATCACTTGTTAAATCTACAATTATAGGTTGCCCAGCATTTACATCACACACCATATGGCTTGAATTTACTAGTTCTAAGTTGTTTACAATTGTTCTGTTTATGTAGCCAAATGTGCTAAATAAATCTTTCTACTACTACTACTACTAAATCATTCCACACAACTGGCACTATAAGGTTCTTACTTTTATTGTTGAAAAAGTGGCCGGTCTGTTTTTTGATCTGTCTAAGGCCTTCCTCACGATAGACTATCAAATACTCCTTAAAATTAATTCTAAACGTGGAATACGAGGTAAATGTGCACAGCTTATAGAGTCATATCTTGTCAGTAGGGAGCAGCTTGTCTGTATAACCCGGAATGGTGTTAGGCATTTTTCATCTGTAACCTTGATTAAACAGAGCGTGCAGCAGGGGTCAATTTTGGGACCGTTGTTGTTCCTGCTCTATGTGAATGGCCTTTGTGACAGATCTATGGAAGGTCTGATTAGCCAGTATGCGGATGACACTACATGTCTGGCTTGTCCGGGGTCTTTTCTTGTGCAGTGGGGACCATGCAGGATTTTTGGAAGAATTATGCATAATTAATGCTGATAAAACTGGTCTTGTCACGTTCAGTAAATCATCTGCCAGGGGTGAGTCGCTGTTCGTTTGTTGCAATAGCGGATCAATACCAGAGATTACCGATATAAAGTTTCTGCGCATTTACCTGGATTCGAGTCTGAATTGAGATTGTCAAACATCTGTTTTGATTGGTAAACACCACAGCTTCTGTGCGTTGGAGCGGCAGCTGCGAAATGAAGTTTCATTGAACACTTTACGGCAATTTTATTATGCATCTGTACAGTCATTGTTCTGGGCTTCTTCGCGAGGTGCCATGTCAGTTTTTATAGCGCAAAAGCGCATCCTGAGGTGCATTGTGAGACTTCATCCTCGAATATCATGTCCGGAACATTTTTCAAGATCGGGAGTCTTGACGGTTGCATCCCTGTATTTTTTGTCGCTTGTTTTGTTTGTTAAAAAGCATATGTATCTTTTTAATAGTAACGCACATTGTTATGCTGAAAGTATGACCATTGTGACCAGAGGCACAGAAAGAGCGCTCCATTATACATGGTAGTCAAAACTTTTAATATGTTTCCTATCGATATCAAATCTGAGAGCAACCCTATTAGGTTCAAAAGAGCGGTGAACAAGTTTTTGCTGGACAGATGTTTGTACAGCTTTGATTTTAACATGTGAGCTCCATCGTTTTGTTTTGATAACATTTCAAGTTAACTTTAACATACCGGACTTGTGTTAGTTATTTTAACAGATTTTAATTTTGTAAACTTACATGTACAACAAAATTTAATTTTGGTTGGTTACCCTTGTACAATTTTTGATAATTTATTTGTAACCATTATACCATTTTACATTTGTATTTTTTATTAATTTTTTATATATGCATTTATGACATTTTTTAAATTACCAAAATATATTAGAAAAAACCGAATATCAGTATTACATTTATATTACATAGATTTTTTTATTCCAATCAATTTATTGTAACTTTTGTGGCATATCAATTGATTCACAATATAAATAATATAAATATTATTATTAATGTACTGCCCAGCAATTTTGAATGTTTCTCCTGACATTACGAGGGATGTCTTTCTTCTCGTTTGCTGGCAGATCCTAAACGGCAACTTTGAATGCGTCAACTGCTTCTTCTGGTGACTGGAACCTTTGACCACGCAGTCTGTTTTTAATTTTCGGGAAAGTAAAGAAATCGTTAGGACTTAGATCGGGACTATATGGGGGATGGTCCAATAATTCCACGTTTTCTTCCGTTAAATACTGCCTTGTTTTTTGGGCTGTGTGCGAGCTTGCATTGTATTGGTGGAGGATGATTCTTCTTACGGAGTTGATTTTTCGAAGCTCGGTGACGACTTTTTCCAAATAAATGGTGGTATACCAATCCGCAGTAACAGTTCTTTGCTCATTAAGAGGAATTGTTGCAATATGACCCGCTTTTGACACAAATGTCGAGATCTTTAAGGACGCCTCAATCTCGCGATATGTCACATGTCTATCTTCAATGATGAGTTTGCGCACAGCATCGGCGTTTTCCCGGGTGACTGCCGTTTTTGGTGCACCCACCCTGGAATCGTCGCTAAGACTCACCCGTCCACGTTTGAATTCTCCATACCAACGGGAAATTGTCGAATGATGAGGCGCTTCGTTGCCGAAAACAGACAGTAACTCAGCAAGGCATTCTTGTTGCGATAATTGTCTCTGAAAGTTGTAATAAATTATGGCGCGAAAATGTTCTCGGTTGAGTTCCATTTTCCTAATGACTTGGTGATACTTAAAAATTCACTGTAGTGAGAATACTGCACGTATTGTTGTGAAACTTTGAATTTAAGTTTACTAAAGAGTGAGGTTAAGATTCAGTACTGACGTTCGATGCGCGCGGCCTACTATGTTTCTATATGCAAAACTTAAAAGACATCCCTCGTACTTATCGAGTTACGAGTATACTGCTTTGCCAGAGGCAGATGAACCTAAGTGTTTTACCTTCATCGCACGTGGCATATTCAGGAGGGGGGCTTTGGGGTTAAAGCCGCCCCAGAACCCCACTGCCTAATATGTTTTTAACACACTTATTAGCGTGACCTGTATGTATATCTAATTTTCACCATTTTCAAGAAGTCTGGTCAACTTGAAAATTTACGAGAGTTCAAGGGCCGATGACAAAACAATAATCTTGAAAAAAATTAATTTGAAATTTTCAATATACTCGTAAATTGAGTTTTCAAAGGAAAAAAAATGTATTTGAAAATTTGTAAATATGAAAAATTTGGAAGATTTGATAAATTTAGGAACGAATTGCATTTAAAAATTGGAAAAACTTGGAATTTTGAAAAAAAAATAAATTTGGATAAAGATTCGAAAATGCAAATCCACCCAATCGAACTTCCATGTAATAGTGATGCATTACATTTAGATTTATTGTCAAACATAAAATATGCTAAAAATCGAAGCTACTGATTATAAGAACTTTTTATTGTCGTTTTGGTACTAAAAATCCAGAAAATATATTATAATTTAAAAAAAAATAAAACACGCAAATAGAAGTAAAAAGTACAAAATAGCGTTCAAACATAGGGGATTTGTGTTACTGCAATAGAAAATCAAGTAACAATATAGAAATTTAGATATCAACAAAAAATTCAAATATAGTAAAAAACTATGGGTGCAATTAACTATATTGTCATAATAACTCCAATTTTGTAAATAGTAAGTGAAAGAATATTTCGAACATTAAATATCAAGTACCCCAAGCTTTTTACTATAATTGGATTTTTTTATTAATATCAACATTTTTATATTGATCTTATTCCAACTTGACACCATTTTTGTATTTGCAGAAGCGGGAAAGGAGATATTAAACTGTTTCAAACAAACCGAACAACAACAACAATCCTCTCTGCACATGGAGAAGAAAATCGTTGCAGTGACGCCAGAAGAGTTTTTGGCCATGGCGAATGGGACGTTGAGCAAGAACGTGATAAGGGTTAAGACGATCCCCGCGAAAGGGCAGGTCAAGAGGATAGTCATGAAGAAAACTAAAACTGGAACGCCGATCAGTATTGCAAATGTAATATTCTTTATTTTGTTGGTTAAAAGTACCGAAATTTTATTTTTTGAATGTTTTCGTGTATTGGACTATTCATAACTGACTGTTTTTACAAAAAATTAATATCAGCATCTCAAATGCATAGTTTTGAAAACAAGAAGTACTAGAACATCAGTTCTTCATCGTACTTGAACTGGCATATTTTTTTAACAAACTTCAAAAGATACGTTTCAGGCAAATCATATTGCCTTGAGGAAACGGCACTTGTTTTTGGGAAAATCTGTGTAGTACAATTTTTAGCTATACAGTGTGTCCCATATTCGCTTCTCTATACTGTTATACCTACTGCAAAGGTTAAATGAAGGAAGTTTTAGAGGAAACTAAGTCCTTTCGATAAGCGGCTTCAGATTTTATTTGGTTTTGAAAATATCAGCGAAAAACTGAAAATGACGGAATTTGTTTTTTGTCAGTAAATCCAAAACGGTTAATTTGACAGCTGTCAAAATAGACATTATTCATCCATTTTTTTAAGCCAATATATTGGATTTTTTAATTTTTGAAGAGTGGAAATTTCCAGTCTAGCGATGTCTCACAAGTGCATAAAAGATTGGAGTATCACCGAAATGTCCATCATAATGTTATGTATTATTTTTTTTAAGGAGGCCATGATTTATTTGTCAGAAAATAACATTAACGAGTAAGGCATAAAAAACACATAAACGCCTTGAATTTTCAATAGAATATAAACGTTAGTATCGGCTTCTCAACAAGTCAAATGTTTTGGGACTGGGACAGAGTGTTAAAAAAAACTCGGAAAAATCGTCGTAAATTTATGTTACACTTGAACAAACAAACATTATACAACATTGTAATGTAATGTAAAATCTAATTATGTAAGTGGGTATTAATTGACAGATTTGCAACATAACGTTCATTTGCATCAAGGCATTTTCGACCATTGGTGACAACCCTAGTGTATTTCTGTTAATGTTCCTAACTAAGCCAAAAATTCTTTGTATCAAGATTTCTATGGTCAGAGGATCCAGGAGGCCAAGATAGTGAACCATTTAATGAAATTATTCTTTCATCAAAGTGCTCTCTTAAGAAGTTCCAGACTTGAATGGTGTTATGAGTCGGACATCCATTCTGTTGAAACCAGGTTCTTCTAAACTCATCTTCGATTAGGCTACCTCGAAAAGCCGGCACAACCTGGTTTAGAAAAAGCTCTAGGTACATCTGTCCATTGAGGTTGTAGTCAAACAAAAATGAGTCGGTTTCCTGAAATGATTAATACCTAATTTCAGATAGGTGCCCAATTAAAAAAGGTAAGTTAGATTAAATTGCCAATGACCCCACACCAACCTTTAGTTCCAAATTTGGCCTGTAGATGTCTCTCTGCCATTTTGTGAGGGTTTTCTACAGCCCAGTGATGAGTGTTGTGCTTCTCAACAACCTCAAAATTTGTATCGGACCACAAGACATGATTTACAAAATCGGGATTTTCATTAGACTTAATAGTATACCACTCACACACACGCTTTTTGACCGCATTCGCATTGGAAAATTAGTTTCCTTGAACTATTATAGGTTTGTATGGATAATACTTATTTAACATTCTCTGAACTGTTTTTTTTTATATACCGAAGCAGCCACGCAGGCAGAAGCCTAAATGCCGGGACACCTCGGCTGCTATAAGGATCCCAATGAAATTTTTTTAATTCGATTTGTGAACTGCCCAAGGTTAATTAGAACTGGGAAAAGCTTCCTCTTGTAGATTGTTCAACAACTCGACACCCTTGGGATACAGGATGGCCACCTTAGAAAAAAATTAATAGAAAATTTTACACTCTTCACAAAAATCAAAAAATTCAATATGGCGGCCATAAGAAAAATGAAAGTTGAGGTAGGTTGCGGGAAAACAAAAGACGATTGAGACATGTCATACACGCTATCTTATTCGTCTTAAAAAATGTCCGAATAATGACACATTTTGACAGCTTTCAAATGAACCGTTTCAAATTAAAAACAAAATTAGACATTTTCGGTTTTTCGAGGATATTTCTAAAACCAATTGACCGATCGTAAATCTGAAGCCGGCTATCGAATGCACTAAGCTTCCTCTAAAACTATCCCCATTTAACATTTGCTGTAGGTATAACAGCAGTCGAGATCCCTGTATAGAGAATCGAATCTGGGACACACTGTGTATAAATGCATACACCCAGAATTATGGAAACTGGGAATTTTCGAAACCATATTTATATGAATTCATATTTTTGCGTGCTGAATATGACTTTGAATTTTCCGGACAATCTTCTGCAACACCCTATATACAATCGTTTCTTAACTCTGTGAACCTGTGGATGCTTACCCAAACGCGATATTCACTGACATAGTTATACAATATCCATAATCTCACATTAAAAGTAACAGTGGATTTCCAATGAATTTGGTGATTTTGTTTTTACTTCTCACGACCAGTGACGGGGAAGTATTATAATCGCAAAAAAATTCGAAAATGTGATATTTTGTTTTTTGATGTTATATGACATGTATACGTAGATTAATCATTTCCGTCGGTTTTCAAACGAGGTTACTACTTCGTCAAGGACGAAAAAGATTTGTAGTAGTAGTACTGAAAATCGCTCAAACTACGTTTTTCGATGTTTATCATTTTTTTATATTAATCTGCTCCCAATATCGGTAGCTCTAATCACCTATTAGATATATTTCACACATCAAGGATTAGAAACATATTTTAATAAAAATAAATGGGCTTTATTTCGTACAAAAGTACAAAGTGTCGCTTAGGCCCGTATCGTCAGTCGTCCCTACAATTGTAGGGCGCGTTTATGGCCTCCTTGATTGTCATACTCCTTTCTCTCCTGCAAAAAATTCTAGATTACAGTTGTCCCGTGTCAGCGTCAGCGCTCTCCTATTGTGAAGATATGTTTTCTTTTTAAATTGTAGGAAATTTCAGGCTGATAAAACATGATATAACTCAAAAGCAAGCACAATTTGATGCAAATAGATGTTTGTAACATAACCTCAAAATAGAGTTCTGACCCGGAGAAGTAGAAAACTATGACAATCAAGGCGCCCTACAATTGTAGGGACGACTGACGATACGGGCCTAAGAGTAGCGTATGAAACAAAAAGAAATTATAATATAATACTGAGAACTAATAGAAATGTATGCATATTGATATGGTAGCTAATTAATTAACAACGCAAAAAAATAGAAACAATTACAAGAATAGTCCATATTTTCAGAATTTTGTATTCATCATCAGACCTCGGCGGGCCAATTCAGTTTAAGCCAGTAAGAGGCAGATCATTATATAATTCAAGCGTTGTAACTAAATGATGTTTTGTCCACAGCTTTAGCATGTAAGGGTATCACTAGAATATTTCTATTCCTTGTATTTAATTGATTTATGTCGCTACATCGTGCTAACTTCTGTAAATATCATGGTTATTGGTGGCTAACTTTATGTGTGAGTGTCAGTAAGTGGTGTTTTTGCATGCCTTTAATCTGCAGAATACCTCCTTAAATTTATGAGAAATATGATCAAACTTTCGTAATCCGTAAGAAAATCTGACGCACGAATTCTGAGTATGCTGTAGTTGACTTTGTTCACTATCTGATAGAGCGGGGCCATATACAGGGTGTTTCAAATTCGACCCTCACCTTTGGGATCTCGGAAACTGCAAGAGATACGAAGTTGTTAAATGGAGGCAAAGTTGCGTATTTAGGTAATTTACAAATTGCCGCTTAGAAAGTTTCGAAATTCAATGTACTACTACTGAAGACAGACGAAAAAAAAACCAAATTTTCCCAAAATCGTTTTAATTTTTACCTGATTTTATTTGTAGTGGGATTTCAAAATAAATTGCTTATTAAAATTGCGACTTTTTCTCCTCTACAAGATGGCATAATTAGAATGTCAATATAACGATTCGTCTCTTGTCCTCCAGCATCAACTATTTTTTCTTATGGACGCCATATTGGATTTTTACACAGATAGAGCTTTCAATTTTGATTCCAAAAATTTATATCATACATTAACATTGCCAAACCTTAGTGTATTTAAAAAAAGCAAAATTTACTAGGTAGGCCTTGAAATTATCGGATAGTCATTTATTTCATATACTAGATTCATCCCAAAATCACTATGATTTCAAAATAAATTGCATGTTGTCAGTGTTACTGATTCTTCTCTACAAGATGGCATAGTCAAATTTTCAATTCGACATTCCTTCTTTCGACTTCCATCACCACCTTTGTTTTTTATATGGACGCTGTATTGTAATTTTGTACATTTAAATGGACTTTTCAGTCTTTAATTTAGTGATGTATTTCCTTAGTTGGCCCTGAATTTGTTGTTGGATGAAAATTATAAGGAAATAAGGTATGGTGAAACTTGAACACAAAATGAAAATCCTATTGATGGTAATAACAATAATAATCATAAATAAACATATGTGAATCATAGCAATGTTCAAAATGATGTCCGTTATTTTGTAGGAAATTCTGTTATTTTGGAACAACTAAGGTTTAGCAATGTCAATGTGATGACGTATCATACATTTTTGGAATCAGAATTGAAAACTCTCTTCATCTGTACAAAAAACTAATATGACGTCCATAAGAAAAAATAAAGTTGATGCTGGAGGATAAGAGACAAAACGTCATATTGACATTCTAATTATGCCATCTTGTAGAGGAGAAAAAGTAGCAGTGTTAATTAGCAATTTATTTTAAAATCCCACTACAAATAAAGTCTGGAAAAAATTAAAACGATTTTGGGAAAATTCGATTTTTTCCGTCTTCCTTAGGAAGTACTTTGAATTTCGAAACTTTCTAAGCGGCATTTTCTTAATTACCTCGATACCTAACTTTAGTCCCAAGTATTTACACGCACTCACTATAGGAAGCCGGTTATCAACGATTTTAAGGTTTTTTCGGTTTCGATCGATATTCTTTTGTTTTTTGAGCCGAAAATCATAACTGAAGATTTAGATGCATTTTGAAATCTTTATGTTGAAAACTAAAATAAATTTGAGTACCATTGGCATAGTGATGGATTGTACAATTATGGACATATTATATTGATGGAAATCTGATATACACCTTAGGAAAAACCATTGTTATACATGGGAAATCATTTCTTGACAACAGCGCATCGGCTCGTCTACTTTCATCGCTATTCGTACATATTTCCTACGGTTAACCGCAGACCTGTATCACCAATGAGAATAATAGGCAGATACGCTGTGTTGCCAATTTGAGTAGAGCTTCCCGAATTGTGGGGAATTTAGAGTTAAGTGTTGATTCATTCAAGCTTTTAATCAGCATGGCCTAGACGTTAGAACTTCATAAAGATAACATTGAAGCTGAATGCTGCTGGAGTATAGTGTTTCGAATATTCAAAGCGGAGCGGGACACTATACTCGTTCAATGGGTCATCAAGCCACAGTCTTTTCAACAAAGAAATTAGTTTACGAAAATGCGTTATATTTTTGCGATTTTGTCGTCACCAAATCTCTGTTTCTCAAAATGTACGTCTATTGTAGAATTTTCAGCAAACTAAGCAAGAAACGTGATCTAGTATTTACTCAACATTACGGATTTCTCGAAATACATTAAAAAATGTGACCTAGATACCTAACTGCCCCAGGCTCTTTAAATATAACACCTTAAACCAGGGTTACCAGGTGCGCAGTCACGTTGATTGTCATGTTGTACTGCGCAAGTCAGCAAACAATCTGGCGTAATAAACGTTAGGACTCATCAGGTATTGCCAGATTCCCGAATACCGGGCACTATAGCAACCGTTATAGTTGTCCTTCAAAGTTGTCAAATCGCCCCTATGGCGCAAATTCGCCACACCAGGCAACTGTGCTATAAACAAACCCTGTTTATCACTACTATTTGATAGTCATATGGTAGTTGTAGCCCTATCTAGCGGTCCATGATTTCTCTCAATACTGTTGTATCTCTACTGGCAACAAGAATAGGGATTACAAAATCATTTATACAACAATATACAAACATGAAAAATATGATTTGAACCATGAAACATTAATACAATTTTAATAGTTTGAACTTTTTTCATTTTTAGAATACTCTTATGTGGAATCCGCAGCTATTTTTCCCGAAATTTGGGTAAACTTAGATTTCTTAGAAGTATGACATATTGGTATCGGCAACTCTGCGAATGGGAGAAACAAATCGCATTTGTTGAGCGCATCCGTCTAAGCGGTAGGCGCCAGCGCCCGTTCTGCCATCTCTCTCTTTTATCACTCTTCTACTTTACCCCGTTGTCCGTCACACTCCGACGCTGCCAGATAGGATCCTACAATCGAGTGTCTTTCACGTACCTACATACTTTTGTATATTTCCATCTCTCTTCCTCATCATAATGTATAATAATGATTTTTCCCAAGGTGTATACAAAGAGAAAAGTAAAGGACCCAATATGGAACCCTGAGGAACACCGTACTGTATAGCAGTTGATTCCGACATTTTTGAAACTGATAGCATCGTTGCGAGGTGAGTGCAGAATCAACCTATTTTTTTTTTTTCAGGGAATTAAGAAGATTGTGAATAATCAAAAGACGACTATCAGCGAGATAGACAATATAAAGAACCAGCTGGTAAGGGCCAGAAAAACTATAGAAGAGTACAAAATTAAGCTGAAAAAGAAGGAACAGGAGGCTGAACATTACAAGATGCAGTTACAGTTGCTCATGGATCCGAATTCTTGAATTTCAGGTGGGTATTTTTTGATAATTGCATCATTATTAAGGTACACAAAGATTTTCCATTTCTTTTTGATTATACGGGGCGCGAATAAAGTACCTGTCCCAAAGCGATCACGAGGTTAACTGTCGTATTATAAACAATGCACATGACGCATTTGTAGTTGAAGATTGCGTAATTAACCGGTTTGTTGCGACTAGAGTTCTTGGTGGGTATTCGCTTTTTTTCTTTTGTGAGGGCTTTTGGCGATTTCGGAATGATGGTCGAGGGTAACCTGTCTGATACATTAAAAGACGACAGATAACATCATGCTCGCTTGACGCATTGGGGGGCCGGACGGCCTTTTGGAAGCGGGAATGCCTACCTCAGGCCGTCCTAGGATATTTTGTGCGCTGCCACCTCAAGACTATTGTAGTAACACACTTCATAGGAATGTGGAAAAGAAAAAAAAACTGAAGTAACACCTGGAAGACAGAAAACAAAGTATGTTATCACCGAATTGTCAATTGGAATTGAAAAAGACCACAGTGGTGATCGAGACGTCGTACAACAAACAGAAATCTAAACATATAGTCATGGATAAAAGTATGGAAAGACTTGTTTCCTAGTTATACTCTTAATATTTATTAATCAATTATCAATTAGATACTAAAAAATAAACATTTACTAACTTAGTAAAAACCCCTGGACAAAAGTATGGGAAGAATATTTAAAAAAAAAGTTAACCATACAAATTAAACAAGCAGTGTTCGATATTTTGTTGAAAATCCCTCCGCCTTAATGACTTCCCTACATCTTCTTGACATGGAATCAACAAGAATCTTCCGCCATTCATCTTCCAATAGATCATTCTCGCTATGAATAATTCGTTGCCGAATTTTTCGTTCTAAAGGTTCTCAATTGAATTGAAGTCGGACGATTGCAAACGCCATTCCAGATCATCAACGCTTTTCTCTAAAAAACAATTTTTTACTAAATGGGATTAATGTTTCGGGTCGTTATCTTGTTGATATCTCCACAACAGCGGCATTTCTTCTTCTGCATAAGGTAACATAGTATTCTTTAATATGTCGCGGTACATAAAGCGATCCATTTTCCCAGTTATTTTCAGTATCGGGCCCGTTCCAGACCTAGAAAAATACCCCCAGATCATAATACTGCCACCACCATGCTTTACTGTAGGTTTTTGATACTTGATATCAATTTTTTCCCCACAAACGATCTTCCATCAGCACCAAATATTTTAAACTTGCTTTCGTCACTCTAAAGCACCGTACCCCAGTTTTTAGGTGTCCAATTTAAATGTCTCTGAGCAAACTGAAGTCTGGCCTTCCGATTTTTTTTATACAGTAACGGTTTTTTGACAGCAACTCTTCCAAATAACCCAACTTCACATAGACGTCTTCTCACAGTACAGGCCGTTATGGCTAAATAACTGTATGTTATGTAATTGTTTAGTTTTTTGGAAGAATGTAATTGTAGCAATCATGCTAAATAAATCTTTAACAAACAAACAAAAACATATAGACGAATTTCTGCATTAATTTGGACGGATGACATGCGGGTCAGCTATCGACATCCTTTTAATGCCCTTAACAACATAGGGGGTAGTTTTTCTAGGGCGACCTGACTTTGACCGATTAGTAACGTTTCCTAGTAACCGAAACTTTTTTAGAAATTTTGAAAAGACACTTAAGTCTAAATTTCTTGCTATGGTACATTCCCTTTTCAACTCGACGACTCCAAGTCGCAACTCCTCCGGCAAATACTTAATCTTGCCCATTCTTAAAAGGGTGCTGGTTATAGCAGTGATACAACAAAAGTAATCCAATGGTGTTAAATATGTAACAATGCTGATATGAAAAAAAACTCTCAATACATTTATCCAAGACATAAACAAAAAAAAAACACAAATAAGTGTCTATGGCACAAAAAGTAAATATGTGAAAATATGTGATACCTAAGCAGGCATATAGAATCAACGGTACAATTTATTGTTGTATACAAGCCGAGCTGGAAAAATGTTTGGAATAAAAATCTTTCCATACTGTTGCTCATGACTGTACATGTGGTTTTGATTCGGCTAGACAATGGAGTTTTTCGAAAAAAAACATATAAACATAGAGGTCTTGCACTGCTTGGTTTTCTTGATATATGTGATCAAACTTCCCTTGAAATTTCTTTTTTTTTCGGTAAAAATCTTGCATTTAACCGATTTAATTCGAACTTGCAGGTACAGACGTATAATTAACAATTTCACTGAAATCAATCAAGAAAAACCCTGTATTAAAACCACAAATAGTCTAGGCCACCTAGATTGCCTAGATGTACGTTCGTTAAATTTTGTTCTTTGTGAGTTTGGGTTTTATTGACGCATTTATCAATAAAAAAGACTGAAGAATTACCGACTTTTACACAAAAAATCAAGTTCTCCAGCCTGTTGAAAACGGAACACGTCTTCAAAATTTATGAAAAAGTCTTGTTTCCAAGCTATTTTTTAGGAAAATCCATCTCCTGCTCTGAAACTAAATGATTTTTTGTATTTTAAAGGATGAAAAAATGATGGGTTCAGAACCGGCTCAGCCAATGGCTCAGGTTGAGACTGAGGATGATTGTTTGTACAGTACTGTTGTTACTTTGTTGTGATGTTTTATATGAGAAATATTTTTGTACGAGAAAAATGATAGATAATAAAATGTTTATACAGTACTGGGCAAGAATGAATTAAATCCTCAAAAAATAACAAGTTTGTATTTGGCATCATCACTCTACCTGATACAAATGACGTTATAAGAATATTATAATATAAATGCGAAAATATTTGATATATTAAGGTTTTTCCCATAATTTCATTCAACAATGACCCCTCTTAACAAATTGCATATTTCCAGGCCCAAATTTGCGTCAAAAATTGTTAAGCAATGTTTTAGGCAAATTCCGAAAATTGTTTTTGTTTCCATCCGTTCAAAATAAATTCCTAACAATTTTTGACGTAAATTTAAGCCTGTCAACATGCAATCTTGTTAAAAGGAGTCCTTTTTGATTTTTTTAATAATATGCAAAATACTCGATCAGAGTATTTTCCCCATTAGTTGCGATCGATGATGGACTGTATATATATATATATATATATATTTATAAGTTTTTATATGTATTTTGTTGCTTGATACTTCTGAGCACAATGTAGATGTTTGATTGTTCTGACACGTATATTCTTTCCAGTAATGTTCGTATGAAGTTTTCTTTTTAAGAAAAACCCTTAAATAGTTTACCTTACTTTTCAAATGCAGTGTGCTTGGAGACAATTTTTTCAGATTTACTACAAAAATCTCAAATCTAATCAATATAGTGAATTTTATTTTTCCTATATATTGATGGTAGCTGCAAATTTTAGAAAATTGATCATGGTACGACAACAATTTTGCGAATCAATGCATGTTTATCAAATAATAAAACTTCTGAATAGCATATTTTTATTAATATTATATACAAATTTCCCTACCTCTTACAATAAATAGTATACACATATAGATTTTTAACCAACATGCCACTAAATCGTAAATTCCAGATAAAATTAATTGTATTTAAGAAATCAAATAGTACTTCATATTCAGCGGCCAAACAACCATGGAATCCGTTGATGTTTTATAAAATAATTATTACACATTTCATTGCAAAAAAATTTTACGTGGCGTTGAAGCGAATCATCTAAATCTAAAAGTAACATTGTATATAGCTCTTCAATATTGTACATATAACACAAGGTACATAGATACAAATATTCATGTAACATTAAATATAATTTATACAAAATTTTACATTAAATACTGCACTTCTGGAATGTATAAATTTCCATTAGAGAACATCAAACAATAGAACACATACCATTCAGTTGACTAGCTAAAAATACAGTGGATATGCTTGGTAGGAAATCCTGAATATTACCATGTATTATGTGAGGTCAAAAATAAAAGCTCAATATATTTCATTTTATGTATGCAATAGTCCTACACACAAATCTGCAATTGAATGTATGAATGCAATAGACAGTTTACCTGACAACATGAAGAGGAATAGTGCTGTTTTTCAAAGATACTCTTTGCAACAGCTTATCTCCAAGTCCTTTAGTGATTTCGTGCCAGACGCATTTTCCGATAATTGGTACCTCTTCTAGGGGAACGCGGAAAGCTACTAGTAAGGTAAGGCACACGCCATCTTTACCAGTTGAAGCGTCATGTTCCACCTAAAATAAAAGACACATTCATGAACAGATCGTATTATGGATGAAGTGACGTCATCGATTAATCCTAGTAATTTAAACGTCCGCATTAATACAACCCGTGTAATCAAGAATGGAGTTGCTGTTTTCTGTCATGATGATAGCTCACTTGCCACTCTTAAAAACACTCTTTCCAGCAAATTTGGTGAAAACTATACTATCAATGAAGCAAAGAAATTGAATCCCAGGTTGCTTGTAAAAAACGTAAATTTAAACGGACTGAACACTCCCGAAGATATCATTTCTAGTATCACTTCATTGAATAGCTTTACTGACACAGAAAAGAAGGATATAAAATTTGTAACTAATCTGAAATATGGAAATGCGTCTCACATCATAATTGAAGTAACCCCTTCACTACGTAAAGTTTTGCTGGAGAAAGAGAGTTTGTTTGTTGGATGGAAGAAGTCACCAATTTATGATCACTTACGTGTAATCCGTTGTTCAAAGTGCAGTGGGTATGGACATACTGATAAAACATGCAAGTCCGAGCTCAGTTGCCCCAGGTGTACCAGAAAACATTCTCTGAAGGAATGTAAATCTAATGTCTTGCAGTGTATTAACTGTATGAATTATAACAAAACTAACAAGAAGAATCTACCAACGGACCACTCTTCAAACTTCGGAGGATGTGCAGCTCGCCAATACTATATGGACAACCTCAGACAAAAAGTGAACTATGGCTAATTCGATTTCATTGAAAATTTGTCATTTAAATGTACGATCTCTAGTAGCTGGTTTCCATGATTTTACACACATGATTAAAGATCACTTTGATGTCGCTGCAGTGACTGAAACATGGCTAAACGACGGTATACCTAACGATGTAATTTCAATTGAAGGGTATGATTTTTTACGAAAGGATCGGGTGAGCAGAGGAGGTGGTGTTGGGCTATATGCGAAGCGTAACCTAAATTGTTCAATAGTAGAGATTGATGTTGCTATTAATAGCTCTGTGGAAATTTTATGCTGCAAGTTCAAACTTCACAACATTGCATTTTTGGTCGTGGTTGCCTATCGCCCTCCTCACTTGAATTTAAATGATGCCATACATAATTTTGACAATTTGTTATCTTTTTTTTACTCCGTTGTATGACAATATTATTTTCTTGGGTGATGTAAATATTGATTGATTGAATCATGAGAACCTTCTAAATAGATGTTTTGATTCATATAATTATGCTCAGATTATTACCGAGCCCACTAGAATTACGCAGTTCAGTTCCACATTGACAGATCCCATTTTTGTGAATGATGTAAATACTATTTTAAACTCTGGGACATTAGCAGCAGATCAAATATCTGATCACAGATTAGTTTTTTGTGAATTAGCAATGCCTGCTCCTAGAAATGCACCAAAATTTATTGAATATAGGGACTTGAAAAATATTGATATGGTCTTGTTCAAAGCACACTTAAGACTTAATGTATTGGATGAAATTTTTTATATTAATGATATCGATCAAAAGGTTTTATTTTTCACTGAAAGTTTAATTGCTCTTTTCGATACACATGCACCTATTCGTAAAGCGCGTATAACGAAAAATGCATCGCATTGGTTAACCCAAACCTTGAAACGTATTTTCAAGGAAAGAGATGAAGCGTTACTCAAATTTCGACATGATTCAACTGAAGAAAATTGGATCAACTACAGAATTTTGCGTAATCACGCACTTGCTGCACTTAAAAGAGAGAAAAAAGCATATTTAGCTCATTTCGAAAAGTCAAACCCTAAAAAATTTTGGAACCACTTAAGAAATTTTGGAGCTTACCAAAAAATAAGGCAGAAATTCCCCCACACTTGCTCAATCCTGACGAAGTTAACAATTATTTTTTATCAAATTTTATATCCCATAATGTTAATTCCCGTCTTATAAATCGTACGGTAGATGAATATATTTCAAGTTCTTTTAATTCAGACATTCCGCTCGTTCACTTTCATTTAGTTACCCCAGAAGATGTTTTAGATATTATAATTTCGATCAAATCTCAAGCAACTGGTTGTGATGGAATTAACATAGGAATGATCAATTTGTGTATTCCTGAAGTGTTACCTCATCTAACACATATCGTCAATTTTTGTTTAGAAAAAGGAGTATTTCCAAGTTTGTGGAAAGAGGCTGTTATAACTCCTCTGGCTAAGAATAATAATCCTACAGAATATTCGGATTTGAGACCCATTAGTATATTGTGTGCCTTGTCAAAGATATTGGAAAAAATTGTTTATATGCAATTGGTAAAATATTTTGAAGAGTACAACATATTTCCAAATTGTCAGTCTGGTTTCCGTAGTGGTCACAGCACAGCATCTGCATTATTACACGTAACTGATGAGATTATCTCTAACTTAGACAATCATATTTACACTGTGCTGGTGTTGTTAGATTTCTCAAAGGCATTTGATACGGTTAACCACGAAATGCTTCTATCCAAATTAAAATACTACGGACTATCTGACGTTCCTCTTTGCTTTTTTAAATCATACTTAAATAATCGCAAGCAACGAATAAGAACAAGCCAAGGAGTTTCTCTTAGTGCCGATGTTGCTTCTGGTGTTCCTCAGGGTTCCGTGCTTGGTCCTTTACTATATTTAGTTTATACTTTTGACTTGCATACTGTATTACAGTTTTGTAGTATTCATACTTACGCAGACGATACACAATTGACCTTCACTTTTGACTCTACTAATGTGGATCAAGCTTCTATAAAATAAATTTAGATCTGGTAAATATAACTGACTATTGCAAGGCTAACTGTTTGAAGCTCAATCCTACCAAGAGTTTTGCGGTGTTGTTCTGTCCCAAAACCAGCTATGAGCATTTTGAAAGGATGATTGATTTGAGGGTAAATAATGACCATATTCCACTCGTCACGCATGCAAAAAGTCTAGGTGTTACTTTAGACGTAAATCTTAGATTTCATCACCACGTCAGTAATATATCTAAAGCTACATATGCAAGCCTAAGACTCCTATACTCCAATCGTTCTATTCTCAATTTCAAGACTAGAAAGAAATTGGTGGAAAGTTTAGTTATGTCTAAGCTGCTTTACTGTTTTATACTGTTTTATCCTTGTCTTGACTCCATAACAAAAACCAGATTGCCGAAAATTCAAAATTGTTGTTGTCGTTTTGTTTTCGGCCTTCGTAGGTATAGCCATGTTACATCCAAGATCTGTGAGCTGGGGTGGCTGAAGCTCAATAATCTTTTCAAGTTTCATATGTTGGTTTTTGTACATAAAACAGTCGTTACCAAGAGACCTATTTACCTTGCAAATAAGTTAGTTCCGCGTAGGAATTTAATTTCAAGAAGGTTACGTCATGATGAACAGTTCAATATTCCTCTTCACTACACCTCATTATATCAGAGATCTTTCACGTATAATGCTGTTGAGCTTTACAATTCAGTCAGTGCGGCTAACAAACAAGAAAATTTACTCTCTTTTAAGAAATCAGTTGGAAAACAGCTATTGGAGATGCAATCGTCTCTCAGTGTTTGAGTTGTTGGTTTGTTTTATTTTTATGACACTTTATTATTATTATTATTATTATATTAATAGTTCAAGTGTGCATTTGTTTCTTTTTCTTATTATTACTATTGTTTGTTTGTGTATCGAGTTTAACTGTGTTACTCTTTCGTACACAGTGAGGTTAAGTGTAAGAGTAGCCATTTGGCTAAACTTCGCCTCACTGATGTATGCTGATTAATAAAGACATTTATTATTATTATTATTATTAAACACGGAATTCCTCCAAAATTAGACCTCCCAACTTTCTCGACTGATCTCGGATATAAAACAGCAATGTTTGAAGATACAATTACAATGTCGACGGTCTTGTATTATTTTCGAAAAGTGAATGAAAAGAACGATCCTCTGTTACGTATCATGTTTGTGATGTGTGCAAAAGCAAGTAGCAGCCGCGGAGAGTACTAGCGACTTCAAAAACATCCGTTCTTTGTGCCGGACCCTGTATAATACATAAACATTTGGAGACCGCTTTGGAACTGTTAGTGATATTAAAAATATGAATTGGTTAAATGATAAGCTTGGATTGAACACTAATAAAACAAAATGTATTTCAGTAGAGAAGCATTTAGGTTTATACCTATGTAGATAGTAAACTGCCATTTCAACAGCATTATGATAAAAAAAGATAAATTACTTTTATAGAGTTTCCCATACTCTCAGTAAAAACATGAAAACTTATTTTCAAAATTACAAATTGTACAAAATAAAGCTGTGAGAATCAATTTCAATAATAGTCTTATCATATTAGACAAAAATACCCCTGGTTTGCAAAATAATTGTTAATTCTGGTTTTATTGCTGCAAGTTGTTCAAGGGTGTAGGTAAAACATGGACGCATAAAATGGGTACACCAGTTTTTGTGGGAAAGCTTTATTCGACAACAAAGAATGAGAAAACGTGTTTTTTTGGATTCAATCGGAAGTGTTGACAGGAACGAAAGAACTCTTCATATAAGATTTTTAGGTATTTATGAGACCTACAAAATGAGACGCGTAACACGATCCGACTAATAGCAAATAAGTTATGGCCGAAAACCGAGGCAAACTGCAGGTTTTTGCACTTGTTGGTATTGCGACGATGGTTTCTCGCAGATACTTGGAATTCTTCAAATTCGTAGGATTCATACTTCTAAATGACCACAACTGAATTGGAGTGGTCATTGTTTATCCCAAAACACCTGTTTTCCGGCCGCCACTACTAGTTTATTGAGCAATATACAGGGTTAGTTCAAAGGGCATTTATGATAAAATACATATTCATACCTTGCCGATATAAAGCGCAAACCATTCCGGAAGATAAATGTTATTTTTATGCAAAAAAGCTGATAGACACATCCGCTTTGTTTTAAAATGTGTATAGTAACGTATGTGTTTCGAACATCGTAGCGCATTTGTTCAATTACTCACAAATACATGTTCGAATTTGTGTAGAAGAAAAAACGTAAAACTTCGTTTTTCGCATAAAATAACAATTAGCTTTCGGAATAGTTTGTGACTCATATCGGCAAGGTAAACACGTGGATTTTGCTATTAAATGCTCTTTGAACGAACCCTGTATAGTGCTCAATAAGCTAGTAGTGATGGCCGGAAAACAGGTTTTTTGGAATAAACAATTAGGGTTTCTCAAAAACTACTTGACCAATATACTCCAATTTTGTTGTTGTTATTTAGAAGTACGAGGGATGTCTTTTAAGTTTTGCATATGGAAATAAAACAACACGATAGGTAGTTTTAAATGACTTTATTGTTTTTCGAAGCACTTATTCCACTCGTTTGCTGGCAGATCCAAAACGGCATTTTTGAATGCGTCAACTGCTTCTTCTGGTGACTGGAACCTTTGACCACGCAGTCTATTTTTAATTTTCGGGAAAGTAAAGAAATCGTTAGTACTTAGATCGGGACTATATGGAGGATGGTAGAATAATTCCACGTTTTCTTCCTTTAAATACTGCCTTGTTTTTTGGGCTGTGTGCGAGCTTCAGTCAACAGGTGGGGTATCCAACGAGAAACTAATTTTCTTACTCCTAATTCTTCATGTAAAATTTTTTGAATTGAGGTCTTTGAGACCTTCAAGGACGCGTCAATCTCGCGATATGTCAGATGTCTATCTTCAATGATGAGTTTGCGCACAGCATCGACGTTTCCCTGGGTGACTGCCGTTTTTGGTGTATCTACCCTGAGATCGTCGCTAAGACTCACCCGTCCACGTTTGAATTCTCCATACCAACGGGAAATTGTCGACTGATGTGACGCTTCGTTACCGATAACAGACAGTAACTCAGCAAGGCATTCTTGTTGCGATAATTGTCTCTGAAGGTTGTAATAAATTATGGCGCGAAAATGTTCTCGGTTGAGTTCCATTTTTCTAATGACTTGGTGACACTTAAAAATTCACTGTAGTGAGAACACTGGACGTATTGTTGTGAAACTTTGAATTTAGGTTTACTAAAGCGTGAGGATAAGATTCAGTACTGACGTTCGATCCGCGCGGCCTACTATGTTTCTATATGCAAAACTTAAAAGACATCCCTCGTATGAATCCTACGGATTTGAAGAAGTTCAAGTAGTTGCGTGAAATTATCGTCGCATTACCAAGTGCCGATACCTGCATTTTGTCTCGTTTTCTGGCCATAACATTTTTGCTTTTAGTCGGATCTTTTTACATGTGATCTCATTTTGTAGGTCTCATAAATACCTAAAAATCTTATTTGAAAAGTTTTTTCGTTCCTGTCAACACTTTCGATTGAATCCCCAAAAACACGTTTTCTCATTCTTTGTTGTTGAATAAAAAGTTTTTCCCACAAATACTGGTGTACCCATTTTATGCGTCCATGTTATAAATACTCCCTTGAACAACTTGCATCAATAAAACCAGACTTTACAATTATTTCGGGGAAATTTACTAATATGATTAGACTGTAGATACAAATATGCTAAGTTTAAGTATATATTAGAAGAATTGCAGTGGTTGAAACAATTTTATATGTTATTTAGTTCTCATTTTCATATTCTAATTAAAAAATTATTTATTGCCACCACATTTCGAAAACTTGACAAAATTAAATAGTTATTGTCATAACTAGCAAATCTATATTTCAAAAGGGAGTATTTGATTTGATAAATTAAATGGTATTAAACAGTGTTCGAATTTTAAAATGTTTAAGGTGAAATTAGAAAAAACGCTTTATGAATGCCCAAAATGCTTAGCGATGTAATGTTAATAGAAAAGAATGTAAAATTATAGAAAGATGATTCAAAAGATGTCCAAAAGAATAATTATACAAAATTGACACTGTAGCATTAATGCTAAATGAAACAAAAAATCGCCACAAGCAGGGCAGCTTCACTCATAGACCACTATGTGTTCGCTGTAAATACACATAGTAATGCAAGGTCACTGACGAACCTCAAAAATATTCCACTCAGAGCCTTCTCTTGGTGTAAGTTCTCATTCTCGACACTCTGCATTTGTGGTGGTTTATCGAGGTTTACCAAGCACACGTGTACAGAATCCATAAGGAATAAAGAAGAAGAAGAAGAGGTTTCCAAACGTATGGATGCGCTTTTACAAACAAGAAATCAGTAAAATCTAGTATACTCACAGATAGAATACCACAAGGTCTATGAGGCGGTACCTCAGCGCCAAACAAGTCGATCATGAACCGCCTTAGAGTAGAGTGAAGGCTCTTGGCAGGATGAATTTCGCAGGAAGGTAAGTGCCATGCTGTTTTCTCCCCTAGCAGAATGTGAATTCTGTTGGTTGCTTTCTTCTTTATTACGATCACTAGCCTCAACAGCTGTCTGGAGTATGGTCGGCATGCTGGCAACTGATCTTCGAACCAGGTATTGTCACTGAGGCTGCGGGCATGCTTATAGGTTCTAAAAAATGTAATAATAATGGTTTATTATTCATTTTTTAATAACTCACACATGCAGATTCTGTAAGCCCCAAATTGACTGACAGATTCATGGATCATGAAAAAATCTGAAATTTAATATTCCAAAAGGGAGTATTTGAATTTAATAAATTGAATCATGATAGTAAACAGAGTTCGAATTTAAAAATGTTTAAGGTGAAATTAAAAAATCACTTTATGAATAATCAAAATATATAGTGACGTAATTTTAATAGACAAGAATGTAAAATTACAGAAAATGGATTGAAGAAAAATATGTAAATGAATCATTATACAAAATTGACATTGTAGCATTAATGCTAAATAAATATCCAACAAGAACACAAAACCAATCTATGCATAATGACGATATATGAAACGAAACTTATCTGAATAAAAAAATGAGCCTCTTAAATATTTTGTTGACTAACGAAATTTAGAGTTTTTTCTATTAGAACTTGACCACTATAGGAAACCTTTTTGACTATAAAAATCATCAGAGACTCATAGAACTTACAATAATGAAGTTTAAGGCGTTTTGGAATTTTTAGTTTTAGCTGAATAGCAACTACTTAGATAAATTGGTTTTCAAACCTTAGCATAGTAGAAACCCTTGATCAAAATTTGATCAAAGATGGGAGTTACAGATGGGCTAATTTTTTTATTTTAATTAAACGAAACTGAAGTCTTTGCCCTAGTAGTTGCAATAACTAATAAATAACAATTAATTTAATTAACATTCGTCACGACAGGGGACACGGATTACCGGACAGACTCAGCGAAGTAAATAAGTGAGATGGTTTATCATGACACTACTTTCCTCGCAAACGAAAATCTATCATCTTCTGAGTTCTCCTTCAGAAATCTGCCGCATTTTAAAACTACAAAACTCCAATTCTGACGAATCCTATACGAGGGATGTCTTTCAAGTTTTGCATATAGAAACATAGTAGGCCGCGCGCAACGAACGTCAGTACTGAATCTTAACCTCACTCTTTAGTAAACTTAAATTCAAAGTTTCACAACAATACGTGCAGTGTTCTCACTACAGTGAATTTTTAAGTGTCATCACCAAGTCATTAGAAAAATGGAACTCAACAGAGACCATTTTCGCGCCATAATTTATTACAACTTTCAGAGACAGTTATCGCAACAAGAATGCCTTGCTGAGTTACTGTCTATTGCCGGCAACGAAGCGCCACATCAGTCGACAATTTCCCGTTGGTATGGAGAATTCAAACGTGGACGGGTGAGTCTTAGCCACGATCCCAGGGTGGGTGCACCAAAAACGGCAGTCACCCAGGAAAATGTCGATGCTGTGCGCAAATTTATCATGGAAGATAGACATGTGACATATCGCGAGATTGAGGCGTGCTTGAAGATCTCAAAGATCTCAATTCAAAAAATTTTACATGAAGAATTAGGAGTAAGAAAATTAGTTTCTCGTTGGATACCCCACCTGTTGACTGAAGAGTAGAAAGCAGCCAGGGTCAATTGGTGTCAAAAAACGCTTGACCGTTTCAATTCCGGAAACTCAAAAAATGTGTACAGCATTGTTAGTGGTGATGAATCGTGGATTTATTGTTATGAACCAGAAAATAAACGACAGTCGGCTGTTTGGTTGTTCCAAGGTGAAGAAAAGCCAACAAAAGTCATCCGTTCTCGAAGTGTTTCGAAAAAGATGGTCGGAACATTTGCGCCAAAAGCGGGTCATATTGCAACAATTCCTCTTAATGAGCAAAGAACTGTTACTGCGGATTGGTTTAACACCATTTGTTTGCCAAAAGTCATCACCGAGCTTTGAAAAAAACAACCCCGAAAGAAGAATAATCCTCCACTAAGACAATGCAAGCTCGCACACAGCCCGAAAAACAAGGCAGTATATAACGGAAGAAAACGTGGAATTATTCTAGTTATCTAAGTCCTAACGATTTTTTTACTTTCCCGAAAATTAAAAATTGGTTCGAGCGTATGCAGATGTGTACTTATCTTCGTGGAGAATAGTTCGAAAAACAAAGTCATTTAAAACTACCTACCGTGTTGTTTTATTTCCATATGCAAAACTTAAAAGACATCCCTCGTACATCAAAAACTGGCCGGTACGGCCTTTCCTATTTGAGTTCAGTTTTAACGTTTCTCAAAAACCTCCCACTGATTAAAAATTTAAAACAACACACAAATAAAATACGAATGAATTTGTTGCGGTAATCAAATATAACCGAACTAGACAAACGATAATTAATACACTCAACACTGACGCGAAAGAAAAAAGTATACTCTCAGATTCTCAGTTTTTTCTATGCTCAAAAAAAACTCGTTTCTCTTATAAATGCGATACTTTAACCTCTATAGGGATAACAGATGTAGGTACGTAGGTAGCGTTGGTAGAATTTGAAAGTGCAGAAGAAAACCATGAGGGATTTCATGACAAAACATTCGGTATTCTATGTGAGTATCAACATACAGAATGATAGTGCACGACCTCAAATAGGCATGTGTCATAAGTTGCAGAAAGAAGTTTGGCAAGACATCGAGGAATACAAAGAAGATTTCGAACAAGTGATTAAGTTGAGAGAGAAATGTAGGATACCTTTTCATCACCAATCACCACAGGTATAAACTTTATATGAAGAATTTTTTATTACTGTACATATAATTTTCCATTTACAAACGTACAAGTGCAAATACAAACTTTTTTAATGAGATGCCAAACGTTATCAAAGAAACAAGCTGGATTTAAAATAAGAACAAGATAAATTTCGATTAGGTTTATACTTTCCAAATATTCCTCACATATTTTTTTCCATGTACAGAGTGATCGAAAAACAATGGCAGAATTTTTAAAGCAGAGAATATGCAGGGTGTTGGAAATTTCTACACTTCGAATAGACAAACATTAATATTCTTCACATCATGCTATATTAGGGTGGTAATATTCCTCTAATATACATCATGCAATGTTTATTGCTATAATAGAAGGGATTTGTTTTTTCATACAGATTATATTTTAAATATTCATTCATTGGTCTAAAAATTTTCTCAAGAGAGACAATTTATGTGAAATTAAACAGCTTATCTGAGGAGAAAACTTATTATGGCGAGAATGTTCCCGTAATATATAACATACAATTTTTAATGCCAAAATAAAGGGGATTTAATTTTTTTTATTCAGATTATATTTCAAATCTTCATCCATTGGTCTAACAATAGAGAGAAATAATTTTTGTGTATTTTGTCACAAAAGAGAAAAAAATGCAGCAGATGTTTCAGATAAGTAAGAGTCCTACATAATATTTTTCTTTTGCCATTTTTTGGTATCAAAGTATCCCACTTCCTGCTATAGTTTGAGCAGCTATAAAATTATAGATTTTTATAGATATTATACTAAGTGACATATAAATCCGAACACCCAGTTTAAATGGTTTTATTTTAATAAAAGTTGGTGAATGTATTTATCTTACTGCAAATAACAAGTGAAAAAATTTTCAGCCTTATCAGTTGGACATTCCGGTTTTTATACTGCTTTTTTTTAATTCACTAACGCTCTAAAAATGAATATTTCAGCCGCAGTAAAGAATCAACGTTGGCGGATTTTGGTTCTTGACATCCTTTACGATCGGTTACGATGCCTAGAGTACGGAGACCTGTACGATTTCATCAACTTAGTGAGTTTGATAGGGGCCGTATAGTGGGACTTCGGGAAGCTGGACTTTCTTTTCGGGCAATTGCAGTTCGAGTGCAAAGAAGTGTAGACACTGGACGCCGCCGTAGAACAACAGACCGTGAAGATCGCCGCCTAAGATTATTGGCCTTAAGGGACCGTTTCTCCACTACCAGGTCCATTGCAAATGAATGGTTTGCAGAACACGGAAGACCTATTGGCATGCGAAGTGTTTACCAACGAATGAGAAGTTTTGGCTTGTTTTCATACCGGCCACACTGGGTCCTCCCTTTAACTCGAGAACACCGACGTAATCGCCTTGAGTGGTGCAGACAATGGTCACTCTAGGATCAGGAATGGAACAGTATTGTCTTTAGTGACGAGTCTCGATTTTGTTTAGGCATGCACGATGGTCGTGCCAGGGTTAGAAGGCGACGTGGTGAAAGGAGGAATCCACAGTTTTTTGTTGAAAGACATGTTCATCACACTGTTGGAGTTATGGTTTGGGGTGCTATAGCTTATGGTTCCAGGTCACCTTTAATCTTCATCAGAGGTAACATGAACGCGCAGTGTTATATCCAAGAAGTTCTAGAACCCCATCTTTTACCCTATCTTGACACCCTGGCAGATCCAACTTTCGAACAAGATAATGCCCGACCACATGTTGCAAGAGTCACAATAGACTTCTTTCAACATAATGATGTCACATTGTTACCATGGCCACCAAGATCTCCCGACTTATCCCCAATTGAGCACGTGTGGGATATGATGGGTAGGAGATTGCTCAATTTGCAACGTCCTCCTCAGACTCTAGAAGCACTTCGAGAGGAGTTGGTGGTTGCCTGGAATGAGATACCACAGGAGGACATTGACCACCTGATCAGAAGCATGCCTAGGCGCGGTGGAGAATGCGTAGCACATCAGGGTGCATCCACACATTATTAAAGGTCAAAGGGCTTTAAAGCAGTGCAATCATTTTGAAATTTTTATCATTTACTTATTATGCTTCATTAAGTACTTATACAAAATTTTATTAAAATAAAACCATTTAAACTGGGTGTTCGGATTTATATGTCACTTAGTATATTTAGATATTAGTAGACGTTCAAAATTTCAAGCCGATATATTTATGCTCTAAGGAAGGAGATACATTTTTTTCGATTGTGAGATTATATCATCACACTGTATCTCGGTAAGGGGACATTTTAGGAACCATGTTGATATGAACTTTTCAGGTTACTTGTGGACCTATTTCCTGTCCTAAAAAATGTTGCTACTGGTTTTAATTTTTACTTAAAAACTGTGATAAAGAAGACCATTTTTAATTTAGCTTGGTCTTGACTCAAAATAAGTGACAAATTATAGTTTCTACTTCCCAAAAAAATTTAATTCGAGATAATGTGCCCTTCTGTCGTTTTAAGCCCCGTGTATAAACTAAGGAAAAGTGTTTTGTGAGTGCGACAAATTTCTACAGTTTTTTTCATGTTTCATAAATTAGTAAAATCCACGTCATTCGTTTCGGTCCGGTCAATCTTTTTTTAGCGTGTTTGGAACCGCGTAATCTCGGTAACTGCTGAAAGCTGCATCGATTTCTATAAAATATGGAGCTTTTCAAATTTACTTTTGAAGCGGGGCTCTCGATCTCACTGAATATATCTTTTAGTTTTGTTACAGACAGCACTTAGTCGAATACTTGAAAAGAGTATGTATAGAGAAAAAACTGAGTCACTGCACCCTACATTTGGCAGTTTATTTGTTGGACATTTTCATGGACAACCACTCCATCATACCCGAAAGAATCCTATTGGCTGCCAATGTGTGCCTTCTCATAGCTGGTAAATATATAGAATATATCAGATTATATTCCTAAATAGGGTTCTGTTTTATTATTGCTATCACAAAACAGACATGAGCAGAGTACAAATACTATAAGCTCATGTATAAAAAGTAATACATAGTCTACTGACAAGTAACGTAAAATACATAGACTAAAAACAAAAAGTTCATAACTACAGAGTTTTCCACTGTTCCACCTATCATAATACACTTTGAAGCTATTGACTGACGTAGCATTAACCGCACTTTCTGTTAACTGTTAGAAGCGATGTTAAATACGCGATTGGGGAGAAACCACTGTACGACTGTCATTCTAAATGGTTCATTTTGCAGTTTAAAGCTGTGAGCTCGGAGATTGCTGCGCGACAGTGCTTCAGGTTGGTACCAATCAATCCATGAAGTATTCTGAAGTTAACTATGAGATCGCCTCGAATTCTTCGGTCGGAGAATGTGGTCTAGCGGAATAACTCGTGACGATCTTCATAGCTGGGTATCCGAGTTACCCGACGCTGTACTGCTTCAAGGAGATTTCTGTCGCGCACAAACACAGTTTCCCATTCAGGGGCAGCAATTTCAACAATTAGCCTTACAAATATTTTGTAAATGAAGGCGCTAGTATTGACATCAGATCCTCCGAAAGACCTCTCCATCATGAATAGAAAAGCTTCTTGGCTTTGGTTATAACGTGGTGGATAAGCTCTGACTAGGACAAACGATCGTTAACTACAACGGCAAGATCACATGACTGTAAGCCCTCCAGTTCCTCTTGAACAGTAGGCCTCCAACTACGGGAATTTGGGCAATTCCATTTTACCGAAGTCTTAAAAAAGATCGCGTAAAAACCTTTGGGTAGGTTGGCGTCTGTCACGAAATCTACGTTGATACTCCCAAGAAGCCGCTAAAGCATTTCCATTGTTTTGGCTCTTCATGAATGATCTAATTTGTTTTATTTTTACGAAAACAGTGCACTCTAGGAAAACGCACAACAGTGGCGTACTATTTTTATTTGGAAAAATAATGCCACTAATCCGCTGTATCTGCGCCACTGGTGCACGTTGATTTTAAGTAAAGACTTTTGAATGTGGACAATACTTAGGTAAATTTACATACCAAATTTTAATTCATATTAAAAAAATAGTTTTTTATTTTTAAACTTCAACACCCCGTATCTTTTTAATGAAGCCCTCAAGGAAAAAATGTTATATAGAAGACCCCCCTTAAAATGCGGTCCTGTGTATGATGTTTCATTTTTGGTCACGACTTGTGAATCACCCTGTATGTAGCTTGAGCTCAAACTACTTGCATCGCACTTGGAATATTTGGGTGCTCCGCTTCCCGTCGCCTAAACTAAACGTATTTCTCTGGCTGCAAACTATTATTTTGCGCTCCTAATACACAAATAACTATTTTTTATTACAGCCAAATTCGAAGAAAACTATCTAATCCTACCAAAAATCGCCGAACTAAACGCCGCAATTCACAATCGCTACGAAGTGAGACAGTACAAAGTGATGGAGTTGATTATTTTGAAATTCTTTGATTGGTACATCATGTTCCCAACAGCTGCACATTATACGCACTACTATTTGCAAGCTGTGCTGACGCCCTCCGAGGTCAAAGAAAAGCAGGAAAGTCGAAGGACACTTTTTTATAATATCCATGATTGTATTACAGAGTATTTAGATCAGATTATTGATAGTAAGTATGGAGGAAAAGTAACTCTTTATGAGTTCATAACAAAAAAACACATAACTGCTTGTACTGATTTCTGAGAAATTGTCTCTTTTTAGATATTCATTATATGCAATGTTATCCTCCCTCAAAATTAGCGGCAGCCATAATTGCAGCTAGTAGAATGCAAATTGGTCTAACAATGTGGACAGATCAACTTGAGGATATGACACATTATGTCAAAGAAGATATAGAGAGCTTGGCTTTGCAACTAAAGTAAGTATTCAAGAGGTTTCCAAAGTAGCAACTTTTAGCATATTCAGATCTAACAATATATAAGACATTATATAACGTTCGAACAATGCCCAAACGTTTTATAGGTATCGTAAAACAATGAAGTATTTTCTACTTTCAGGACAGCCTTTATCAACTGCGAGAAATGTATAAAAAACTAAATATTTCAAAACCTCCCTCTAATGTAGCATTTACATTTTTCATGAGAAGTCGTCATTATTATCGTATTTTTGCAAATTAATTTGCAATTTAGAAGGACGTTTTTTATTTTCGCACTTCTATTAAATCAAAGTGAGATCAGAACCTCATCAACGTACTTGTGTATTATTATTGATTGGAATATATATTTTGGTTATAGTCTGTATCAAATTTGTTACCTACCAAACCCTCACCATTACCTTGCACTACTTCCTTCTAATTCTCCTATCTCTTGGCACTGTTAAACATGTTTTTCTGAAGCTAATATGCCTGCATTGGCACACCTAGGTACAATACTGGCATTTACATACTCGTATATTTTACCATAAATATGGTATATGAACTATAGAGTGTCCCAGAAGGCGACATCAAGTCGGAAACGGGGGATTGGCCAAGTCATAATAGTTATCAGAAAAATATTAAAAATATAAAAAAATAAATATATTTTAGTTCCTATTACTACAAATTTCAGTTTTTTCTTAGATGCAGGGATTCTACGTAGTGACAAGAGAGATAGTAACGCCAGATGGATAGGGCGGTCTGGTAGCGTTTCGTGGCCAGCCCGTTCACCTGACTTGAATCCACTTGATTTTTTTACTGGAGGGCGGTGAAAGAAAAAGTTTACTCAAAGCCAATCGAAATTTTAGCTGAGCTATGGGACAGAATAACGGAAGCGGCTGAATTTGTTAATAACGGATGATTTGCCCGTCTGCATTGCTGCTGAAGGAAAGCAGTTTGAACATTTATTGCGAATTTGATAAATACATTTACGAAGCAATAAAAGTTTTGTTACTGTCTGTCTTGATGTCACTACGTAGAATGACTCTGTCCATTACTCGGTCTAGGAAACTTGTAGTAATGGGAACTAAAAGATCATCACAGGGTGTAGAATTTTCCGATTTTTTTTCAATTTGTCTGATAATTATTATGACTGGGCCTATCCCCCGTTCCCCGTTTCCGGCCTGACATTGACTTCTGGGACCAAATGTATTTATCAAATTTTATCCAGTCCGTTCAGCCTTTTTGGCGTTGATTGGGTAACAAACATCCACAATTTCACATTTGTAAGGTTAGGATTAGGGATTTTAACCATTACTGTCAGTACACCAGGGCGACAAGGTGCCGCGCTGCAAAAAACGCGCGTTTCGCATTACAGTTCCGACTATCGAGCGAGACCGATGGAGTGCGTCAATTTTGGTTAGGTCTCTGGTCCGTATCATGTAAAAGGCTCCCCAGGACTTGTTGGCATGCGCCACAGTTTGTCTCACGTGTGTGCCAACTTTAAGTGATCCGCTGATAGAAAATCCGTTAATTTAATATGTTTTTTGAGTCGCTGAAACCGAATCCGAATTTCATTCAGTCCGACAATGTTTTTGAAATATCGACAAGAATTCTAATTATTAACCATTATTAACGAATACATTTCTAAAATCCATGCATATCTCTGATCTCGATAAAAACTCGTTTCAACTCGTTTTCTGGGTAAATTGGGTGCATAGATTCTGAGTCTCTTGTCAACTTGATGCTAAATTTAACTTAAGTCCCCAGACAGCTAAGTTTTTTTTATGAATTAGTATGATTTGCAATATTTATCATGAAACTATTTTTTATTATATACATTATACTATCAACATGCTCCAGCTCACCTAGCCTTTTCAATCAAGTGCATGATATCCCCAGCTCTAAGTTCCAACTCATCCAAATTGCCCACCCACTTTGCCTGTAAGGATTCCTTATCAGCATCAGCTGGTGTCTTAAGTCTGCCTCCTGTCACTTTTCCAGTCAGCACAAACCTCATCCAAGAACCAATTGCTGTTTCTACCATCAAGAGGGTGGTGCACTGTACTTTCAATCCAGTTTCTTCTATCACTTCTCTTTCACAGGCTGTTACTATGTTTTCATTTTTTTCCATGCGACCTGCTGGCAGATACCTGAAAAAAAAGTATAATTTGAAAAAAAAGAGCTTCACGTTTTTGTAGCATCCCAAATTATCTAAGTGTACCCTTTTAACAATTAGAGATGAAAATGTATATTTTACCCACTACAGGTGTATGCTGTTTTAGATTTCCACAAAAAAAGAATATCTATGTAACTGCATTGATTAACATAATCTTTCTGAATAAGTCAACCACATAGTGTAATCCAGCTTGCAAAAAGGGATCTGAGAGATCCTAGTACCATCTATGATACAGTAGCACAACACAAAAATGAATTCAATAATCAACTTTAAAACATTAAAGTAATTTAGTTCTGCTGTTTGTCTCATGCCTATGTTAATTGGGTATCTTCAGGTGGGATATGTTAACCAATGTGTGAAGATAACAACCAATTAAAATAAACATCAGGGAAGTGCCAGAAAGGGAGTGCAGGTCCCAGCACCTCTATGAGACAGTAGCAGAACCAAACACTAACTCTTTTCAAAGATTACTTCTAAATTCATTTTCGAGTTCTGCCACTGTCTGATACATAGTACTTAGGATATATATATATTTCAGATCCCACTTTGGCCAATGAAATCCAGTGTATGATTGGCCATCTTTAAGTAGATTATGTTAGTTAATGGTATCTCTTGTCTGGGTAAATCTAGTGTGCAAGAATTTCAAAACTAACAATTTTATGCTAAACAACTCATTTTCTACCTCAAACTTAGTCTCACAATACTTCACTATTTTATGGCAATCATATATTTGATTTGAGCATACCTGAGTGACATATTATTTTATTTAAATTATACAATTATTACTACCAACATTTTTGTATCTCCTGTATCTGTGAATGAGACACTTTAGATTATTTATAAGAGATATTTGCATTAAGTTTTTTGGGTTGTACGCAACATTCCTTCTATAATTGTGAGATACCCTTTATATTGAGATGAAGTTAAGCTTTCCGAGGGCTTATGATTTAGAACATTAGTCTATAGTAGACCTATAGCTACCTATTTGTAATGTTGTGTAGAATCTTGGAAAAATCTTTTGTGTCAGTATAAGTACAATTGTAGGTATCATCAGGCACTCACCACTTTCCAGCACAGGTCTGTTTGGCTTCTTGCATCATCAAAACCTCATTTTGCTCATTCAGAATCACACATGCGACAATATAGCTGACTGTCTCTCCAACCACAGGTTTATATGTGGGGTCCACAGTGGGCTGAATACCCTGAGCCTCCAGTGCCTCATTTTGATCCTCCAACGTGAAGTCACATATCTCTGCCTCCTCTACATCTAAAGGCAATCCCTTCAGTACCTTTTTCAGGCAGATTTCCACACTGTCGGGCATTTTTATATGTCGCACAACACAGGATATCTATGAACACATTTCCTAAGGTAGTTTGTGCCTTTTCGACAAAACGTACATCGCAAAAGTAGTAAAAATGTTCTCGACGAATGCCGATCTTGGAAGTAGGTAAATATACCGCTGCAGGGCCTATTTAAAGAATCTTTAATGCGCGTTTACATAAGGCTCAAGATTGAATATAGCCGCTGGCTACAAAATTGATTGCATTCCTTTCTATTGACTCGTTTCAGTTGCAGCGCAGGTGCTGTACACACATGAATTTTAATTATCTTCCTGTACTATTCATGCTCATAAATAATTTTTAAAGTCGGAATTTAAAGTATTTGACATTTGTGTATAAAAATTGTAGGCAGCCACAAATGCATTCGCGTCTGTTAAGCTTCGCTTACACTAGTTGTCGCCAACCTTTTCAGTGTGCTGAGCTACTTTGATAATTTTGGAATAAACAGTGAGCTACCTAGTCGTAAGCAAGGCAAGAAAACTTAAATGAAATGATACACACTTGTATGCGACATACATGTGTTTATTTTACTAATACTAATACATACTAATAAACTAATAACTAATACATACTACATAACTACATGCATTGCTATCAATCGTACTTGTTTGAAAAATAAACAAAATTTTTCGTCAGCAATGGCATGTCACATACGATTTAATAAAGGTAACTAAAAATAAAAAGCAACGCACTATTTTAAACAAAAACATGTGCAGATCAAAAATGCGTGTTCAATGAGAAGCCTGACACTCAGCCTCACTGACAATTTTTTTTTTTATGTTTGGAGTACAATTCGATAACGCCATTCGAATACAATTATCCAAATGTTCATCTGTAAGTCGATTACAGTATTTGTTTTTAATAAACTTCATATTTGAAAAAGCAGGTTCACACAAATAGGTTGAACTAAATAACGCTTTCACTTTCAAAGCAACACGACATAAAACTGAATATTTATCTTTACTTATGCGTGTGAAGGTGGCTCCAAAAGCTGGCTCCACAATCCTACCCGCCGCTCGATTACAGCGGACCGAATAAATGCTGTACGCCTGCGATACGCCGTGGGCGTAGCGTTACACCTTGTCCTAGGTAGGTATGTACGTTTGCGTGCGATGCGGATATTACGATTCCCGCACGCATCGTCTGTCTTTGCGGAGAAAGTGGAGGTGTCCAAATACACTACGATTTTACGGTTTAAGCGTTCAGTTCGGAAACTGAGGAAAAGACGTCATAGGGAACAGACTCATGTCATTTACAAAAGTAGGGTGGTTTACGGCGAGTTCCATCATCTGTATCTGAAATTGCGTGAGGATGAAACAGCATTTCTCCAGTACACTAGGATGAAAATAAATACGTTCCATTACATAGTGGAAAAGATACGTAAATCCTGTTATCATTGCACAACAAACTTCCAGAAACCTATCACTGTTGAAGAAAGACTTGTGGTAACTTTAAGGTAAGTAAATAAGACAAGCATATTTTAGTGGAAAAGTACTTTATTTATCGAAACATGTGTATTGTCTGATGCGTTATTATCCTGGAGATATGAGGTAAAAGCCAAAGGATGATTATTTGTGGTTCCGGAAGATGAGGTTGGATAATTCGTGGAGTAAACACAGATGCCAGGGGAAGCCGGTGAAGAAGTGCCGGAATAATGTATAGATGAAATTGAACTGGAAAGAATTGTCGAATAATGTGTGTTGTTTGAGGAACAACGAGAATCGTCTGTGCTGTTTTGCAGTTCTTGCATCAATACGTCCTGAAACTTGGTAAGGACTTTTAGTTGTTGCAAAGGATTCAGTTTTCGGAGATCAGGTAGTAACGACCGTAGAAACAAGGAATTTTCATCTTCCTCCTGTTCAAGAAGAGCAAGCTTTTTGTTCTCAATTTCCAGCATCTTCACTTCTATGTCATCAGTACGTGGCTTTTTTGGTTTCGGATGGGATAGAGTTTTGTTAGGAACAAAGCTCTGTTTTGCTGAAGACGGGTTGGAATTAGCCACTGCTGTTGCTTCGATGAGGTCCGTTTGTGCCTGAGCACTATCAGACTGTAGCTCAGTCTCATCGGGTTCTGACTCCCCATATTCATTTGGTTCACTTTCGTTTGTAGTGTTTTGTAATTCCTGGGAACCATTGATAGTGGCCATATTTCCTTCAGTGTTTCTCGGAAGAACAGTATCCTTCAAATAAAGTAGACTGGTGAAATATTGCCACTTTCCCGAACATATTGAAGCATCTTCTTGCGACGCACCCGATTTACTTTTGGGGATTTTTTTAAATTCTTTTAAAAATTGGTCTCGTAAATTCCGACACTTTTTTGGCTTCATCCTCTGAAAACAAAGATATAATTATACTTTCATGACATGCAATATAAAAACCATTTTTTTTTTGGGTTCCTAGCAACGGGAATTTCATTTAGACAGCTGGCATTTACTTTTCGAATATCGAAATCATCAATTGCATGTATAGTTTTGGAGGTTTGCAAAACCATTTGGCAATCATTGTGGCAGGTGCATATGCCTGTACCAACTATTGAAGATTTTGAGAAGATTGCTAATGAATATTTCCAAAAATGGAACCTTCCTAACTACTTAAGTGTCTAGATAATTCAGACAGCATGCACTACAACTATAAGGGCTTTTTGTCCACAGTGCTGATGGCAGTTGTTGATGTAGGCGCATACGGAAAAGATAGTGATGCTGGAGTATTTGCTAATTCAGCTATTCACCAAAATATTGTAAATGGTTCTTTAGCTTTACCTAACGATAAACAACTGCCGAACTTCGAACAGAAGACTACATTTGTATTTATAGGAGATGAGGCATTTCCCTTGAAGAGGTATTTAATGAGGCCATTTCCAGCAAGAACAATTCATACAGATGCGGCTGCATCATATTTTAATTACCGATTACCAAGAGATAGAATGACTGTGGAATGTACCTTTGGTATTAGTGCTGCCAAATTTACAATTATATTGAAATGTATTGAAACCAATATTAACAATACAATTCATATTGTACAAGCGATTTGCCTTGTACACAATATCATAATAGACATGGAAAAATATCCTGGTCCTACAAATTCAGCCAATATTATCACATCAACGCAAGCAGCAATGGATCAAAACCTAAGAATTTCCAGGACAATTAATGATTCCTGTGGAGAAGCAGAAATGGTTCGAAATACTTTTTATCAATACTTTTCCACGAATAAAATTTGACGTCTAAGCTATATTTAGAATACTAAAACAATAAAAAATCATTATTACTCACTTAAGATTCCTACATTTTTTGGCACATCACCCCATTCCTTATCCACAATTAGTCGATCGTTATAACCAGGATTTCTTTTGTTCCAAAGAACATCTTTTTGTTGCACTTCAGCAATAAGCACCTCCATTTCTCCCTGCTAGTCGGACGACAACTGCCAGAGTGCCAGAGATAAACCCTTCTAACAACTGGGGATAGAATCAAACCGTTTGATTTTTTCAAACAAAGCGTGCGATGCGGTGTTGCCGTACCGCAACAATCGCACACACATCGCGCTTACTTGGAACATCTTCATTTGTTTACCGTAGTTTAATTATGATCGACGTCTGCATCGCACGCATCAGTGTCCGTATTTAGGTATGACAAGGGGTTACTCATAGAAGCCTGTGACGCGCATACGAGGTGAGCGCGGTAATCATCTATATTCTATCTGTGCTATTGCGGTATTGCATTAACTGGTTCTGCAGAGTTTGTAGGTTCGTATCCAAAGCTAGTCGTACACCTTAACTCATCATAAACAGACCTGTCGTGTATTTTTTTTTTTTCGTGAAAACCTGCAGAAGTGCGTCGATGTGCCTTTCAGGGTTTAAAGTACACAACAAGAGCTATTATAATTACAAAGACTATTCAAAACCTTGGCCGATGAAATTGACTGTTAATACGGGGAACTACTTCTTCACTCTGAAGTGCGATGGTTAAGTAGGGGACGAGTGCTGAAACGTTTTAATGATATCATATCTGCCATAGTTCGATTTTTCAAAGAACGTGATCAACCTATTCCGGAACTGAAAAATTCAATCTGGCTTAGAGATTTTGGTTTTCTTGTGGATATTACAGAAAAATTAAATTAACTTAATTTGCAGCTTCAGGGGAGAGACAAAGAACTAGCAGAAATGATTTCTGATATAACAGCATTTATCAAAAAGCTTGAGTTTTGGGAACAAAACTAATCGCAGGCGGACAGCATTTATTCGGTCCGCTGTAATCGAGCGGCGGGTAGGATTGTGGAGCTACCTCCACACACATTCTTTACTTACTGAAGGGCAGATACATTTTGCATTTGAGACTAATGATTTTAAAGCTAAATCATTTTGAAACGCAATCACTTCCATTTCTGTTGCGGCAATGTCTTCGCTAAAATTCTGCGAAACAGAAGTTGCAAACTGCTGGATAAGCCTACCATTTTCGATATTGGAATGTTCTCAGAAGAAATTATATTTTTAAAATAAGAAAACAATAGTCCTGCCCAGTAGTCTGTCACTAAAAACCATCCTGAGGAACACGGTCATGTGAGAGGGGTCAACGACATCTGTGAATTCATCCAGCTGCAATGAAAAATAAGCACAGTTATAGAAGTGATTTCTTAACCGCAAAACTTTATCATTGCTCATTACTTCTACTCGTCTCATCACTGTATTAGCAGAAAGTTGCATATATTTTATAGCAGGCACTATCTCGACATTATTCCTAAAGTTGGCAAATAATTAATTTGCAGCTACTAAAATGACTGTTTTACCATTTTGTCGTCTTCATAAGGTTTCTTCTTTTGTGTAATTATCTAGGACACCCGGTATGTAGCCTTACTTTTGTCAATTGTTTTTGAAAACATTGTATGTTGTCCAATATATTGATTTTTTAATTGTTTCAGTTTTTCTGTTCTAGCTGCAGAACGTAATGGGAATGATTTTCCAAAATTCGAATGTACAGTTTTATAATGTCTCTCGATATTCCCTTTTTTAGCAATGGGAACAGATGTATTAAATAACAAACATATATTTTACCCTCAGGCTGTAAAGAAATATTGTTCTTCCCGTTCCGAATGGATATGGTATGTCTTCATCTTCTTACTACTGCTCATAATGTTTTTAATAGCAGGCCAACTCTAATCCAATCGCTGGACGTGCCGTTCAGTTTTAAACTGTTCAAAGTAATCGAGATCGTCCTCGAACAGATCGCTCCCCGCAGTGTTACCGCTGCTTGTGTTTATTATGAGAATTTACAAAATTTACGGAAGCTTCTATGACTTTTTGCACCTTTTTAAAATATGTTGTGAGCCATCAGCATTGCGTTTGCTACCGGTTTGGGTTGGCGACCACTGGTTTACACGATAGCAACAAAATACTGCACTAACTGCCACTATATTCTGGAAACGACAAACGTGCGTACCTTAAGCCATATTTACACCCCAACAACATCCCCCACTATGATGTAAAAGTGGCAAACAGAACAAAATAGTAGCATAAGCCGGATTCACACGCTCGGCAAATTAAGACGTGTGAACGTTTGGAACGATACGACCAGGTTTGACGTCTACTGAGGTGAACAGCTAATCAGCAAATGACATCTTTGTATTAGTCTGTAACGTTGGTAATTATGAATCTAGTGTAAATCTAGTAAAACTTGCTTGTAGCGCTTTTTTTGTATGTAAATAATTATTTCGAAATTAAAGAGTTGTTAGAAAGTATTGTAGCGTTTCTCTGGGTTCTATTTGGGTGTGGATTAAAATAGTGGATTCCACAAAAAGAAATGCACTAATTTATTCAACTGGATAAAACATTTCTATACACCACGATTTATGTCTAACTAGTTCTTATGTCGGGCCACTAACTGGACACGTCACTCTGCTCTACTCTACCGTATTCCGTACTCTCTGCCCCATCTCCCGGCCGCCGAGTTATATATAGTTCAATTACCACTGCAAGAAAAGACCACAAAGCGGTATCTAGAATGTTGGAGATCACTTCGCGGCGATCCACTGTCACGGTCCTCACAGTCGCCGCTAGATGGCTGGTGCGGTCGTGATTCGTGTAAAAGCATCGATCGGCCATTAAACTCTAGCGAGTAGGAGACTCGCCTAACAGATGGCGCCGACAGTATGATTCGTCACAGTATAATCTGTAGCTGATAAAAAACTAAAACAAAATATGGCTCTGCCTACCTGGCGTTGACGGATTCGTCAGAATTATGTGTCATTTGTCCCTAAGTGGAATTTTGAGGTATTACTAGATAACCAGCTGTTATTCTACTGTAACGTAAAAAAGACGATATGTTTTCAGCACAAATGAAAAGGGTTTGTGACAAGCCTTTGCGCTATTTACTAAGAAAGGAGTACTGGAAGCATAAGAAAAGCGAATAATTTTCTTAGTTATATTTTTATGGTTGATTTGTGAATTTTCCTAGCATTTTTATACTGAAGAGAGGGTAAAGATTATTACTAGCATTGGTCATGATTGCTCTCCTGGAATATACTGACACTGACACTCACAAACGTGTAAATGAGTTTTCGAACCTAGCCAAGTGTTTGTACAGGCTTAGAGGTCGAGGCAAATGGCAACCGTGTGGTACAGCTGAAGGTTGACATGAAAAAAACATTCTTTTGCAAAATTTATTAAACTTAATTTTATAACTTATGCTTATTATTTACAAAAACAAACTGAACTAGACTTAGTTCTTTTCCTCAGCTGGTTTCTCAAATGCCTGGTACTCCACACACCTGGAGGGATCAGTAGGATAGTACTCTTGACACTTGGTCATAAGCCTTTTCAATGCCTGAATGTATTTTCTCTGTGTTTCATCATTCATGACATGTGCCACATTTTTTGAGAAAATCTTTTCTCGACCTGTACGAGCGTGAATACCCACCATGGTTACACCAATAGGCCATGGCGCATTACCTATTGCCATCTGTAGGTATGCATCACTTGCCTGAAACAGAAAACGATCATGATAGGAAAGAGTACCACAGATCATTAATATAAAAAAACTCCAGCTTCATAGAAACAGTAAATGTTATAATTTTATTTATATGGGGGAAAGTATTGATTCTGTACATAAAAATGTAAGCAAATTTCGAATAAATGCATATCGATTTATCTTGACTGCATATATGGCACATGAGTTTTCATCTATCACTATCTATAGTTTTTGGTTGGGACATATGAGAGGGCCATCTAAATATCTGATCTATAGTGCCCATACTAAAATATATTTTCCACCAGAATGGTTTAAAAAGGAAATTGTTCCAAGATAACCTTTCAAGGCCTGCAAGTGTCAGCTGAAATCCTCCTATATTGTACAGTTTACCTTTAGGTAGTTTCTCTCTAGCAAATGTATCACAATCTCTGTCAAACTGTCACATATATCTTCAGGTAGAGTAAAATTCTTGAGTTTTCTTAAAAGAGGTTTCAGATATTCTTGTGTCTGTTTATAAATGGCTAGCATAAGTTTTCCTTGTGTACTGGATTTCTCCTCTTTTGACCTGTTTTGCAACTGTTCTTCCCAATTCTTCAAAATCAACTGTAAGCACAAAAATACCTCAAAAATATTGCTATCATCCTCATAAAAATGGATACCTTAATATAATTTTTGGGATCTATATTATAATGGAATTTTTTTCAACTTCAAAGTTCAGTAAATTCTTTGGAAAAAGATGTTTTTGATATACATACCTGTACAAAATTAACAATGTTTGTCATATCATGTTCTCTGTTGCCTCTGCCCATCCTTTTTGCCATATCTCTAATATCCTCATAGGTAATGTTAGGTACTTGGGAATCACTTGAAGTCTTTTCAGAAGACTTTTTATCCTCATCAGGATTTTTGAGTAACTCGTTCAAGTAAGCCTCATCAACCTGTTCCATTGCCTCTTGGAAATCATTTCTGAAACCCTGTGAGAAAAAATAAAGATTAATTGTGGCTATTCATGCCTTTTATCACTGATGAAACCATCTAGAGATGCTAATGTCTAAGAAAATAAGGTTAAATTATAGATATCTGTACATACCTTGTTTATTTCAGGTTCTAATAATTCACACTTTCTTAGCCTTTTGAATGCATCTGTGTCTGTTTCACCAAATAAAAGAATAGGTTCTCCTCTATCCCTTAACCTTGATATGACTTCATGCCTGGGGAGAATGTTATGTTGTACATCTGATTGAACCTCTTTGCCTAAAATCAAATACAGGCAAAATATAATGATGCAATAAATAAAACTTTTTTCTATATGCCTAAAGCATGATTAACACATTCATCGCCATGAAACCCGACAGTTGCATTTTAAATCCTGTAGTCGATTGGGCTCCAACACCTGTGAGTTGACCTTCATTAGTAGCGTATACATTAAAGCCTGTAACCCAACTGCCATGTTTCAGAACACATGCACTTATATGGAAGTTTTTACAGGGGGGGCTGGTGGGTAATATTAGTGAATGAGCCCAGCAATTTTCATGTATTTTTTTATCTCTGAAGGAATTTTCTAAAAATTATATGAATTTATAAGAGTTTCTTATACCACTTTATGCCTTTATGCAAAGACGAACAGCATGACTTAAACTGTTCTGATAGATCTATAAATGACTTACATGAGTTGTAGTCAACAACAAGAGATGGTTTTTCTCTGTCTGTTCCTCTTTGTGTATTTTTAGTGGTTGTGTCAGCATGTATAGTGCTTATATAAAGAATATCACATTTTTTTTTGGTTGTTTTTTCTATTTTTCCTTAGAGTACCCATGCTTTTATAGCTCATGAGCCTGTTAAAACTCGAAAAAGTAACACCCAACATTTGGGTTTTGTGACGCTCAGCATAAGTAGGGCTTCATTTTAAAAATACAATTTTTGGGACATTTTTTCAAAACTAATGCTTGATAACAGCTAACATACCATATCCAGTGATAAAACTAATGATTTCCTAGAAAAAATAGGTTGGGCCTGGGGGTAGGATATTTTTCGCTTCATTTGGGTGATTAACGTGTTAAAGTATCCTTGTCTAATAATATTAATCATTCAAAATATTTATACCAAATGATTTAATAGGACTGTGGCTAATAGTCTAATCTATAGTTTTTAGGAAGATAGAATACTATCACAAGATATAGCCTATACTATCATGCCAGCTATGAAAAAGCTAAGAAAAACCTTTTGCATCTGTTGCTAGTTTATCGTTTGCTTCTTCCTGTATTTTGTACTTCTTTTTATACTCCTCTTGTTCTTTAGCAATTAGCTCCCCTCTTTTGAAATACTTCTTGTCGGGAGCCTAAAACATGATGTGAAAGGAATATGTTTGATCAGCACCCAACAAAATAACATCGAAAGGCTACCTACCAGAAGTGCATTTTCTTCTAGTTGTTTTCTTTTTCTGGCAATTTCTGCTTTTAATATATCCATCATCAGATACAAAAGGGAAAACCACAAAATATATATATACTGAAAACTCTTCACATTTTCAAAACAAAATGATAAATAATTATTACGAGACGTTAAAAACAGATGTTCAGCGACATTTATCTGACAGAACATTGACTTTTACAGATGACATGGAACACAAATTTTTAATTTGACATGGAACAGTGCAGATTTAAACTTTGGAAGTCTAGTATTCCTATTTTCCATTTTCTAACCACTACCACTAGCTAGCACCTTAAGCCAATCTCACACGATGTGGCGAATGCCTTACAGCGTTGGACACATGGCCATTCGCCACAATGTGGGAGAGCGCTGACTACATGTGTCCAACGTTCGCCACATGGCACGGTCGGGCTCTTGTCGGTAAATTTGACCCGCGTCAAACGTTGGAAGCATGGTTCGTTAGGCTCTCACGCGAGATGTCATGTGTTTGATGGCTTTGAATTCGAACCAGTAGCGCCGAAAAACATTATTTACTTGCTTGCTGTGATTGTGCTGAAGTATTGGTATGTGGGAAGTATTTTGATTTGAATAACTACCTATTCATGATAATGTATGTTCCGTAACTAACTTTTGAGCAGAATGTATTAAATTAGTATACATACAAAACATAGATGCTGCCATAACAACACTTTTTTCATATTGCTAATATTTTGTACGTTTCGTAGGTATGGCTGGCCTAAGGATATGTATTTTAGTAAATTATAAATTATCAAGTACTTACAGTTGTTTCATTATAATGTCCTGTTGCAATGCAAGACTAGTTGAGAAAATTATTGACTTTCATAACTAACGAAAACGATTAAATAAGTGATAAATCTGATAGTACTATCAGGATTTTGATAAAATTTTGACCCTAGGTTATTGCTATGAAAATTATGAAAAAGCGCTGTAGTTTTTGAAACCGGTCAAATCTCGTTTTTCGACATTTCTGAGGCTTCTGGCAGACATAAGTTTTGGTCGCTGAAGACATCTGAAATTATTTTTAAGGGCTCGAAAACAATGTTTCATCGTTCATTTTGTATAATTTTTCCTTCAGTTGTAAAGGTTCAAGCACGATACTGACACCGATAATAGACGTTGGCGCCACCATGCGTCGAACGTCCCAGACTAAAAAGTTCATCCCATCGTGTAGGAGAGTCTCCTAAGGAGACACAATTGTCAATTGTGAGGTGTCGAACGTTGTGTACAACGTTGAAAGCATCGTGTGGGACCCGCATTATTCACTACAAACTTACATCCAACTAGTTCAAAAATATTTGGAGTGCCGAGGTGAAGACAGGTTCACTCACATATTTTGAATATCCAGTATTTTTGAGAAACGTCAGATTGTTTTGTAGTTTTGTTAATTATTGATACACATTTCTACAATTATTAGCTGTCGGGAGGAAACTGGCGAACAACATCTTCTTTGTAGTTCTTAACTGGAGTTACATCACTCTCAAATTTCTACTTCTATGTCTTATTTATAAGGTTGCTTCTGTCAGATTTAAATGTCAATAACCGTTCAAAATATGGCTGACGTCGAGAGGGTGATCCGCCACCCTTCTCGCGGCGGCGACACAATGAAAACGGTGAATGGGGGTCCTCGAGTGGTCACCATCAATAAGACCGAAACGGGCTTCGGGTTCAACGTGCGCGGCCAAGTGAGTGAGGGCGGACAACTTCGCAGTATCAACGGAGAGCTATACGCCCCCTTGCAGCACGTCAGCGCTGTTTTGGACCGTGGGGCCGCTGAACAAGCGGGGATTCGCAAAGGGGACCGCATTCTAGAAGTGTGAGTATTGTAGGAAATGCAGGGACTGCTCTGGAAATGGGAAGCATTTGAATACGTCGGGGGTGCATTATCGATTTTTGCCAAATGTTGTAATCGTGACAGATGACGTTAGGGAAAAGTTCCGTATATTATGCAAATTGTATTTAAATTCTTATGCATTCTGTAATTAGCCATTGAATTCATCTTGCAATTTAAGAGGTTTCACTTTTTCTCACTGTTATTTTTATAATGCCACTACATATTTCTTATATATTTTGTAAGTGCTTGTATCTGAAAATAAGGATGTACTGAAAGATAGCTTGAGATTATAACCCGAACATTTACCAGAATATACATAAATTCAACTGATGCTGGTTGTTGCTTATATAATAAATCTTTCATCTGTCCATTTGGAAGATAGTTTTCACCTATTAAATAGTAGCTTATTGCATGTATAAGGGGCATTTGCCCCAGCTTGATGGGGCCTCCAAATGCCCAAACATTAAATAATATAGAAAAAAATGTTGAGTACCACATCCCCTCTCCCCCATTTTTTGTTTATTGGCAAAATAGGGCCTTAGTTTTCTCCCTACCCTCAAGCCCTTTCATCTTTACCCACAGGTGTTTTTGCAGAATATCTGAATATCCTTATACACAAAATCAAAGGAATATATAATATCCTTTAAATAGAAATTATAACATAGGTATATCAATAATTGTTTTATTTTTGATGGCACATTATTAATTGGTAGTTTATAGTGGGCAACAATTAGATAATGATAAGAGTAGCATAATCTTTATAAAATAAACTAATGGTCAAATCAAATCCTTGAAATATGTATTCAGAAATTGTGAAAATAATTAACCTAGAGATTGAGTAGCTATGAAACTTCTACAAAGGATGCTATGTTTTCTTCCTTTTACAATAAAAATACATATTTAATTGTTCCTTGTTATTTTTGAGTGCAATATTTTCTGTAGTGTTGAACCAGCATTTATATGAAAAGATCATTTTATATTTCTAACATTATTTGTCTCAGCACTTCTTTTAAATACCCTATATATGATTGTTTTATTTTTAGGAATGGGGTAAATGTTGAGGGAGCTACCCACAAGCAAGTAGTTGATTTGATCAAGTCTGGTGGAGATGTTCTCACACTCACTGTTATCTCAGTCACACAACAGGTAATTGTCTAATTATTGTTAATTACATATTAATTCAGTTTGTTACTGGTATGGTGGTATAGGTCATATGTCAATTGCTGTTAGTCTTGAAATTTGTGGCTCAATGGCATAGATATGATCTGAGATATGTGATGAGCCTATATATTTGTATTTGATGAAAACAGTAGTAATAGGAACATTTAGAATGTACATGATTGACATAAGTAATATACACATATTTATTGACCGTAATTAACTATATTTAACCCGCCGTGCGTTGTGGGGGTTCGAATCCCATCCCAAGAGGAATTTTTCTCTTGGCTGTGGATGTTGTGATTGTCCGTAGGTGGTAGATGGTCTCGTAGGCGAGGCCAGAATGTGTGCATGTTGCATGCACACATGTTCCCTCACCAGAGTCCATGTGGCATTCCCCCTTTCCCCTGTATCCCCCTATAGCCCCACGGTACCCCATGGGTGTTTAGGATTTAGGCCTTTGTGGTGCTTGGAGTATAAAAAAAACCTAGTACTTACTTGAAAAGTTAAATATAGTCAATTTTGAAAACTTGGAGGTATGGTATAACTGATATGAGGAATTTGGTTAAAATATTTCCACAATGGTGGCACTTATAGTTGTACCGGCAGTAGATACAAATTTGTTTATATTGGATGGAACACCCTGTATATCACTCAACAACCAAATCGTCGAATGATTCTCAATACAGTCCATATCTAACATCTTATACCTAATTCTAATCATTTTTGAGAAACATCAAATTTTGTGTAAAAAATCACAAATCCAGGTCTATAAAAACCTAATAGTTTTTTGTATATTTCTATCCTTGTTGAACAACATATAACTGGTCCATTAAACAAGAGGGTCTACTTTAGTAGACTTCATTCAAAATTTTAATTATTAATGATACAGGGTGGTTAAAAAACGGATGAAAATCGAATTGAAAAATTGCAAAAGGTCAATTTTTCAAATAATCCCCTGTTTTTATAATCTCATTATCATATGCAATAGAAATTAAGACAGTTTTGTATAAGGTTATCTACTTCACAAATTAGTAGTTTATTAAATATTTACAAATTCTTGGTTTCTACCCCTGTATATGGTTCTTTTCTTATCTGATAGATATTTGTTCTTAGTAAGACTTTCATCATAAATAATAAACAAAGCGTTTCTTATTTGATTACCGCATCTGAGACGATTTATAAAGGTTTTTCAGGCAGCAAATAGTGCAATGTGCAATTAGTAACATATGCTTTTAGGTAGCACTGCAGCTATCAGTGTAACCTTATCTTTTTTTTATATTATACTTGAACCACCATGAAGGCCTAAGGTCTAAAAATTGATGGGTTATTTTAACTGATTTCCATTTTGACCACCCTGTGTTATCAATTATCACATATCAAATCAAGTCTATTGAAATAGTAAGAAAACAGTTACACATTGTTGAACAAGGACAAAAATATACTAAAAATGGCTGCATTTGTGATTTTTTTTTACACAAAGTTTGATATTTCTCAAAAATGGTTAGTTAGGTATCAGATGTAATACATTGTGTCTATGAATGTATTTAGAATCTGGCAAAGTATTCTAAAATTGAAAAATATACTGGGTGTACCATTCATAATTATCTACTTTTAAAGTAATTAATTGCTGTAGTTCTACATACCCTGTATACTTTTAATATGATTCATTGACCACTTTATATACAATCATGTTAGGCCCTACACACTATTTTATACATTTCATATAGTTTGTATATTCACTGACATTATAAAAACAGAATGTTAGTAACTGTTTCTTCACAAACAAGGGAAGTAGGTAGTTGACATGTTATGTATGTCATGCCCTCTGGTAGCCTTAACCATCATATTACATAAATTAACATTGGGTCTAAACCCTATTTCACGAGTATCCATCACAATTTGGCATCTACTGAGGTTAACAACTGATCAGCAAGTCACATCTTTGTATTACTTGATAATCAGCTGTTATTCTACCATAATAGATATTCGTGAAAAACACAATACCAATCTGAGTCATATATTTTTTTAGGAAGCAGAGCGTCTAGAACCATCTGATGATAATCAAGTTTATTATGACTACAGTGAAAAACGTTCTTTGCCCATTAGTATTCCTGACTACCACCACAATGAAAGAGGTGGTGAGCGATATGTGTCTTTCAACATCTATATGGCAGGAAGGCATCTTTGTTCCAGAAGGTACAGAGAATTTGCAAAACTGCATCAAGACCTAAAAAAAGAGTTTATGGGTAAGTAAACTTTAAACTTTAAGAGATAATAGTTATGAGCAGTCGAATATTTTCTGTTCAATTTTTTTTAGGATTCACATTTCCAAAATTACCAGGCAAGTGGCCATTTACAATGAGTGAGCAACAATTGGATGCAAGGCGTAGAGGCTTAGAGCAGTATTTGGAAAGAGTGTGTGCAGTTAGGGTCATAGCTGAGTCTGACATTATGCAGGAGTTTCTTACTGATCAGGATGATGAGAATAACACAAGTCCTGTTGATCTAAAAGTAGGTTAATATTATGCTATAACTATGATGTAGTAAATGTTTTGGTCACAATGATGACCTTCAGTACATTACACTTCTGACAATATTTTATTTATCTGGTGACATAACTGGTACATTAAAAAATCGGCAGATAACCTAATACTCGCTTGTCATTTTGGGGGATAGACATCCTTTTGGGAGCAGGAATGCCTACCCCAGCCCATTCAGGTCTATGCTGGTTTTGTGTGGTGCCATCTTAAAATTTGGAATGATGGCTTTGCACAATCTTGACCTTTCATACTATTGTAGTAACACACTGTATAGCATAGCTTGAAAAATGAAAAGAAATAACAAACAAAGTGTCACCTGGCAGACACAAATAAATATTGTCAAAAGTGTCCTGTAGTGAAGGTCACTGTTGTGAATGAAACTTTTACAACATTAAAAAAGAATTTCAAATATATGTGGTTTCATTGGCCAGACAAACATGGGACATTATCGATATGAAAAGCACAGGATAAATTTGAGCTGATACATTATGATGTTTAACTTAAATAATTGTTTTTTAGGTATTACTGCCTGATAGAGAAGTAGTGACAGTGACAGTTAAAAAGAGTGCAAATGCTGATGATGTGTATGATGCTGTAGTAAGGAAAATTGATATGAAGAAAAATATTGCAAAATACTTTTATCTGTTTGAAATTGTTGAATATAATTTTGGTAAGTTGGTAATAAATAATAATAATAATAATTTATTTCATTGTTGAATAGAACAGAAAATTCTATAACAAATGAAAAGGTCATAATTATAGGCAGCAGCGGAGGCCGCAGTAGTAGACTCTTCGGTCTCCTGATCAGTCGCCGTGCGCTGTGCGGGTTCGAGTCCCGTCCCAGGAGAAATTTTTCTCTTGGCTATGGATGTTGTGATTGTCCGTAGGTGGTAGATGGTCTCTGACTGTCGAGCGCGGAGGTACCACCCGGCGGTTCTCGTAGGCGGAGCCAGAATGTGTGCATGTTGCATGCACACGTGTTCCCTCGCCAGAATTCGTGTGGCGTTCCCCCTTTCCCATGTATCCCCCTATAGCCCCACGGTACCCAGTGGGTGCTTAGGCCTTAGGCCTTCGTGGTAGTTGGAGTATAAAAAAAAAATATAGTGGTGACGAGTTGAAAAAGTATAAAAACATAGATCTAAACAAAAAACTCCTCCAAGGTGTAGAAACATATGTCTATCAAAAAATGTTTTAGTTTTCTTTTGAAAACAGCTATATTTGATTCTTTTTTTTTTATACTCCAACTACCACGAAGGCCTAAGGCCTAAGCACCCATTGGGTACCGTGGGGCTATAGGGGGATACATGGGAAAGGGGGAACGCCACACGAATTCTGGCGAGGGAACACGTGTGCATGCAACATGCACGCATTCTGGCTCCGCCTACGAGAACCGCCGGGTGGTACCTCCGCGCTCGACAGTCAGAGACCATCTACCACCTACGGACAATCACAACATCCATAGCCAAGAGAAAAATTTCTCCTGGGACGGGACTCGAACCCGCACAGCGCACGGCGACTGATCAGGAGACCGAAGAGTCTACTACTGCGGCCACCGCTGCCATTCCTAATATCATCATTGAGCTTATTAAAAATCTTACATCCCATATACCTGCATGTTTTTTGGTATGCCGTAGTTCGATGTCTCGGCGGGATTAAAAGCAGCTTAGACCTAGTTGGATATTCATGCTGATGTTTGATAACTTCAAATTCGCGCTTATTTTTGAAAACAAACAAAGCAACTCATAAATGTAAATACCTATAACAGTGTTCTAAAGGATTCTCTACAGGATTGGCGCCAACCAAGGTTATCAATAATTCTAATGGCATATTTTTGCAGCAGGAGAACTCTTACAGTTAGTGAACTACTTCCCCAATTGAGAATACCATACCGGATATGACAGTTGACAGTGGCATAGTATAAAGTTTTTAAAATTCGTTTACTGCACTGCTTTGCTAAGAATTTAAAGCCATAGCAACTCCTTCGCAATCTATTGCACAAACATTCAACGTGGAACCCCCCTGACATCCGACAATCAAGTATCATCAATCTCAAAGACTGATGACTAATGCTATCATATTTTTGATTTCCAGAAAGGAAGTTACAACCAAATGAGTATCCCCACAATTTATATATACAGAATTATAGCACAGCCACAAGTACATGCCTAACAATAAGAAAATGGTTATTTTCTATTGAAAATGAATTGCAGCTGATGTCAGATCCACAGGCTACTTCCTACATATTTTGGCAGGTAAATCTTAGTACATCATGTGCATAGATCAAAGAAATACTCTCAGAATAAGTAGAACAAGTACATACTGCTCTCCATATATGGGTAAATATACAGTGTTTGGGATTTCAATGTTCAATGACAGTTATATGTGAAAGCTGATTTCCTTGATTTAACTTTGATTGTGTGTAGCATGAGATATTACTGTCAAAGCTTCCTTTTTATTCTATGGCTTCATTCAGTGTACAGTTTCTCAAGTATAACCTGTCTGTAGGACAGCAATTTGTGAAATACAAAAAATTGCAGATCTGCTGTCACCACAGTTTAGCATGGAGACCTCAAGGATCTGTACTTGGACCATTGGTATTCTTGTTATACGTCAATGACACACAAAATAGTCTCAGTAATGGTACTAGTAGCAAACTACTGCTATATGCCACTACTCTTCTTTCAACTCATAACATCTTAGAAAACCTAGAAAATGAATCATCAACATGCAGGGAGACATTGAAAACTGGTTGGTTATTAACAGGCTGAGCTTAAATGAAAACAAAACTCGGACAATGAGTATCTCTCTAGGAAATTTTGACAAAAATAATGACAACGCAAGAACAGTAAAGTTTCTCGGGGTGTACATGTTACATATATACATAATCTGAGAAATTCAGTGTCTCAGAAAACACTGATCACCAGTTATTGTAGATACTTAAATTAGATATCATGACATTGCCTTGTACATCTATGCTTGCCTCATGCATGTTACAACTCACTCACAATTATATAACTCGTCAAGGTACTCATAATTACAACACCAAAAACAAAGAACATTTGTGTCGAAATCGTCATCGCCTGTCCAATATTAGAGATGGTGTTAAGTACCACCGATAACAATCTGCAACCTATTGCCAAATAAAATAAAATCTCTCGACCTTGAACAATTTGGTAAAACTATGAAATGCTTCCTACTATCGTCGAACACTCTCTTAACTTTTCATCCTGGCATAATTTCATTGTGTTTCGTCTCTTTTGTAATTTTCTAACCAACTCTATTCATTGTTCATTTAAATTCAAACTTTTTTTTTATTAACTTTTTTCTTTTAATTGCCAATTTTTATTGCACGCTTGTCTTATTTACTTACTCATTTCTGTTCTACTTTAGCAAACATTTCTGTGTAATAGCACCAGTAAATTATTAATGTTTTTACTCTTTATTACAAAAGCCGTTTTTCTTTCAAACATGTTTTTTTTGTCCCAGGCCGTAGACGAAGTGAACCGCGGTACGATCCAAGCCGGTTCCCGCCTATACCAATTGAAAGCTCTGCAAGCCGCATCGCGTGCCGGCGAGTACCTGCAATTAGCACGAGAGTTGGCCGGCTACGGCGAGATGGTGTTCCCGGGCTGCGCGTGCGAATCAAGGACGGAAGGGGGCGTGGCTAACGGTAGTGGAGGGGAGCCGGATAGCAGAAGACACGCCTCCGTGGCGGTGGGAGGGGCTGCGGTCAGACTGAGGGCGTGCGCCGAAGAGGAAGAGGGCGGGGCCATAGGGACGGTGGAACAACAGGCCAGGGCGCCGGCGATGCGAGTTGATTGGCAGAATGTGGAGAGATGGGAGGTAGATGAAGAAGGTAAGTATTTCATAGATTTTATGTAGAAACAAAAAATTCTCTAGTGGCCCGACGTGATGTCAAACCTAGGAAAGGCCGGTCAAATCAAGAATAATCCACTATTTTCGCTCAATTAAAGGATAAGGTTCCAACAATGGTGTTTTCAGCCCTGAAAATAACTCAAATTGATCGCATTTATGAAATTTTTGAAAGTAATATATATATATATATATATATATATATATATATTTAATACAAATATTCAGCACTCCAAATTTCAAAATGTCGGGCTGAGAGGTTGCCGAAGTGGGGGGTTTTTCTAGACAAAACACCTTATACCTCAGTAGCTAAGCACCAAAACCCCATAGTATGTTATATCAATTTTCTTCTTTTGAATTGGTTTATCCTAATATGCAATAAAATTTGAGGCATTCCATTTGAAAAATCACAACTGTGAGTTGTAGGTCGAAATTGGGACACCATGTATAATGGCCAATATTTGAGAAATGTGCCCTCAAATGTCATGTATAACATGCCATAAATAGATTTTCCCGAAATGTATTTGTTTATGAGTAATATTCCGTCCACACATGGATGGGCCACCCTTGTATACAGGGTGCTCCATAATTATTGCGACAAAATGATAGGGGTTGTAGAGGGCATCAAAATGAACAATTTTGCCTTATAAACCCCTGTTCGGAAATAAGCCGTTTGGGCTGCAGCAAAAAAAAAGATCAGTTTGTTGAAACAGCTTACCTACAGTAATTGCTCAAAGTGTCCTCCACCTTGCTCAATACACAGCTGTGCACGATTGTTCAATGATCGGCGAACTCTGTGGCACACCCCCGGTATGTCCTGAACATGTGCGGACGCGGCCATCACTCTTCCCAGTAGCTCTTGTTGGTTGGGAACCGGAGTTTCCTACACTAAAACTTTCAGATGGCCCCAGAGAAAATAATCCAGTGGGGTCAGGTCGGGTGACAGCGCAGGCCAAGGCACCACCTCGGCCTATCCACCTATTTGGAAATTTATCGTCCAAATACTGCCGCACTTGTAAAGAAAAGTGGGCTGGAGCGCCATCGTGTTGAAACCACATGTCGGCTCTTATGTTCAGTGGCACATTTTCTAATAGTTCCGGTAGCACATGCTGTAAGAATCAATCATAAGCATGCCCATCCAAACGTGGTGGAAGCAAATATGGCCCGATGAAATGCTCGTCCACAATGCCGCACCAGATGTTAATTGAAAACTGATGTTGGTCTCTATGGATTTCTATGGCATGAGGGTTTTCTTCATCCCAAATAAACTGTTACGGCTATTAAAATAACCGTCCTTTGTAAAACAGGACTCGTCAGTGAACTAAACGTAGCGACCAAAGTTTGGTTGCCTCAACTCCTGCTGCAGCCACCAACGACAAAAACGTCGACGCGGCAGATAATCTTCTGGACCCATGGCTTGGACTTTTAAAAGATGGTATGGGTGTAGTTGCTGGTCATGGAGAACCCGCCAAACAGTAGTTTGAGACGCTCCCATATCATGTGCAATAGCACGCACGCTTGTACGCGGATTAGCCTCTACATGATGCAGAATCGCTTCCTCAAATTCTACTGCGCGCCTCGTGAGGGCCGCCCTGCTCCCGCGAGGTGTCTGATGCTGCCACTGACACGAAGACGTCCATGAATCCTTGCAAAAATGGCGTGATGCAGATGAGGACGTTCTGGAAACCGTTGGGCGTAGATTCGCGTGGCTCGTCTTCCGTTACCACCAGCTTCTCCGTAAATTAAATGCATATCCGCATGTTCCGCATACGAATAACGCTGCATTTTAACACTAAGGTACTGTTATTTACTATCTAGTTTGACGCACCACTCAGATAAATTAAATGAATCGGTGTGGAGAATTTACGATAACAAAAATGTAAACACAGCAGGCTTTTTTTTACAAACCGGCGAGACCATGAAATGTGCTAGACGAATATTTTGCAGCTTGTGAATTTTTTGTTTCTCCTATGAGCTCTTAAGGTAAAATTAGCGGTAGTGCTCAAACGGCATATTTACGAACAGGGGTTTATAAGGCAAAATTGTTCATTTTGATGCCCTCTACAACCACTATCATTTTGTCGCAATAATTATGGAACACCCTGTATATGTTTTATTGTCTAAATGATACAATAATTCTTGATGACAAAGTTGAAACTAAACAAAATTACATATCTGGAACTTATGTAACCAAAATGTGAACTCACACATATGGTTTACAAATAAGCAAGTTTTTAAGTTCATGTCGAAATATATTTAAATTGTTGATTCTTTTGATATCATCAAGGAGGCACATATAAATTTTCAGACCATTATAAATGATTAATTCTTTCACAAGTTTTGATTTGGGTTCTACTAATTTAAGATCTGGTTTCCAGCTAATACCACAACATATTTAATGTCTCAAAATTATATATATATATATATATTTTATTAAATAAGAGTTACTGTTTGAGAAATAAACAGTGATAAGACATTATTTTAAGATTAAAAATAAAGGCCTGCATGTAGCTCTACGATTGCTTTTAGTTATATATCTAATAGTTCGTTTTTGTAGAGTTTTAAACAATTTTGGGAGCAGAGACACTAAAAGGGAATATATCTCAATTTACTTTGAGGCAAAGTAATTGCTTAAGGCATTCTCCTACATTATAACATTGTTCTTATAATAAAGGAACTCTTTGTTACTCGAGTAAGCAATTGGTCTACATGGTTAATAAAATTTAATGAATGATCAATCCCAAAAAATTGAGTTAATTTCAGGGCCGAAAACCTGGTTGATGGATATCTTATGTATGCTACTTTTGTATTTTTGCAGGTATGGCATTTTGCTTCAAATACAATAGGCCTGAGAAACCTCCAAAATGGTTGAAGATATATACCCCTTATGTAAGTGCATTATAAATTCTACTGAATACTTATCGACAAAAAAAAAGTTATATGAATTTTCATTCATAATCATTTAATTTTATTTACAGTTCCTCTACCTTAATGACTGCTTTGAGAGGGTAGCAGAAGAGAAAAAATGGCTAGAAGCTGGTGACTGACTTGCGCGTAAATAAGGTGACTTAGGTGAAAAAAAAAAAAACTTTCAAGTTCTCGTCAAACATGTATTTGAATTAAGACGGTAGTGGTATATCCTCCGTTATCCTACTGAAAATCTTGTGATTTTTCACGTTACTCTCTATTATATACTTATTTTTTACTAGTGCTGATTTATTGGCTTTAATTCTCTTTTTTCATTTAATGTGCCTTTAAAAGGTATTGAGATTTTTATATTTATTCTAGTTACATATACACATATTTTCAATTTATAGATAATTCATGCGTATGTTAAATATATATATAGGAATAACACCAACTTAGGTAAATATAAAGAAATAGTAGTTTTTTTGAGTGAAAATTATGGAACAGCGTGAAATAAAATAATTTATCATATTGATATAAGAAATAAAAATATTTACTGATAATGTTACTAGTATACAATTTTTTATATATTCTGTTTACTTGTTTCATAAACGATAACTCTAGTTATTGTTTCATAATTTTCATTCGTTTTGTATATACTCCAAAAAGCACATTTATGATGAATTTTTGAAAAATGAGAAATTGTTACTATTCCTTTAAATTAAGGCGCACGTTAGAAGAGAAACGATTCGTTTCGCGCAAAAATATCTATCAACAATGTTCGACATTGAAGTTAAAAAGAAACAGTCGAATGTCAAGCATTGTCGAGTGACATCTTCGTGCGATACGAATCTCTTCTCTTCTCTTCAGGGTGCTTATACCTTTAGTGTACCCAAAAATAGTCAATCCTGTTCTCTTAAAATTAATTTCATATGGTCAAGTAGGGAACAACAGTATAACAAAGAAAACCATTTTTTCTATTGTCTTATTTTTTAACATAAAATTAGCGGTCTTTAACCTTCATATTAGGTTTGAAATAATCACAACGACAAATTTGTTATAGTGTGTTTCAAGGGTGGGGTAGTTTAACAGTCATAGGGGTACAATATAACAAGATCTTTTCTAGATTCAATGTTATCAAGACCGTAACTCATTTTCGAGTACGTGGTCATATATTATTTTAATCTTGAAGCTTCCTCGGCCTAATATGGCCTTTTTAATATCCACGCCACTGGGTGAGGTATTGTAATCACGAAAACATTTTAAAATGAGATATTGTTTTTTGGATGTTATATGACATGTACATCACGTAAAACTGAATTACTCATTTCCGTCGGTATGGTTTGTCTGTGTACCTATTAACCATATTTCACACATCATAGATTTCCCGCTTACATTTGCCTTTAAAACAAAATGGTAGAGGAATGTTTTCGATCCGCATATTCCTCCTATCTAAGCTCACCGTCCGCAAAAAACATACACGGACCATGCACGAACGAACGATAACTCGCTGCAGCGATGCCGTCCTGGGCGGATCTGGAAAGGAAACGTTTCCAGACGGACAGTAACTACCGGTAGGGCAAGGAAAGAATGCCTATGGACTAATTGTATGGACCTGTTTGACTGTCTTAATTCGCTTACTTTCTCTGTTGTACATGTTCGTAACTAATTCCTCTTCAGATGATTCAAATTGCACTGAACTTGATCCTTTATGAACTGATGACGGCGTTGATAGGAAGTGCAGAATCAACCTACGTAACGTATTTTTTTTCTTAACGTAACGATACTACTTGATTCACGTTAATATTCTCGGATGATTTTCTCATAGGTACTCCCTTTTCAGCCAACTCTAATGCTTCTTTCATAAAATCATTAGCATCGTGTAGATCAATTTGATCTTCTGATTCCGAACCATTTTCGATGTACTACACCTGAAAAAAAAATCAAAGACGTTGATGATGATTTTACACTATATCCAGTTACTCTACCCCACACTCTATTCAAAACAAACAATCGTTAAAATTGAAAGAATTACAAAAACTTTGTTTACTATTTAAACACCAACTATTTGAGGATTAAAGGGAACTTATATTTACTTACCAGAAATTATTAGTTTTCCAACAAGAACAAAACTTCATTAGTAAAAATTTTCACGTTTGTTTTACAAAAAACGTAAATTAGAGCATTCTTCGATTTGCCTAGCAATTCGATACTTGACCCTATACATGTTAAAATGGGTCAGTAATATTGTCTTGCTGTGTTTTCTGACCAGCTTTCTGTTCCTAATTTTTATCATTTTTCAGTTTCCACTAGCAATCGACGTTTCTTTTTGGTATATATATATATACTTATCCGCCATGAAAGTTTACGAATTTTATTTGAAATATGAGGATGAGGTGACATATACCTGTTTCAAAAATTCGTCATCTTTGATTCGAACAAAAATGTCCATTGAAATGTTATAGCAATACGAAAATAAAAACTAGTATATGTCTGTTTCCACCATGACATAGTCATTACTATGAAAATAGTGAGAAATAATTGATGCTTTGTTCTTTTCGTAGATAGAAGAAATCGAAATTTTTCGTAAACTAATTGCAATGAATCTCGTTCATAAATTGTTTTCTAGTATTATTTGTTAATATATGAAACTATCCACTACTCGCATCGTTTGTAATGCATTATTTCTTGAACGTCAAAGTTGTCATGAACACGCTTTCTTCGTTGTCAAAATAGGAACGCTATCAGATGTATTCTGCGTGAAGAAGCTAACTCGATACAAAATTCCCTTGTCCAAAAAAATATGTGAGATGAAATGAGATATCGTAGCATCATCTATGAGAATTTGTCATAGCTATGTTTCTCCTCTCAGCACTTATAACAATTTTCTTTCAAAACGATAGTGTCTCATAGATGGCGTAGTAGCCTTCAACTGTGTTCAACCAAACATATATGTAGCTCTGATGGAAAGAAACACCGAGGACGGCGGCGACGTTCTGAATACACTCGCGAAGTATCAATAGGATCTTGAAGATGCTCATCATATCAAACCGATAACTACGTTATTGTTATAGGAATGTGCCAATTTCGGTTTTTCAAATGCGGTCTGTTTATAAACTAGGTTAACCTAGACATCACACGACCCCTGATTTGTATACTAACTCATATTTATTTAGTATAGCCACAGATTATTCAGATGCGACACCTGCTGTCGGTCCCTTTGCTCTTCGTGTCCCCAACTGCTTACCACATTTTCCGCTTATGTTCACTAGTGCCCGGAGGATTTTTTCCTAGGGGTTGTTACACGTTATTCAAGATGTCACGAATGTCATATGTCAAACAACATAATCAAGAAATTTATTTGTGTTCGTTTACCTACATGCATTTTGGGAAGATAATTATTATTATTTCTTGAATATCTATTTATATACGAGTATATAGTATTGATAAAACTCAATGTTTTTGATAACCCCTGAATCCTAAATGTCACAGCAACACGAATCCCACCAAACGCATAGGACTCAGTTGGCTTTGATAGAACCTGATTTTTGACAGAGTGTCGCCTCTGTATGATACTCTGTGGTATAGCATCATACGTTTTGACATAGGAGGGGATTATGGGAAGGTAGAGAAGCAGGGTCATATTGGCTCACTTATTGCGTTTTAGAACCTAATATCTCGGTTATCTTGAAGTTTTGCTATATATGTGTGAAAAAACATGCTTATTAATCCCTTACCTATATGCTGTGTAAAGGAAAGTCCCAACTTTGAGGACACCCTGTATACTATGTGCTATGTATAGTTGGCTGCTGCACCACCTATGAGACATTACCTTTTCAAATGAGATTTATTAGCGCGGAGAGGAAAAATATAGCTTTGACAAATACTCATAGATGACACTATGGTGTCTTATATCATGGATTACATTTTGGACGTGGGAATAGAGAATCAGTATAGTAAAGTACAGTAACTGCCAACTGACCCGTTTCATACGTGAGATTGATTGATTCAGAAACGCGTTTCTTTCAAATCGAAAATGCCGCCCCAGATTAACCGCGCTTAAGTCTGTTTTCGTGATGACTTTGATATTTGTTTAAGCAATAGTAACTAATTCACTATGTTTACCTGGAACATTTTTACCAACATTTTGAAGTTGTAACAGACTATTTGTATAATTTATCCCAGAGGGTAAAATTCCTAACGCGAAAATGGTAAGAATCTAAAAATCATTTTACGATAAATGTATCGCAAGACAGTAGCTTCTGTTTGAGATATTTTAAATTTGCAGTAAATTGCTTTCAGTCAGAAATGTCAATTCATGTTGTGTTGTCTCTGCGATATCATCTAGACATCTTTTATAGTGACTAAAGTAGTTTAAGCATATATCAAATATATACGTCCTGTTATTAGGTTCAAAAAGAATTATTTGTGAAGTTGAAAATATCTGAAATTTGTGCTTAACTATGTTATAGCTTTTGTTTTGGATACCTGACAACTTTTAAACTCTCGGCATGAACCATACAAATTAGGAAAATTTCTGAAGTAGTGGCATTTATCATTTGATTGAACTTTTACATAAGATGGATCGATTTTTTATCGTAGAAGTAATATTTATCATTATTTTTCTACAAAGTTTCCGGTGGGTTTGGGTTGACAGTGTCCTTGTTTTATATTGAAATTATGATTAGAGTTACTATTAAGAGATTTCTATGTATATTTGCGTTGTTGGATTTTATTCTTGAAAAAAAATAGATAAACGTTTGGCTGTTATGCATGAAATTAAAAAATAAATTTTGAACTATACTTGGTGTTTTAATTTGTTCTCATAAACACTTGTTTCCCTTCAATAGGCATCGGAAAATCATTGTTAGAATAACGGTATACTCTAATACCACAAGTCGTTTCTACAATCCTAATAAAGAATTTGGAGTAGTAGAAAATTGCACAATGGGAAAGGTTTTCATAAAAGAACCGTCGAAAAGTAGAACTTAGAATTTGTTATCACGGAAACGCGAGGAGGTATCAGAAAAGACGCGGGAAATTGAAATATTCTCGAACATTTGTAGTTAATATTTGCTACCAGGATCACAGAAACGCGAGGAGCTATGTTCTGTCTAGTACTAGGGTGATAGGAAATTCACAATATTCTCTGCAAATGTCTCTCGTCGTTTCTGCGATCCTGATACAGAATTAAAAATAGTTGAAAACATCGGACTGGATTTTTATAATAAAATCGTAGAAAATTAATAGTTCAAATTTGCTGCCAGGATCATAGAAGTACGAGGAGGTATGTTCTGTGTCTGGTCCTAGGGTGATATTAATTCAAATATTCTCTCTCGTCGTTTTTGCGATACTGATACAGAGTTTCAATTAGATGAAAATTGTAGGTTTTTACATGATTAAATCGTCAAAAAGTAGTAGTTAAAATTTGCTATCAGGATCACAGAAACGCGAGGAGGCATCGAAATATGTATCCAACTCCTAATATTAAAATGACGGGAAATTAAAATTTTCTTGGCAAATCTCTCGTCGTTTCTGCGACCCTGATAAATTAAAAATAGTTGAAAATAAATATCAGATTTTCATAGCAAAACTGTCGAGAGTTAGTCAACATTTTGTACCAGGATCACAGAAACCCGAGGATATCTAAAATTACTTGAAAGGAGGGAGATTCAAATTTTCTCTGCAAATGCCTCTGGTCGTTTCTGCGATCCTTATACAGAATTAAAAATAGTTGAAAACATCAGACTGGATTTTTATAATAAAGTAGTAGAAAATTAGTAATTCAAATTTGCTGCCAGGATCACAGAAGTACGAGGAGGTAAAGGGTGTTCAGATAAGGACGCTCGAAAGTTAAAATGGAAAAAAAAGGAAAAAAATTTAAGTCAGCACTAAAAGTCTATATTGATCGTAAATAGCATTCGACGACATTATGTATGGAATTAAATGGCCACCGCGACTGCGCTGTACAGCGTGCATTCGCATGGTCCAATTTCCGAGCACTTTTCCGCACATTTCAGCGTCTACATGTCCGACGACGCGAATGATGTTGGCCCTTAATGCTGCAATTGTTTGTGGCTTATCCGCATACACTTGAGACTTCACGTAGCCCCACAGGAAAAAGTCTAAAGGCGTTATATCGCACGATCTTGGTGGCCAGTGCACATCGCCGCCGCGCGAAATAATGAAACCATTGAACTTTTCATGCAGTAAATCCAGCGTTGCGCGTGCGGTGTGGCACGTAGCGCCGTCCTGCTGGAACCAGATGTCTGTTAGATCCATATCGTCCAGTTGAGGCCACAGGAAATCATTAATCATGGCGCGATACCGATCTCCATTGACCGTAAGCGCGTTGCCCATAGCGTCCTCAAAAAAATATGGACCGATTACGCCGCCAGCCCAGAAACCGCACCATACAGTCACTTTAGCAGGATGCATAGCAATTGAGCAAGTCACTTCAGGATTTTGGTCAGCCCATATACGGCAATTCTGTTTATTGACATACCCATTCATCCAGAAATGCGCCTCGTCGCTGAAGTTGATTTTTCGTGCAAATGCAGGGTCGACTTGCAACTGCTCTAGAGCCCATGCGGCAAATGTACGGCGCTGTCCATGGTCTTGCGGTTTCAATTCTTGCGTCAATTGAATTTTGTACGCGTGCAATTTCAAGTCTCGACGCATAATTGTCCATGTTGAGGTCTTTGGAAGGGCAAGTTCTTGTGCACGTCGCCGCAATGACTGATTCGGGTCTTGACGCACGCTCTCTCGCACAGCAGCAATATTCTCGATTGTTCTTACTGTTCGTTGCCGTACGGGTGTTGTTTGGTCTGCCACTGAGCCAGTTCTCTCAAATTTATTGAGCAGACGTCAAATAGTGGACTCAGCAGGACGGCCATGCGCACCATAAATTGGACGCAATGCGCGGAACGTTTCACGAACCGAACATCTGTTTTGATGATAAATTTTCACAATTTCCAGGCGTTGTTGAATCGTGTACTGCTCCATGATTAAATGTCAAGACTAACTTAATAACCTCACAAAATTTGACAGCAGTATCCCCACCGGTTTGGGCGCGCGCGCCGTTCAAACATCGAGCGTCCCTATCTGAACACCCTTTATGTTCTGTGTCTGGTACTAGGGTGATATTAATTCAAATATTCTCTCTCGTCGTTTCTGTGATACTGATACAGAGTTTCAATTAGATGAAAATTGTAGGTTTTTACATGATAAAATCGTCAAAAAGTAATAGTTAAAATTTACTATCAGGATCACAGAAGCGCGAGGAGGTAACGAAATATGTATCCTGCTCCTAATATTAAAATTGTGGGAAATTCAAATTTTCTGGTTAAAAATAGTTGAAAATAAATATCAGACCAGATTTTCATAGCAAAACTGTCGAGAGTTAGTCTACATTTTGTACCACGATCATAGAAACGCGAGGATATCGAAAAGTACTTGAAAGGTGGGAGATTCAAATTTTCTCTGCAAATGCCTCTCGTCGTCTCTGCGATCCTGATGAGAAAATTTTGATAGGCTGAAAACTGCACAGTTAACCAGATTTTCATGGCAACATCGTGAAAAAGTAGTAGTCGAAGTTCAATATTAGGATCTCAGAAATGCGAGAAAGTGTCAGAAGATTCCGGCTCTTGATACTAGAATGGCGGAAAATTCAAATATTTTGCGCAAATGAAAAGTGGTAGTTTGAATTTGTTACCAGGATTACAGAAACGCGAGGAGGTATCAAAAAACACCTGGGAAATTGAAATATTCTCGGAGTACCTCTCGTCATTTCTGCGACCCTGAAAAAGGATTAAAAACAGTGAAGATTGCACATCAGGCCAGATTTTCATAAAATCGTCGCAAGATTTGTAGTTAATACTTGCTACCAGGATTACAGAAACGCGAGGAGCTATGTTCTGTGTCTGGTGCTAGGGTGATAGGAAATTCAGTTATTCTCTGCAAATGACTCGTCATTTCTGCGATCCTGATACAAAATTAAAAATAGTTGAAAGCATCAGACTGGATTTTCATAATAAAATCGTAGAAAATTAATAGTTCAACTTTGCTGCCAGGATCACAGAAGTACGAGGAGGTATGATCTGTGTCTGGTACTAGGGTGATAGGAAATTCAAATATTATCTGCAAATGACTCTCGTCGTTTCTGCGATCCTGATACAAAATTAAAAATAGTTGAAAGCATCAGACTGGATTTTCATAATAAAATCGTAGAAAATTAATAGTTCAAATTTGCTGCCAGGATCACAGAAGTACGAGGAGGTATGTTCTGTGTCTGGTACTAGGGTGATAGGAAATTCAAATATTATCTGCAAATGACTCTCGTCGTTTCTGCGATCCTGATACAGAATTTCAATTAGATAAAAACTGTAGGTTTTTACATGATAAAATCGTCAAAAAGTAATAGTTAAAGTTTACCATCAGGATCACAGAAGCGCGAGGAGGTAACGAAATATGTACCCTGCTACTAATATTAAAATTGTGGGAAATTCAAATTTTCTGGGCAAATATCTCTCGTCGTTTCTGCGACCCTGATATAGATTTAAAAATAGTTGAAAATAAATATCAGACCAGATTTTCATAGCAAAACTGTCGAGAGTTAGTCTACATTTTGTACCAGGATCACAGAAATGCGAGTATATCGAAAAGTACTTGAAAGGTGGGAGATTCAAATTTTCCGGCTCTTGATACTAGAATGGCGGAAAATTCAAATATTTTGCGCAAATGAAAAGTGGTAGTTTGAATTTGTTACCAGGATTACAGAAACGCGAGGAGGTATCAAAAAAGACGTGGGAAATTGAAATATTCTCGGAGTACCTCTCGACATTTCTGCGACCCTGATAAAGGATTAAAAACAGTGAAGATTGCGCATCAGACCAGATTTTCGTAAAATCGTCGCAATATTTGCTACCAGGATCACAGAAACGCGAGGAGCTATGTTCTGTTTCTGGTACTAGGGTGATAGAAATTCAAATATTCTCTGCAAATGATTCTCGTCGTTTCTGCGATCCTGATACAAAATTAAAAATAGTTGAAAGCATCAGACTGGATTTTCATAATAAAATCGTAGAAAATTAGTAGTTCAAATTTGCTACCAGGATCACAGAAGTACTAGGAGGTATGTTCTGTGTCTGGTACTAGGGTGATAGGAAATTCAAATATTATCTGCAAATGACTCTCGTCGTTTCTGCGATCCTGATACAGAATTTCAATTAGATAAAAACGGTTTTTACATGACAAAATCGTCAAAAAGTAATAGTTTACCATCAAGATCGCAGAAACGCGAGGAGGTATGTATCCTGCTCCTCTCGTGTTTTCTGCGATCCTGATGAGAACATTTTGAAAGGCTGAACACTCACAGTTAACCAGATTTTCATGGCAACATCGTGAAAATGTAGTAGTCGAAATTCAATTTGTTACCAGGATTACAGAAACGCGAGGAGGTATCAAAAAACACGTGGGAAATTGAAATATTCTCGGAGTACCTCTCGTCGTTTCTGCGACCCTGAAAAAGGATTAAAAACAGGGAAGATTGCACATCAGACCAGGTTTTCGTAAAATCGTCGCAATATTTGTTGTTAATACTTGCTACCAGGATTACAGAAACGCAAGGAGCTATGTTCTGTGTCTGGTACTAGGGTGATAGGAAATTCAAATATTTTCTGCAAATGACTCTCGTCGTTTCTGCGACCCTGATACAGAATTAAAATAATTGAAAATAAATATCAGATTTTCATAGCAAAACTGTCGAGAGTTAGTCAACATTTTGTACCAGGATCACAGAAACGCGAGGATATCGAAAAGTACTTGAACGGTGGGAGATTCAAATTTTCTCTGCAAATGCCTCTCGTCGTTTCTGCGATCCTGATGAGAAAATTTATAATAATAAATAACTCACAGTTAACCAGAAGGCATCGAAAGACAATTTGCTCCTGATGAGAGGATGTCGAGAGATTCCAATTTTCTGTGAATTTGTTTCGTGAACTTGGTATTTTTCGTTGATAAAGGACGAAATAAAATACCTTGAGTACTTTATTAAATGTATTTTAGAAAAATATAAAAAATAACACTTGCAAAATATAACACGAACTATTCGATCAATGTAGCCATTTTAGAATTGGAATTAACACTTGGCACCTCGTTTTCTATTTCTTGAAGAACAAGAAGTAATTTTTGTGGATTGCTGTAGAAATACGTCCATAAGAGCCTCCTGTGATTCTCCCATTTACTGAGCTTTCTTCTCTGAAAATAATTATAAAGTTAGCAATCATAAAATAAGGCAAGTATATCAAGAAATGCTTAATATCTAAAGAGACATCAAACTATGTGACTTCGCAAACTCAATCTGTGGCTGTAAAACTATTGCATACACTTGACTAAATATGAAACTTCACTGACTTTTCGACTGTTACCATACCCGTCAAAACCGCGAAAATATCGAAGAACCTCAATGTAAAAAATATAGAATTTTTCCTACCGACTGGAATACAGTAATAGCAGTTCTAAGGCATCTCCTCTGCCTTTCCAGATGTTCCCTCACAGATTGCACCATCTTTTGGAGTTCAATTGGTACCAAAACTACTTCAGATGTGGGTCCAGGTACCAAAAATGATCTCAGGGTCTTCAAATCATTTTTCCTGGAATCATGTAAATATTATTAAAAAGTGCTATTTTTTTTATAAAAAGTCTGCAGTATTATTAAATAACTTATTTCTGTCATAAAACATATATTTACATTTCTAGAAACGAAGATCTTTCTTCTCTAAACTCTGGAGAAAAAAGTCGATAACGTAGATCCTCCAGTGTATCTTTAAGGTATAATATCTTCTGCAACCCACTTTTTGCTTCAAATTCCTCACCAAATACTATCCTCGTGACATGCTTGATGAACCTAAACTTATCATCTGGTTTTTCAGCTTCATACATTTGAATAGTACTTCTCATTTTCTCCTGAAACATAACATCTTTTAATTGGGTTGGGTATCTTCTAGTGGATTATGTTCAATCAATGGATATACTTACTATCCTGTTTTCACAGTTTTGTAAATCATTACTCAGGTAAAAAATTTTCTTAAAAAACTGCACAGAGAAATCAATATCGTCTGTCTGAGATGAACACATGATCAGTAATATATGGTAATGAGCAAGAAGTAGTACACTCAAATCCTCTAGTTCTGTTATTGTTTTCAATTGGCTCCTGGAACAAAAATTATTCCACTCTTAGATGTCTTAGGCTTTGGGAATAGTCAAGATGTGCAGAAATTGAACAGTACATCAAAAATGATTTATATTTTATGTAGCTGTATTATTAGAACTAATTATTTAGCAATACTGATACACGTATTACTTACTGAAAATTAGCAAGTGCAGCTTGTAAATATCTCAGTTTGGAATTTGAAACCTGTCTTCCTGTAGTGTCCACTATTATATTTTCTAGCATAGAATACATTACCCTTTCTCTACCATTTTTCAGATATATTTTATTTTCAATTTCTTCCCTGCAAGTATTATTTATTTTGAAAACTTCAATAACACTGTAGTGTGGCAGACTTACATTGGTTCCAGTAACATGAGCGATTCAAATTTCACTGACATAAGATAGTCAAAAAGCTTGCTTGTTGTTTCTAGTGAAGTCTTACTTACAATATAGTTTAGCTTGCTTTGAATCAACCTGAAAAATAAAGCAAATTGGTTACTTTCACTGTTCAGAAAAAGAGTTTCAAACAAAAATTGTAGTGTCTAATAGAAATTTTTTCGTGTGATGTCTTTTTTATATACAGGAAAGTGATACTGAATGAAGTTTTACTTTTTAATGGTAGAAATACATTGAGAGGTATTCCAGTACCTTCCATAGTCATCTCACCTATGGTACTATACTTTGGGGTAATTCGGTTGCAGTTACTAAAATTTTCATTCACACAAGTCAACAGCAAGGATAATTACTAATTTCATATATCTTGCAGAGACCTGTTTAAAATTTCGGAATACTTTTGCCATCAGTATATATCTACAAAAATGGGTATTTTTCTTCTATTTTGAGATTTCCTATGAGGAAATAAAAAAAATCTATGCGTATCCGTGATTTGGAAAAAACTTTCCCAAATAAATTGAGTGGGTAAATTCTGAATTTGACGTCAATTTGATGGTGACCCAACTAATACCTAAACTTCGGCCGCCACAGTTTTTTGACAGTCATATTCATATTCAGCACCCCAAATTACCTCAGTTCACACATGGAACATACCTTTGTTTTACACTATCATGCTGCATGTCTCTCCTTGAATTTTCACTAATCCACAATGTTGATTCCATGAACATACTGGAGTCTTCAGTTTCATCAGAAGGTCTAATCAGTATAGGCATGATAGAATTACTCAGCAACTCAACTTTTTCTTGACAACTATCTTCTATAGTTAACATCAAAGTTTGTTGTGTACCCTAGAAGGATTATAAGGACCTTGAACTTGCAGAAGTGTTTTAAGGGTTAAACTTTCGTGGGCCTGTTTACAGTCAGTGAAAATCAACTGTTCGCCAGTTGTTAGCCTACTTAAGCAAGGTTTAAAATAAAGCAAGTATAAAAAACACTTTGAAGTTCTGTAAGGAGCTTTAATTCAGGCACTTGGCAACCTTAAAAATAATGATTTTTAACGGAGTATTTAGGCATAGAAGATGCCAATGTTTAGACTTTTTAAGCCTATAAATCATTCATAACTTGAAACTGGTCGACATTAAGAGGAAATTACATTGCGAAGAATTTATTTGTTTTCCGAAAACATCGTCGCCGTCGCTGATATTCGTTGGAAGATTTTTTTTTAACGAAGCAGCCACGCAGGCAGAAGCCCACATACCAGAACACCGCGGCTGCTATGAGGATCTTAAAGAAACTTTGTTAATCCGATCCGGTTAGTAGAACTGGGAAAATCGTCCTCAAGTAGATTGCTCCGCAATCTCGATACCCTAGGGTCAAAGGAACGGTTGTATCGGCCAGATCTGGATGTAGGCAGTTCGACACGGTTATGATGAGAAGCTAAAGTCAGGCGGGTCTGTCTGGCAGTCTCATCGCGCGGCGGCATCACGGAGAAGAGCTCTGAGGAGCAAAGCACATTGACATAGCGGTAGAGGAGAGCTAGAACACCGATGGCACATCAGTGCGAGAGGGTACCGAATCATTATTATTGAGTTACTAATATCATAATTACTGCTGTATAATGTGACTTGCAACTTTAAGAGAAAATTTAAAAAAGATTAATTATTGCAAGTTGACCAATTAGTGGCGTCTGCAATATCCAGTGATCAGCAGATGTTGGGATTTTAGACAAGGCATTTGTGGAAAAACCTTTACGCTTCATATTTTGTCAAAATTGTTTTCATTGTTGGACGCTGATTAAGAAGAATCAAGAGGTTGCCGACCAGGTGCAACTTTGGTTAAAAAAAATTTAAAAAAATGCTCTTTTTTACTAAGGATCAAGTTTGTTTTAGGTTTTAGGATAGTTCTGGACAAAAAAGTTCTTAATAACTATTCTCTAAAGTTGATTATTTTCCAAGAATTTAATGTATGAAAATCCGAAAAATTGGCTTCCTTGATGGCTGAAAACTAGGTTAAAATTTATTATTTTTGAGGTTGCCCAGTAAGTAAATTGTATTTTAGGCTTAGTTCATTTTAACGCAATGTTAACCTTGCTTCTTAGGCTAACATATGGCAAGCTTTTGATTTGCACAAACTGTATCTATACCAATTATGTTTTTGTAGGAGAGTAATATAAATCTTTCTCAAACTTTTCAACAAAAATATTCTGAAATGTATATCAAAATACCAATGATGCCAACCAATTAAAAAAAAATGTAACGTATTTAATATCTTGCAGTAATATAGAGCTATTTCTCTGATACCTTGATAGCTGAGTTTCATTTTTTCTATAACATTACAATTGGTTTATTCTTGAAAGATCAAAAAAAATTGAGTTTGATTTTGTCCTCTTGATGATAATCTTAATGTTCAATATTCTTATACGAATAAAATTTTAATATTAGACTTACATACATAAAATCATTTATACACTGCCCATATTTTACAAGTTGAGAATTAATATTAATATTGATAGCATCCAAATTTTTAGCCAACTCATCTGTTTTGTTTTTAGTAACCTTCAATTTTGTAGCTGTTTTGATTTCTAATGTTGATTTTTCGTTCAGTTCATTGGAGAGATTTTCTTGCATAGACCTGTAAAAAATCAAATATACATTGGAGCATGACAGATAAATGTCAAAATGATAGGAAATCATGTGCTTCAAAAAGTAGGCAAATAATGGGCAAAATCTGCTTTTTGTTATCTACCTTTCTCTGCATGATCATTTTCTCTTTGTAGATCCTTTGGGCTTAAAGTACCACATCAAGTGACTATAACCGGCCGCATGGTTGTGGTTAGATGGCTCCTTGAAAATTCGAGGTCTTCTAGCCATTTTATACTACAATGTGTAGTTTGTCTCTTGTTGTGGACTTCGTGTTTTGTTTTTTCCCTCTCCATCTTCGTTTCCTCAGATTACACCTGTATCCGGATGTGTGGACATGTGTATCTACTTTTGTAGTTTCATATGTGCATTCATTTCGGGCCTGATGAAGCCAACCAGCACAAATACAATCGGTCAGGTTACCTATCCTATTTTCTGCTCAAATCCACTTTCCTCCTTTTTGCGGATTTTGCCCATTATTTTCATACTTTTTGTTATATACCTTCCACCGCATGATCATTTTCTATATATATATATATATATATATATATATCTATATATCGTTACCCTAATTGTAATACCACGTATCATCAAATTTGCTGAAATTGATATTCTAGCATAAATAAAAAGTAACCAGTATTGCACACCATCTGTAAAAACCACGTATCAGTTCAATCAATACGAAACGAGCTATTTCATTTCAAAGAATACCGCGTAACATCATCCATAAAGTTAGCTGAAAAAATACCTCGTATGAACAGCTGTTTGCACGTGGTCCTTATGAAGTGCGCATCACGCTGCGACAAGTTAGAGGAATAAGCTGATTTTAGCAAAGGTACGTTGATAATTATCATAATTAGAGTAGTATATATTAGCGTTAATATACTGAACATGTCACTTATTAGTCTTGTTTGAGTAATTAAGCAGTACATTGAATAAACAAGCCGTTTTTATTCAAACTTGATGATACGTGTTTATCTCAAATTATGCCCCATTGTAATTCTTTTTGTAGTTGGATGATACGAGTTATTACTATTCCAAGCATTTAGCGAAGGAATCGGCGAAACATTAAAATGTCCTTACTTCGTATTTCCTAATTTATAAAATTTATATTTGAAATGTATTTCCTACTAAGTGCTGTTGTCAAAATGCTTACTTCGAGTTCAAGTAAATTGCCAAGATATATAGTTCTAAATTAAATACAACTGTTCGGAATTTATAGGAACCTCATCCAGCTGTTGGTATCTCATAGCTTTGTTCTATTATAGATGTCAAGCAGAAGTAAAAGGATTCTGGCTGCTGCTTTGGAAACAGATAAAAACAGCCAGGTATTAGAAGAAGCGCTTGCACATTCAATCATTTTTACAAATGAAGATGTTATTATTGAAAATGTGACTAATAACGGACTGTTCGAAAGGAATTTCTGAAATTGACTCTGTTCTCCCACTAACGTTGAGTTATGATGATATGAATGTAGATATCATAGACGCATTGGTACATAATGCTGATCATGTGTCACCATCTAAGCATGCGGACGGAAGTACAGTTTTACCAATTGCAGCTTCAGGCGAGAACAACGTTTCCCAATTACGTTATGCTGACATAGCTTCCCAATCTGTTTCAAAAAGTGATTTGAATGGCCCTACTGAAAACCTGCAAACATCAAGTGAACTTTTATATGGAGAAATGAATGCAGCAGCTAGAAGACAAGACCAGTCTGTCCCAAAGGATGCTGATCGGGAGTATGAAATGGAAAAAGAAAATCAACTTGACGAACCTGATTCAGACAAGAACCTGAACGACAGAAGAAACCCAAGAGAAAAAGGAAACCTGAAAATATTCATTGGGCTAGGGAAAAGACAAAACGTAACAGAATGCAAGGCAAGGATTATCTAGGATACAGTCGAAGCAAAACTGGTCAAGTACTACACAATAGCGAAACGCAATGCAGAAGCTTAGGTCCAGCCTGCTCCTCCATGAAGTGCTTGAAATACAAAAAGAGACACTGTAATACTATAACTCATGAGGAGCGCTTGTCGATTTTTAAAAAAATTTGGACCGATATGTCTTGGGAGCAAAAACAGATATATGTAGCAAGTTTGATGGAAAAGAGAGAAACCGGAAGGAAATATGTGAAGCTTCACAATCGGGAAATTGAGCTACCCACGGACTACGTGAAAGTAACAAGAGAAGCGCGATTAAAACCAGAACCGTACGAAGTTAAATACATGAACCATACGGATTTGATGATATTAGAGACCAAATGGTATATCATAGTATCAGACCAGGAAAAAAAAGCACATGACCCAACAGTAACTAATTTAAGAGAGATCCACTATCAATCAGAAGGCAAAATTCAAATTAAACTGCAGTTTCAAGATGAGCTCACTGACCTACCTCAAAGAATTTTAAAGAAGCCATGTATGATATACCACCAAAGACTTTATACAGATAGATTGAAAATATCAAACAAGAAATATGACCATTTGCAAGATCTGAAATCTACTCTAGCAGATGAGGTACACAGTTTCTATGAGAACCTGCCTTATGAGTAGGAAGACAAACATCCTTGTCATCCTTTTCTACTGTTTTCTTTAGAATCTCTGTATTAGTTTCATTTAAATATTGTACAACAACAATGTTCAATAAAGCCCTGTTTGGTATATTGTTTGAATAATGAAACATCTATTTTCATTATAATAAACCTGAACACCAAGTATCATCATCAAACAGCTAAGTGCAATAACATGTATCAAACATATTTTTCACAAAAAAATATGGAATCTTTAAAAATGATAACTAAGCATGTTTTAACCATAAAAGTAGAAAGATGTTATATAATTTGTAAGAATAAATTATATAGGGCTGCCGTAAAACAGTTTTTATCATTTTCTGTAAAACGACAAAATAGATGATACGTGGTATTACAATTAGGGTAACAATATATATATATTAATAATGCAGTTATTAGTAGGTCAGGAATAACTTATTCCTGTCTTGTTGTCTGCTATGGATGGCACTGTATTAAAAATAGAAAATGTGTAACCAACTAGGGGCCCACAGCGGACTCAAAAGCAGTCACACTGACTAAAAAGACCCATATATCTTTCTCAGTTTGCCCACATATAGATGTACATTTTGGATGGCCAGAACAGACACAATACAGCATATATAATAATAATAATAATCATAATAATAATAATCATCTTTATTCGTTAGTACCAAGGTACAGAGATATGGAAGTGATACTTGGAAAAGGCGAAGTTCAGCTTTCATTCCTATAGAGGAATGGCTGGTCTTCCACTTAACCTAAATGAAACGTGCAACTGCTTGGCACATTTTGACAGATTGTAAAAACAAACAATGCCAAGTAAAATCGTGAACAGACAGCGGCGTCTTCTTTGGCGCTCAATGTGTTAATATACCTATTTATCGCTAGTGCCTGGTCCAGTAGCATTTCTTCATCATCTAGATGTTCCAACTCATATTCTAAAAGTTCAATGTCTAACTCTGTATCTTCTATAGAAAATATACTTGGATGCTCAGTTTCGATTCGTTCTACTTCCGTTTCGTACTTATCATCCTTCAAGGGGTTTTCCAGTTTCGAAAATCTGCAAAGGGTAGTTTAGTATAGAAGTCAGTTGATTATATTATGTTATCATACTCATCGTATTCAAGTGGAGAAACGTAATTTTTAGCAGATAATGAGGTGCACATCCATTCCAATAAACTTTTCATATTTTTGTCGTCAGTGTCAAACCAGGCCCTTATGGTATTTGGATTAACATTCAAAAGGTTTATGTTCAAAGCTTTGAAAACATCTAACAGGTCTTCACCCGTACAGGCCGATTGGTCTTCCATTTCTAGGATATTCACAAGGATAGTCACTTTGAAGAGTCTTTTGATTATTACTAAATTAATTTTCTTTTATTTGCATTGAACCTTGCCTTTGTTTATATTGCCGTTTTTTGAATGCGAATGTGACCGTTATGACATGACACATTTTTGAAATTGACGTTGACAAGTCATTCAGGAAGCGACGATGCCATATTTATACTAAACACAGGTATAGTTGTAGTCTTATGTGTTTTGTGGTTGCAGCTGTGGATGTATAGTCCACGCCAAACAAAGTGGCGTGCACGTCATCACGATAAAAATTCCCCGACCTAATGCCTAGGTTTCTATCACAAACAATTGCTCTATTGCAGTTTCATATTAATGTGATATATAAATTGTAAAGTGGTCATTACTCTCTTATTATGGTTAATAGTCATATAAACATTGTTATTAAAATATCACATAAGTTGCTTTCTGATAAATTTAGACGCATTATGCGAAATAAAATGTTTTGCAAACGCTCCAATCACTTATCGACATGTAAACGCACTAAACCGATTTCGCAGCGTTGACACATTGTCACCTTGAAACTTATTTAAACTGGGAACTGACATTTGTATTAATTTTGACACTGAATCAATTTGTGGCATTTCAAATCTTTATAAATCCTTTGGCCCCGCATACTGTAAATCAACAACTGTTTGTTTCAAAACAAAATTATTCATTTTACGAGTAGATAAAGGCAATTTTGGTATATAAAGATGCCCAAACAGTTAAATAGTCGGTGTAAGGAACTCGTGGCCTCGTTAATGCACTACTTTGAGCAAGAAAGGGACAACAACGGGCCTTTGTTGCCTTTAAATGCTGTTCAAGAGGTAGGATACTAATAATTATATGTAATGTATATTAATAATAGTGAAATTTTATTTCATTTTTTGTAGCGTGTTGCTGCTGCTTTAAAAATTAGTTTAAGGACAGTTAGTCGTATTTCCGAGGGTGTGAAAAGTGATGCAAATTTAGAATCGCCCAAGAAAAAGCGGAGTTATATTAAACGTGTAACCAACATAGCGACATTGGATACAAGTGCCATTCGAGAAGTGATCTATAATATGTATCACAAAAGTAAGATCTTATTATAATAACTTATCAGAAATTTGCATTAATTTGTTAACTAAATTATAATGTCACATTACACATGGTTTCAGAAGAACAAGTTATGATACAAACTTTATGGTCTCGATTAAGAGATAGGGCATTATTTGATGGTAGTGCCACGTCTTTAAGGCGGTTGCTTAGAGATCTTGGATTTAAGTGGCTTAAGGACAATCCGCGACGAGGGCTCATGGAACTACCAAGTATAGCTTTGAAAAGGGTGGAATTTCTAAGGCAATACAATCAAGCCAAGGTTGAGGCCTCATACCAGTTTGTCTTCCTCGATGAAACTTGGATATTTCAAAATGGGACCATAGGTCGCTCTTGGCAAAATGGAAACCAAAAAAGCGTGAAAGCTATTAAAACAGATGGTAAAAGGTATGTACTTTTACACAATTTGCACTATAAAATTTAAAACTAATATATTTTAGATACATTATATTACATGCTGGAAATGAAAATGGGTTTATTGAGGGTAGTGAAGCGATATTTTCTTCGAAAATAAAATTGAGCGATTACCATGGAGAGATGAACCAGGACAATTTTTTGAAATGGTTTCAACATCAGTTATTAGAAAAATTGGAGAGTCCATCTATGATTATACTGGATAACGCCCCTTATCACAGCATGATATTGAACAAAGTGCCCAACAATGCATGGACAAAAAAAAATATCCAAGACTGGTTGACAAATCAAAACAATAAAACATACCATTTTTAAACACAATGTTTAAAACAGAGCTATTGAGTATTGTTGCTCGGTACATAATGCTTCTTAATTATATATATTTTGGTCGACAGTTTATATTTCTTTTGTTTATTCCTATTCTTAAAATAACTGCTTTTTTAGAAACAAACCACCTAAAATATACGTGATTGATGAATTGGCGGAACAACATGGGCACAAAGTTATTCGTCTGCCTCCTTACCATTGTATATTTAACCCTATTGAGTTAATTTGGGGCATAGCAAAAGGTTACTATAACAGACATATTGGTAGAGATGGTAACAGTGAAAAAGACTGTTTGGATATGTGGAACCAGGCTCTACAAACGGTTACCCCAGACATGTGGAAAAATAGTGTTCGACATACTGAGCAAGAAATTTTTAAATGGTATGAAAGAGAACGAATTTTTGATCGACCAGACATCGAACCTTTAATAATCAACTTTGAGAGTGATGAAGATTCAGATTCAGACAGCGCTGAAGAAAGAAACTCCGACTAACTTTATTGTACAGAAAAAGCTTACACCAGTAGCTTACCTAATTTTAGAATGCATTTTTCTGTATGAATTCTGTAAAATAAATACCATGCATAAAATTTGGAGGACCCCATTTGGATTTTTATTCAGTACCTTTAAGCTATCAATTAAATATGGTAGTTTCATAGTGTCATCTGATCAATAATTGTCATACTTAATGATTATGCAAGTACAGATCTATAATTTTATTATACTATTATTTTTGTTCTCATTTGAGGTTAATATTGCTTATAAACCTAGATATGTAAATAATAAATTTTATTATTTTACAAAAAGTTTGGCAACAATGTAAATTTTTCAACACACCCACCTTGATGACGTGCTCGCCACTTTGTTTGGCGTTGACTATAGTCACCGTTCTTGGCGGTTGCGTCATCAACGCCATATATGAATAAAGTAAACAGATCGAGTCTCCGTACCATGGGCGGATCTTAATCTTTAGTGCATCTGCTACTCTCTCCAGTACGCATAAATTGGGTAACAGATGACCGCTGTTTTCATTCTCTTCCTGGAAATACGCCAAGAACGGTGATTACAACTATATACATATTTTCTTTTTACAATTAATTTGACCTAAATTTACTATACCTATATGTACCCTGCACTAAATAATATAGGTAGCCAACAAAATTGATCCATCAGATCTGTATTTGTTGGCATTTAAACTAATGACAATATTATTTTAAGAGGTTTTACCAAAGAGCCAAAAATAATGTAAATGTTACACCCTTCCTACATTACAAGCATCTCGCATATAGGTAGATACAATAAATATAACAAGAAAAACAACGAAAAGTCATAAAAGTGTCTGAAATCTAATAAAATGTTTGTGTGCTGATCTCTTAAATTACCAGGTAAAGCGCATACACTGAGAGCCAAATTTGTTTGAACCAAATTTAAATTGAAGGCTTGAGTTCAATGTGTAGGAGAGAGAAGAGTGTATAGATACATGTGTCAGAAAGAGATAGAAGCCGGCTAGATAGCGAAGCTCAGCAACGTTGACCCGGCAATTTTCCGCGTTGCCAATATGTTACACCAATTCCTTCAATTAAGATGCATGTTCAAAATATGCGTTAGTTTATTCTCTACGCCCAAATAACGATTTTATTTTGAGCGTACACATTTTTGAGTTGCTTCAAATCTGTTTGGGATCGATTTCGGATCGATCCTAACGGCGCTTCATTTTAGGTCGTAAAGTTGTTTGTTACATTTTCCGACCGCAGTGCTGCCGCAAAATGTAACAATAACCAAGGATGTGTTGAATTTGTCACCATCGGTGACAAAGATAATTCTAAAATAAATTAAAACACTAAGTCGCATCAAAATTGAAATGAATCTCCTCGAGTCAGACAAATTTGGTTTTCCCTGTATATTGTTCATTTTTCCATACGAATCATTTTTCAGAGCTTGAATTCACTGAATGAGGAGCTGAAGTTGAGAGATCAAAAGCTTTTATTCTAGAATTTTAAGGATTCTGTGAAAGATACGTGCATAGTAGTTAATGGGACTTCATCGTCAATTTTAGTAAATGGGGAGTTACAAAAAGTATTGGAACAGACCGAGTAATTAAAGAATATCAATTTTAGTAATGTTTATACATTGTATTGTTTCTTCATAATAAAGATAACATTTTTGTATTTCCTTTCTGGAACATTGCCATTATTCTACCTATTTGTCCATTGTATATATTTCGTGTAAGAATAAATGTCTTTTTAAGTGATAGTTTTATTTCGCCCTACGAAGTCCTATATTTTGATTTTTTTTTACATTTTCAAAAATTTCTTCTTATCAGATAGATCTGATGTTTGTTTCTAAGTTAATTTGGGTGCATACTTCCTGAATTTTACGTTATTTTGATGCTATCTCTCAGCCGTTAGTTAGTATATGTTGGATAAATCTTGAAACTGGGCATGGCCATTCCTACAAAATGGCGATTCACGATTTCCCTAGTAATCTCTCTAATATGGGTGTCCAATGAAAGGTCATAATGGGCGAAACACAGTAAGTAAAGCCAAGCCACGTCATTCTAAATCCAATATTGCGGACGTCTAATAAGACAATGCAATATTATCACATGGAGGTGGAGTTGGTAGGTGGCTATGGCAAGTCTGTAATGAGCGTTACTTTGGGTTTCCAGGTTTCTCGTCATTGTGTGGTGTAAGATATTGGAATCGCGGTAGATTGCACGACCTGCTGCGACACCGTCGCTAGGCAAGTGGTGATCAACTGATCACTGATCACCTCCGCTCTTCAGTCGGCTTCTATCTCTTTCTAACATGTGTTGATACACCCTTCTTCTCGTACACATTGAACTCAAGCTGTCAATGTGGTTATCTCTGTAGGTGTATACTTTGGGGCCAGTGGAATTAGCAAAGAAAGATTGTGTTTGGTGACATTTCTTATATTCGTATGTAAATTATGTGTTACGAAATTTTTACAATATAATCATTATTTTTATTCTACATTCAATAAGTTGCTTTCCCTGAACAGTAGTTGACTTGATATCTTTTTGTTTTAACTATATAATACTTTAATATGTTTCTGAGCTACTTTATTCATAACATCCTTACATGCACTATACCCAAAACGATTATCCCATATTTAATAATTGGCTTCACAAGAGAGAAATAAAAAAGTTTTTAATAACTGGAATGCTCAAATATTCCTTAGTTCATCAATTTTTAAAAAAAAATCTTATTTTAGTGGTGATATATTCTATATACAGAGAAATCCAAATATCACTTTTGAACATACGTATTGCACGCTTCTCTCTCGTATTCATTACGACATCGGTGGTGGTATCTGGATTTGTTTGTAGGTATATTTAATGTGTATATAATCCTGAATCTTTGTCACATCATCCCTTCACATCTTTAAAATATATTGTTCACTATTCGTTACTAGTATTTTCTGAAGTTCTGCAACTGCAGGAATAAACACTTCTCAGCTTAAATTCTTGGCTGCCCTCTCGCCATCCAAGCCCTTTAAAGCTGCAAAAGCCTGACCTCGGATGCCAAATTTTCCTTTCTAAACGATCTTTAGAGACGATGAAATAATGTCAATATAACAACATTTCAAATCCTCAGCTCACTCCCTCAAGATAGATGAAATTTAAGATTAAATTTTACAGACCCTGGCTCAACCTTCAAGGGTACGGTTATCTCGAACTCATGGGACTAGTTTATCTATACCCTATTTCACGAGTATCCATCACGGTAGAATGACAGCTGGTTATTTAGTAATATGTCAAAATTACCCATATCGGCACAGGACACATAATTCTGACAAGCTAGGTGGGCAGAGCCAAATTTTGTTTTGGTTTTTTGTACGCTACAGATTCATTTTGTACTTTCTAACAGCTCTCTTATTTAGTAAAGGTCATTTGCATACAAAAAACAAAACGCCACAAGCAAATTTTACTAAATTTATACCCGATCCATTATTGCCATAGTTGCAGACTAACATAAAAATGTCACTTGCAGAATCAGCTGTTCACCTCAGTAGACGTCATAGGGTGATGAATATTTGTGAAATAGGGTATAAGTGGCAACCGCGCTTCATAGCTTGATGAACGAGATCAGGTGCATCGTTAATTTTCGGAGCTTCTCGGTAGGTTTATTCTTCTTTTGTGAATCATGCGAATTGCGAATCAATAAGGCCGATCAAGGTCTTGGCATTTTCAAGAAATGACAGGTGCGTATTCAGGGAAGTGGACTCGCAAATAATATACAAATTTGAGCTGACTCTTTCATTTTTTAATACTTTATGATATTCTAAATTTGGCGATTCAAAAAACCCATCACTAGTATCGAGGATGACAGCTTCCATGTGACAGTTAATTTAAGATTAAAGGTTAAAATCCTGTTTTTAACATTTTTGAATGGATAATTTTCTGAATAACATTAATAATGATCACATAAAAATCTCAGATTTTGTTGTTATACTGGGACACCTGATGCCTCAATGATGAATGGTAATAATTCTTTTATTAATTTTGCATGTATGAAAAATGGGATGAACTTTACTACCAAAAATAGAAGATTACATGATAAATTTTGTTTATAATGTTTATGTAAGATGCTTTTAATTCATTTAAGATCATGTTAAGACGTGTGATACACAATGGAACAATCTACCAAGACATATTGTCCAAAAATCATGTCTTGCTAGTTTTGGATTCCAAAAGAAGATGTAGTCATGAGAAAGACATTATACATACCAGTGTGCCTACAAAAAATGCTCCTGATGATAAAGTAGTGTCAGAAGGACCCCCTGAAGAACCAACAAATTGCTGTATGTCTGGATGTCCAACATGTGTGTGGTTAGATTATGCGGAGAAGCTGGTTGAATATTACAAAGATGGAGATGAAAAAGCTCTCAAGGAGATAGACGAGAAAATAACTGATCCGAGCTTGAAGTCATATTTGTTTTTTGAACTACGTATGAGACTCAAAAAGAAATAAATATTGTTAGAAAGTACTTGTTTTTTATTTTCAGTAATTGATTTTTCCACCCTAAATAATTGATCTATTTTTAAAAAAATCAGCGTTACGCTTTCCGTCAAAGGCGAGCAAAATAAATTTGAATCAACATCTACCTACTACAAAAAATGTTTAGGCTATGTGTAATTGAGAAGACTGTAGACGCGGATTTTTCTTATTTTGACGGGAAATTTTATTTAGTGTTCAGTAATGATACTTTTTTGTTCTTGCCTCAACTTAGATTTTTCCACATCACTCCATCGTGATAAATTGAGATGATACTTAAGAACCCATTTTTTTCGTTCATGCTACAGACGCAACTTATTGCCACAATTTCATTAAATTGGAATTTCAGGGCAATTACTTACTGGCCTCTTTGGCGTGAGTGCTAAAAATTGGTTGTACTCCAAACAATAATAAAACTAAAGATACATTACCGGCACAAAAATGATAGAAATGCGTTGGATATTTGAATTTTTTGACCTCCACTCTATAAGGTGTCAAAAACGTGTCAGAAACAAGATAGTTCTTGAGAAAAGATCCGGGATTCTTATAAATTCTGAGCGGTGAAGTATTTTACTACGACTAAAAATCTATAAAAAAAAACGTAAAGGATTAGAAAGATGATATCGGATTCAGTCATTTTCAAATCTTCAACGATTCTTTGCGTTCGAAAAAAATAAGGTCAAACTCGTAAAACCTCGTTCTCCTGAATCAGAAATATCACGAAATACTGACCGCTTTATACTCGTAGTTATACCTTCTGAAATAATATCATTTTTCAAATAAAAAATGAAAGTATCTACTGATGTTCTTTTTTATTTAAACGCAGTTGAAACTCCAATATCAAGTATGCTTTCATATTTTCGTCAGTGATTTGTTGCTTGATTTTTTTCGAATGCGCTTTTCCCTCCATCGCTGTAGTATGTTGTCAATGTTTCAGCTTACACAAGCCAGGGACAGTTGTCACATTCGCTCATGCAACAACAGTCGGGAAGTTCCGGCGGCAATGACGTATTTAATTCATTCTCAGTTTCTTCAGAGATACGTGCAATAGAGCAGATTGAAATTGCTGCCATGCCTGATCTAAACTCGGTGAATTTTTTGCTTGGAATAATTCTGAACATTTTCTGCGAATTGAAATGCAGGGCAGGTTTTGATTTTGATAAAAAGTTGCTAAACAGTGACAATTGCTTGTTAATAGTCCTGTCAGGGCTTTCATTATCCTTGTCAATATTACTCTGTGATTGTTATACTTTAGAGTACTTTAGACCAAAAGGTGCCAACTATATGTTTACATTGCATTGTTCGTAGCCAAAATTGTGTTTTTTATTGCATACCAGACAAGCCATACATCAGCGTACATTCTTTTCTCTGGAAAGGATACTCAAGTAGGTATTCGTACTGGGCGTACCTACGTAGAGTAAGGCAGAAATACTATTAGTGTTTGCGATGTGAATCGCTCAGTTATTGTTAATAAATTAAAAAAGACAAAAAGAAGAAAGTAAATATTTATTAACGGTACACCGTATGAAGAATTATAGTTAATTCGTGATTTAGGAGGGTGAATAATACAAAACATTCTCTCCATCAACCCTACTCAGATATTATCCAAAGCAACTTGATTATTATGTTATAAAAATGTTTTATCATCATGGTACAAATAATGCATTGGCACTTTTAGAAGCAAATATCTCGAAAATTATACCGAGTTTTATGCCAACATTTGAAATATTTCTCAAGCAATAAGGAAAAATAGAAAATAAAATTGTAACTTTGACACCCTGTACCTCGCAAACTATCAACTTTTGGTCTAAGGTATGTTTAGGTCAATTCACATATTTCGGTCTGTAATATCTCCAGTTTCGAGATCTCCCAACCTTTCCCTGTATATCCTTTCACATGCATAGACAACTCATTTCGAAATAAACATTCTGTGTATCTTTTTTATAAAACTTCAAAGTTATAAGTCTGTAGAATAATTGGGAAGGGGCTTAAAACAACCTTCAAAATGGGTATGTCCAGTTCACTGCAATAGTCAATTGGTAATTGCACAAAATTATTCATTTTTTTCCGAAAAGTGCATAAGAGTAAATATGAAATAGTAGCCAACAGTTAAAGCCTTTGTTGTGGTTAGCATCGAAAAAATATTCAAAAATGCTCAAGCTAGCCAGTAACATAACTGGCACAAAAAATTAGACATATAGAGTGAGTCAATAGTATCTAATTGGAAAATATCTCCATTAGTATAAAACATAATCAAAAATCTTATTTACAAAAATTGTGGACTATACGCTTCCTACTCGGAATATACCGCTCCTACAGAGTGATTCATACTGACATGACGATGAAAACGATTTTTATTCAAACGGAATCTTTTAGTATATGTATTATAATATGCCACTTCAAAGGGAGACGTTTTGATATAGCCGGGGATATAGCATATTATACTAATTCCGGAAATAATTTCTCTTTTCCGATATTTATTCGTTGTTTTTCTACAATTATTACTTGAAATTTCGTGATAGGCCAAAAATAGTTTCTAGAATGATTTGAAAAACAAATTTTGTCATATTTTCGCTATTGTGATCTCCAATACGGGTCGGTTGAACGGTGGCAAAAATGCGTGTTTATATATTTTAGAGAATGCATTTGAAAAGTTTTGACGCTTCCAGTATCTCCAGAGATACACGCAGTGTAATGATTTTTTTTCTGAATTTACTTGAGGTATTAAACTGCACATTGACCTTGCTAATTTTGATCTCTTCAAGGTGGCATAAATAGAACAAAAAATATGATTTTTCGACTCTTATCCCATATCCCAACAATTTTTGTATAGACGGATAATTCTTAATTCTGATTTCGAATATTATAGCATGTCATAGGTTATTATACTTTTTTTACGTATACCTTGAAATTCTCATATAGTCATTTATTTCATAGACTATCAAAGATGGCTACATGTTACATATTGATATAAAACTTCAAGCGCTTCACTTCGTATACTTGGTTTAAACTTATCGATTGAGGAACAACATAACATAACTCATTTATATTATTTAAGAGTAATAATGAAGACATCGAAAAATTAAGTTTATATATAAAATAAATTTGAACTAATCCTAGTCATTTCTGATCTAATAGATATTGGTCTAGCTTATGAAGAACCATGCACATGAATCATTTAATTTTTGTAAATACTGTTTTCATTAAATTTTTGCCGAGCTAGGGTAAAGGGAGGCAGCTGCTCCCTTTGACTCCCTGGGTCAGTGGCGGATTTAGGGGGGGGGCGTCTTACACTTGTTTTTGTAATCTAACACCACTATGTTACTTTCTGACACATCATGGCGACAGAGGCATACTAACTCTAAGTTATAGCTATAGGAACTGAGCTTTGCAATTTTTTGGTATACTTTGGCATTCCAAACGCTGTCGCACTGATAATGTTGCCAGGTTCAAAAAATAAAAATCACTAGAGATTTTGCTAAAAAAATCACTAGATTGAATAAAAAATCACTAGATCACTAAATAATAAAATAATAAAATATTTTTTTAATTGTCAAGGCTTTACTTTTAAAAATAAACAACAAAAACGTACATAGGAACAGGCACTTAAAAGAAACCATGAATATAAACAGACAAAAGTAATAAAACACCAAATATATTTGAAAGCTTAAAAACGTAACAATAAACATGAAATTAAATATAACTTACTTAAAACTAATTAACGAATTTCAAAAAGAATGACTTTCTTTCGAGTACATGTTAGAAGATTCTTAAAACACTCTTAAAACAAACAACAATAACGTAAATTTAAACAGACTCTTAAAATAAACTACAAATACAAAACCATCAGACAAAAGTAACAATACACCAAATATATTTCAAAGCTTAAAAACGTAATAAGAACGAAATTAAATATAACTTATTTAAAACTATATTAAAATAAACGAATTTAAAAAGAATGACATTCTTACGAGTACATATTATTATTATTTTTTATTATAATGTCCCTTGAAATTGGAAAATTAAAGCAGCTTTTATCTTCGGCATTAATTAGTCTTTTGCTGTGCAAAATTCCACTTATTGTCGTAGCAACCAGTCGATTACGTTTTGCTTAAATTAATGTAAAAAAATAATCTTTCCACACTTACGCTACTGTGTCGCAATGTAAATAAAATTTGAACAAAATTGGCAAGCTGTGGGTATGCGAGACTATCATCCCCTTTTTTGATATTGCTTATGTTTTTCCAGAATTGAATTTCGCCAAGCAAAAAATCACATTCAGAAAACTTCAACTACCTAAATTCTTTATCTAAATTGTTAATGTCTTTAACTATATTTGGAAACATACTAGCCAGAGGACTTATGCTTTCAGTTGACGACATATTTGATGGGTGCAGAAAAGTTATTAGTTTGAGAATCTGTACTTCTCGGGAATTAAAGGGGAATAGCTTCCATATTTGGCTTACCGCTTCAATATAAAAATCCAGACATTTCAATCTGAAATTATGTTTGATATATTCGGTAAAAAAATACTTTTGGACCCAACTCATTTTTTCCATTGGGGAAAATGTTCTGGATTTCGATATTGAACATTAACTATATCTGTATTTCTTAAATATTCTGATTTTATGAAACATCTTAATAAAGAAAAGAAAGACGCGTCATTAAACAGGGGGTAAAGGTTATGTACCTTGGGGGTTTCAGACTAGAATTCCAAATTCATATCCATAAATTGCAAAAAAAGAAGATATAGTTTATTTAATTTATTATTAAGCATGTCATGGATTTCTGCTACTAGTGAAGCTTCATCGAATGCTTCAATTCTAAAATAATTCTCTAGAGCATCATATTCCGAAAATCTTTTAAAACTTTGATGCATATAATTCTTACCAACTTTTGGATGCATTTCTATATTTTTTCATTGTATTTTTCAATTTTTTTTGTTTGCTACAAATCTTTAAAAAAATCACTAGAAATATGACATTTAGTTTTCACTAAATCACTCAACTTGTTCAAAAATCACTAGATCTAGTCAAATTTCACTAGATCTGGCAACATTGCGCACTGAGGCGGCGTTCGCAACGATCGTATGACGCGAATGCTCACTGTGAGCACTGAGCATACACGCCCACACAGCCCGAGGCATGCGAGACGAACCATTCGCGACGCACGCCTCGCGATGTGTGTATGCGCCTTTACGATTTATACGTATACGACTATACGAGTATTGTGACTCGTGACAAATCTAAGTCTGAGTAATATATTAGCTATACTTAAAAAGTGATTTATGTTCTGTTTGCTCAATAGTAATTTGAAAAGTGTGTAAAGCTTGACTGATTTTGTTCGGGGTTGGTGTTGCAGCAAAGCACTATGTTAGATGAACGCCTAAATTGAAAATAGGCATTTATGAGATTTGTTTAGCGGTGCGCCTGTGGCCTGTCCAGAAACTGCGTCGATCGATGCTCAAAGTCGATACCACACGTCCCGCATCTCTTCCCGCGTATGTGTCTGTTTATGTTGCTATATTGAATTCGTTTAGATCACAGAGCTTCTACACTACCACGTGAATAAGTACAGCCCTGTATTCCTGTACTTATTTCATACAAACATACATTATCAAAACAATTACGATCTAACAGATATAGTTTTTTTCCAAAAATTTCTAACATTTTTACATGCGATCAACACCGATTCGAAAACTAAGAAAACAATAACTATGGCGTAAATCTAAGTTCGACAACGAAAGTCTGAAGAATAACTGTAACATCTATATTGAATTTCAAAAAACAGTTGACTATACCTATTGATATTTTTATCACCTGCTGATATAATAGAAGTGCTTGATTGTCAGTATTTGCACCACTCACTTGATGTGTTTAATGGGCAGTTCAGAGTCCTAATCCTTAAGCTTAGTACACACTAGTAGAGTCCATTGCGCAATTTATCTATAGGAAGTCTGGAGATGGTCTCAAGACACGATCTATAGAGGGTCTATAGACATCCTTCTTTATCTTGTCTAGCGTCCATACGATAATATGTGTTGTTCGGTCTCATGTTCGTTTTCGTCATCAAAGATATTGTTTTGTATGGAATGGACTGGGATTTGCCTCGGGGTCCCTGCGAATGTTTTTTTTTCGGTTAACAGAGCAATGAAGTTTTTTGTTTGAATCTTTAATATTATTACACTAGTTAATTATAAATGCCACGTACTTATTTTGTTCTCGTATAATAAAATATTACCTTTCTGAGGATTTCTGAGCATTTTCCATCATGCTTTTTTCAAGCTGGCCTTGACCAGATAGAACACAATGGATTTAAGGAGCAATAATAGGATAAATTCTAGAAGTTCCCCTGAGGTTTAAAAATTACCAGCCCCAAATATCGTTAGCGCCCCCTTAGACGAAATCCTAAATCCGCACTTGCTCTGGGTACGCCCTTGACTTGCATCCTGACTACTGACTACGTAACCTTGACGACAACCAGAACGTAGGCTTGCTTTCTCTATCTAAATTCTATGAGTCAGTAACGGAACACAAAAATGAGTTTATAAATCTAATTTGAAAAGAGTCGGAATTATTCTGCTCCTTACTGTCTTATAGATGACGATAGAATCTTCAATCTCGATTTTTAGAGCCTTTCTAATTTCTATTTTGATTGGGCATCTTCCGACTTTACTAACGTATTTTATATGAAGATACCCAAATAAAAGATCCTAGCGCTATCTATGAGACAATAGTAGAACCAAACAATTTAACTCTTTTCAGGGTACCTTTCTGGATTCATTTTGTCTTCTGCTATCGTATCATAGATGGCGCGATATGATCTTTTAGATCCCTTTTTGGGTGCCAGAATATTCTGGGCTATGTTCAGGAGGAATACGTTAAACAATGACCATAAAAATCTTTTCATAAAAAAAGCAGACATATAACATCTTAGAAGTATTTAATATCACAGAGCTCAAAAAGTGAAATGTTGCATGTGAATAACGTGCAAAAGATCATTATATCCAACAATTTGATTAATTTCCAATTTAAGGTATCACATCCTGTAGCAGAAGATTTTCATTGCCGCCTTGTAAATTTTATGATAATTAGAAGTGATAACACACTGCTCACTGTATAATCAACTAATTACTACATATATTAACTCTATACACATAAGAGTGGCAAGTTGAAGTGCGGTAGATCATGGGCAGATCAAGAGACACGTGGAGTGATAATATTCAATGGTTTTATTGAAACTTTCCTTTAAAAAATGAAGTCTGCTGCTGGTGAGTACCGGATTCATTGAAAGATTTCGATAGGACTGCCTGCCAGTTTCTAGATTTTTTGTTGACGCATTATCTCAGAAACCGCTGACCTGACTTTAATCGAAGAATAGGGGCAGTTGGATGTTATGTTGCTATACTTTTTTAGATGCATTTTGAGGATTATGTAACAAAAAAGCAATGCATGAGAAGGATTCGTTTCTGCTTATATGTATATTTCTCGATACTTCTTACTCATAGATAAAAACAGTTCGATATTTTTTCAGAATCTGAACTTTTATAGCGGTTCTCAAGTTTTCGCTCAACCTAGGGGGTAATAAAATGACGGTTATCCAAAAGTTGTAAAAGCGAAATTACGTTTTAAAATATTTGTTCGTCAAACTGGAAATCTTTATCGAATCGCCTCTAGGAACCACTTCTTACGAGAAATGTAACCAACTCTGGTTTTATCGATACGTTTCTTTGGGGGACAGTAAACATTTGCAAAACTCAAAAAAGATTCCAAGAATATCTTATTTTGTTTAATTATCATATTTTTCATTTCAATTGGATTGAGAAAGGATTAGAGGCTATAAGCGGACTTTCGGCTCTAAAATAACTTGATTGCATCTGTGTAATTTTTGCATTTCAAGATTTTATAACATGTGTATTTTAAATTTTAGTCATCATTTTTCTTTTTATTCTCCATATTCATATATTTGTCCGTATATTAAGTGTGTTTTATAAATGTCAATATAAATTTATTAAAATAAAAGTAGGAAGTGTTGCGACAATGCGCTCATATAAAAAATATTAAGTTAAATATTCGAGAATGGGCCAAAAAAACAAGCACTAACAAAAGAGAAAAATGATGAAAAAGTTTGTAAATATATATATTTAAATGCACTAATTTCATAGATGAGTACAACTTGAAATTTGAGGTATCACTAGCGCCAAAAAACCGCTTATAGCATGTGATCCTTTCTACGTAAAAAAATAATTCCTACATTAATTACTGATATGGAAGTACTTATGTGGTATATACTCGTGTATTTTCATATATTTATTGCCTATTGTGAAAGGGTAAGATAAAAATATTATAATAGCATTATTCAGTTCTAAATTATTGTCATAAAACAATATGAAAATACAAAAATTTTTATGTTTCCAAAGTTCCTAAATATTCAAACATCCATCCATATAAAATCGAACAGCATTTTACGAGATATTAGTATTGTCCTGTCGGCCTTTCCTGCCAGAAGTGTGAGATTCTCTAGAATTGCCGCATGCTGACTAAAACCACTCGTTGTTCGTTACTCCTCCCACCACGGTAATGCGTGCAGCATTTCGTCATTGTGGGCAGCATGGCGCCAAGCCTTCATAACAAAGTTATTTAGTTGTCTCATTTTGCATATACTAATCATATGGTATGCACTTATGTATATGAACAGCTCGGCAAGTAGAAACCCATTGTTAGTTCCTTGGTCCCTTTTTGTCCTCCTGCACGTTGATCAGCATCATTGGTTGAATTTCAACCCATTTGCCCTCGCTCAAGTGCTTGACAAAACTGTAAGCAAGCAGTGAGCCTCTCGCCAAGCGTCAATTCTAGCTGTCTCTGGTAGTCAACCTGTCTACCACATTCAAGTAGATGATTGGGAGTACCCTCTCTTCGTTGCAATAGATGCAGTTCGCGTACTCTCTCTTTCCTGCCCTCTCCAGGTAGCTGTAAAAACAACCCTGGGCACCAAAGTGATCTATCAGCACCGCTCCCTTGTCAATCCAAGGTTTTAGTATCTTTGATGAGCGTTCTGGTCCATGCACCATGGTCAGTTGCATCCCATCTCACCTGCCATCTGACAAAAAGCGCCTCTCTTCCATCGCTTCAAGCTTCGGCTTCCTTTTTATAGTGTGCGCATCTCTCTCCACCTCACAAATCAATTGTCGGGATACCAGCCACCACCAGCAGTGCATAATTCGAGACCGATTGAAGACTTTTGTTTTTCAATGTTTAATCCAGTGCGCTCTTATTCCGCGAGAGATGTGCAGAATATACACTGTAAATGTGGCAAATATTTCAGAATAAAAATTGGCGACTTTGACACAAATTGGACCAATGAGGTGTCTTTGAAGTAATGGATTTAAACTAAAACTAGAGAAAAAATTACGATTTGTGTAATTTGGGCTATTGAATGAAGAAATACTTCATATATCATATGATCCAGCTACAAAAACTTATTTTTCATTTGTGTCAGCACACAAAAGTTGGCGCATATTCCACCAATGAAAAAGAAGGATTTGCGTATAGTCGCGTCCCTGAAGTTAGCTTCAAATTCATTCGAATACGATGAAATTGCAACAGTCGACCAGTTCAGAAGTGAGCTCAAATCGCAGATATGATATAAAACTGGAATTGTCAGCTCTTGAGGGTTATTTTATGTTACCATATTATCAATATACCGCATACTTGTTGAACTAAATTAAGGTTATACAGCATGGTTTCGACAAACAATACAAACGAATGAGTACATATAGTATACAACTAAAAGAATCGCCGAACCCGAAAAAAGAATTGTGCCACCAACAAATTCATATATGTTATATTATACTCCACGGCATAGCTTTGCGAAAAATCAGGAGACTATAGGGTGATTCTGTGCACTGTCCTCAAAACAGAAAAAAAACTCGCAGAAGCCAAACGAAGAATTGTGCCACCAACAGACTCATATATGTGGTAGAGATCTCGTGGGATTAGATCTTTACGGCATATCTTTGGGAGCCTACAAGGTTATTCTGCGCATACAGTGGTTGACTCCTCAACACAGAAAAATATTCGCAGAACCCGAACGAATAATTGTGCCAATAACAGACTCATATATTGTAGAGACCTCATAGGAGTACATCCTAATGGTATGGCTCTGCGAAAAATCAGGGGACTATAGAGTGATTCTGCGCATACAAGGCTTGACTCCTTAAAACAAGAAAAAATCGCAGTGCCCAAACCAAGATTTGTGCCACCAACAAACTCATATATATGTTGTAGAGACCTCATAGGAGTACATCTTTATGACATGGCTTTACGAAAAATCAGGGGACTACAGGGTGATTCTGCGCATACAAGGGTCGACTGCTTGAAAAAAAAATCGCAGAACCCAAACGAACATGATTACAACTAGATGTTTGAATGTGCTTGGGATGCGTTTTGAGGTCTTTTAGTTTTTTTACGTAATAGCCCTGCCGAAGTGTATTTCAAGATTAATTTATCTTAAAGCGATGTTACAAGCTAATTTGTTAGGCCAAAACATACATACAAAAAGTAAATAGATTATAACTATAATATAGGAAAAAGAACAACCGAAGTACTTTTGTGAAGGGCATAAGGCATTCTTCAAAAAAGTTTCTTTAGCTATCGCTATCGAAGGGCACAAGGTGGATTTAGTACAGTAAAACCTGCCGGCGACTCCTCCAAGTCGCATTTTCATGACAATCTGTGCCGATTGCACATTTTTGCGCTAGTATATAAGTAAGAATTTGACAAACCAAATTGAGGTATATTACTATCCACGATTTGGCAACATCTCAACTAGATGGAGAGAATATGACAGTGACGGTGGTGTAGTGATGGGAATAATTATATATAAAAGAAATGACTACTTAACAATGAACTATTTTCATCATTAAAATAATGAAAAATTGCATTATTGCAATGCACAGTAACTTACAGTGTATTGTATTGTATTCATATAATTTTGAACAATCTTTTGTATAAACAAGAAGAAAACAGCTTATAAAGCAGTATTCTATACTACAGTATTAGCATCTAAAATGCAGCTTTGAAGTTCTATAAAATAGCAAGCAGAGGGTTCCTCAAAGATGGTTTGACGGTTTAGCTATTTCGTGTCAGCGACAGTCAAAATAGTCATGTTTTGGTGGAGAATTGATGTACCAAGAAAAAACATTAATTACCTGGTCTAAAAATCATATTTTGAATCAAAATCGTATCATTTTAATTTTGAGTCTGATTCGCATTAAGATAACATGACAAGAATCCAATGTAATGCAAGGGATTAACGAGATTTACTTGAGCTATACTTGTCATTTACAAGTAGCGATATGTTATTGTTATACTTTACTATAATAAAATAATTATGGAATCGTATTCAACAATAAAACTGTTATATATGGCCTTCCATTGTGTCATATTGTGGTCGCAATCGAAGAAAGTTTGCACCACGCACTATGACAGTATGATGAGTTCGTATAGGCAAGCTGCAGTTTTGTTTTGAATGGTGTAACGTTTAGTAGTGATCGATAGCGGTTTTGGTGCTCAGCATTTTGAGCAGTTCCTGTAAGAATAGCTGCATTATGGGTAAAGGTCTGTAATTATTTGTTATACTATTCACTATTCCATGTGGGCTTTAGTTTTTTTCGCCCAAAATCTACCAAAAGTTAATTGGATTTCTAAACTGCTTAATTTTACTCGCAAATCGGCGCGGAAGCATTGTAGGCAATCGCGAAAAATCTCGAAAAAGACTTATTAAACTTTTTGATGTTACATCAAATGTACTTGACAAATATGTCTGACGGTTTGTCTGTTCCGCAATAACTTTGGAAAGTACCGTTCGAAGTTTGATGAAATGTTAGTATTATGCTAAGCTTCTGAGAACAAAGGCTCTTGTGACGATTGAAGAGTGGGGCTGGGATACATCTGGGTAGGGGAGGGGATACACGTCTCACGATCCAGGCCCAGAAAGGTAATTTTTTACACCGAGACACAGCAATATATGCAATTTTCTTGGAAAGAATGGCATCAAGTAGATTGACTCTATACTTTCTACGCCTTCGTTGAGGTTTCAAAGAGAAGGGATGGGTCAAGTCGTTTCAAAAAGTGGAATCGAATCGTGACTAGGTAGACCACATATCAAACTATATAAAATAAATCATATTTCTATTTTGTACTAAAAAAATGTGTGACTCATTATGTCTAACAAGTGCATAATATTATCGGGAACAGCAGCTTCTTAATA